TGGGACGTCAAGCCTTCGAGACGGTACGGGACAGACACTTCGGAGTGTGTCGACGAGCTGCCATTGAGTTTCGCTGGACTCCTGTTGCCCTCATCCAGCACACAGGATACACGAGGCCGCTGGTGCTCATCCTACGTCCGGAGACTTGGTCAGGCTGGTTCCTTCCTATGGCATCATTTCACGGGGATGTTATGGGATTGCATGCCAGTCTGAGTTCCACTCACTCATGGTGGGCGGAGGGATACCTACATGAGGCACTCTTGGATGATGCAGAGACCTTCTGGACACAACACTGGCGTTGAGTTTCGGAAGAAGTTGAGGGGGTTTCGAAGAACAACATATCTATAACACAGGGGGGTACAGGGACGAACTGATTCATGTTAACAATTCCGTATACATATCCATATTTATCACCAACAGTCCGTTCAAATAACTAATGGTCAAGTATGTTGACAAAGAGAGGCGTTGAGACTATATATTCACTGGTAGTTCCCCAAACATAGTCTTTAGCAGACTATTGTTTGGAATCGCTCCTCAAGGCCCATACGCTCCGGCCGAACTACAGCGGAATATAGGTAATCCACGATTAATCTAATCTATCCTGATAGAGACGACTAATTCGCGTATTACAGGGGGGGCTTGCCAACATACTGACAATCATAATTCTTTCATTTTCTTTCATTTTACTCGAAATAGGTATGATTTCATCATATATTTCGAAACCTAATTAATATTACGGCGTGATATGGCCATATCAAGCACGTACGAGAGACATATCTAGATCTACGACAGACCACACCAAGATCACATTCTAGAGGAGATCGTCCTAGAGATCGGAGAGTGCAAATCTGCTAGACTAGATAGCTCAGGAGAGAGCGAAAGATCGTTCCATTCCAAAGGGTGCAAAAGAGCAATACATAAAACAAAACATAAAATAAAACAAAAAAAAAATGTCAAGATCTGAAACAGAAGTTCCAGATCTTTATCGAAGAAGGACCTACTGAAAAAGCAATACAAATAGTCGTTATCTTACCGAACAAGGAGGTTCGAGATCGCTTCATTAAGTAACATTCGTTTGACCGCATATGGAATCGCATTTGATCTCTCGCCTATTCGTTCGATAAGTTAACATGATTCAAAGATCGACATTTGACTCATTTAAATATCTTTCGGATTAGATGGAGCACACAAATGAAAAGATACATTTGGATCCTACGCTATGTGAAAAGAAGATTGTCGGAGTGGTCATTTAAGATAAATGACCTCATGTTCACATAGTTATATATATCGAGGCAAATTGACCCGTCTTTCACAAGCATTGTTTTCTTGCACACATGATTCACGGCCGATTTGCCACAAAGACTTTCAAGACCAGGATTATTTGTTGATTGTGTATTGGCCGAGACCAGCCACATTCCGAAAGTGCATTTATTTGCGACATTTGTCGACGAGAAACCTTTTGGAGCCACATTTGTCATCATCGAATATTTGTACTGAAAGAACCATATTTCAAAAGACGCGAGTTACACGCCTTTCTAGGTAGTGTTGCCATTAGGGACGCCAGTAGAGATGTATCCCCATTTTAGATGTCTTAATTGTGTGTTCTTAATTGGTTCAAAGCAGGAGCGAGAGTAGGGTAGCTAGAGGCGAGAAAGACTCGGCGTCGCCTGACATGACTCTACCACACTGCTGCGCCAGTCTTGTCTACGTCTACACCTACAGCACATACAGAGCAATACGCTCGCGCCACATTGCTTTGCATTACAATGCGTATGGCTTGACGCTGATGCTATGCGCTAGCTATATACTTAGAGGCCCACTGCAAAGCCTTGAAGGCAGTGGCAAAGTGACCAGACAGAAGAAGCAAAAACCTGGGAGAGGCTTGCTTGAGCGAAAGGCGAAAACCTGACAAGAAAAGACATAGAAGAACAGATAGAGAAAGCAAAAGCCTGAGAGAGAGACCTGCAGGGGGAAAAGTGGAAAAGTTCACAGAAAAAAGCATGCGAAAAAACACAGAAAAAGCAAAAACCTGGGGGAGGAGCCTGCAGTAGGAAAAGGCGAAAATTTTAGAAAAAAAGAGCATGAGAAAAAAAGAGAGAAAAAGCAAAAACCTGAGAGAGGGACCAACATAGGGAAAAGCAAAAAACTTGAGAAAAAGAGCATATGGAAAAAAGACAGAAAAATCAAAAACTTGAGAGGGAGACCTGTGGGAAAAAAAAGTGAAAAACGAAATTTTTCAAAGCTGAAAAGTGGGAGAAATATGCGCCAAAATTAAGGCCTCAGATTCAAGATGGGCAGAGGCTTCAAGGAGTTGTGGCACTTCTTGTGCAACGCTGGCAAACGCTCCTGCAGAGGTCCTAAAGACGCGCCATCACCTGCAGCATGTGAAAGAGTGAAGATCATATCACATGGAGCGCCAGCCTGTCGGAGCAAAACACGAAGCGGCGGTGTATGATGCAACAGCTGCTGGCGCTGCGTGATCTGCTCCCCCGTTTTTCCTAGATCTAGTTGCGTCAGCGGTTGGTATGTGAAAAGCCTCTCAACTTTGCTGCTGGATAAAGAAGAAGATGCAACATGTTCCCCGATAGCGCGCACCATGAGCAAAATAGAGCTCGAGATCGGCGTCAGCGTCTCTGGGTGCTTCGTTGTCATACTAGTTTCGTCCCATTCTACATGCGAGTAGAAAGCTATTGAAGATGAAGCCCCTACTCCTCGGAGAAATGCTGGAATTGTTCGCTTCTGGTGGTGTATTAACAAGTAGCAGAAGAGGTGCCTCAGTTTTTCAAGGCTTTGCCCGACTGAGAGATCCTTGATCTCTCCTGGTACGTTGCGGGTCCAGAATCCATTCTGCAGGTATCGGGCGTACTTCACCAGAAACTTAAGGTAAGCACCAGCAGCACGCACTGGGACCCGTGGTAAGAAAATCATATCACGCATCCCAGCTACTGGCATCGGAACTCCTGCGAACGTAATGTGCGGCGCATCTCCACCCACTGCACGCGCAGCGAGTGCCATTTTCTCTATCCTATCTCTCTTCTTTCTTTGCTGTTTTCTCTTATATATTTGTACTTGAGCCATAAGAATTCCGTATAGATTTTAAGACACTTCAATCATATATACATAATACACATAAGAATAAATGCTATGTATATCCTTTCTTGTGCATTTATTTTCTACCCACTTTTTGATGCCCTTTGTGGTTTCTCTCCTAATCCCTCCAACAAAACCACACTCACCCTCAAACCCGAGACACAAGCGCAAACGGAATTCCATCTCGCACACCGATCAAGAAACCGATGAGAAAAACAATTTGCCAAACAACTTGAAAAAACAAAACTCCCCTAAAAATCTTTACCCTCCAATTACCCGCTTTTTTATCTTCAAATTAACTTACTCTAGTGCCATGCGGCAAACGCTTGAACGAGATGCCCCCACAAAGGGAGAGCATGCGTTGTAGCTGGCCAACGGGAAACGCGGGCAGTAGCTGGCGCAAAGGGTGTAGGACAATAGACGGCGTAGGAGAATAGGAGGGGGAGAAACCAAGGCCACCCATTGCAAGGAAGTACGTAGAAGAGAAGAAAAACGAAAACGCCAGAAAGGAAGAGCAAGAAAAGAAAGGCAAAACCCAAAAGAAAAGGCAGAGAGAAGAAAGGCGAGAAGATAAGGAGCGCAACCACCCAAAGGCGCACAGCGTAGGGCCGAAAAAACAGAGGAGAAGAGTAGAACAAAAGAAAGGAGAGACCTGCGGCAGATCCGCCCGAAGGGATCAGGGAAGGAAAGAAAGAGAAAAAGCCCCCCGAAATGGAAGGGAGAAAAAGGAAGAAGAGGCCGGGGGAAGCTTTTCATTCCAGGACCCCCGGAAAGGAGAGGAAGAGAAGAGGCCGCCAAGAGACCAGGGGAAGGAAGAAGACGGCGCCCCAACAAAAAAGGGCGAGACGGTGGCAGGGGAGGCAGTGAGTGGCCTCACAGCAGCGAAGAAGAAGCACAAACAAAGACAAGCGGGGAAACCGAAAGGGAAGAAGGACGCCAGAACAGAAGGGAGAAAAGAGAATGGAGAGAAGGGCAGAGGGCCTAGCAGTCGCAAGGGGATACTGCTGGACGAAATGAAGCCAAAAAGACTGGGAGAGGATCAGAACAAGAGGAAACGGCCGAAGCAAAGAAATGCAGGGGCCGCTTAATGGGGGGGGCCCCGATGAAGGGGGAGGCAGTGCCAGAGAGTAAAAAAAAAGCTCGCGAAGCCCCCCGCGCCTCCTTGGGGGTCCCCCGGAGAGGTGCCGGACGCTGGTCCGGCCTCTCTATGCGGGGTCGAGTTGGGGCAGCCCTTTACCTTAAAGGCGGCAGCCCTCTTAGGTGAAGCAGCTGCAGGGATGGGATGGCATCCCGCCCCAGCCGATCGGTGGGCTTGCATCATCATCGTCGCCAGCTCTGACTGCTAGCTAGTGCTAGACCTGCTACTCAGACCCTGCGTTAGCGGACCAGCCTCCGGGGGCCGCGCGGCTTTCATGCGTTGGCCTCCCTGCGAAAGCAAGCACGAACGGCGAAGCACGTGGGGGCCAGGTGGCACCCGATAGCAAGCTGCGTCGCCGGGTGGGGAGCACGGGCTGCGCCACTGAAAGCTTTACTCCGAAGGGCTCTCCGCTAGACATCCAGGGTTTCAAGAGTCTCCGCGAGGAGGGATGGCGATTGCTACCAAGCTGGAAGCCAGCTCAAAGTAGCGAGCTCCAAACCCTCGGCGTGGCGCGGATGCTCAGGGCTGGGCGCCCCCGGTCGCGGGCAGGCTCCTGGTCCGAGAAACCGCGCTCCACCGACAGCCTCGAAAGAAAGAAAAAAAATCCAACCGGCGTACCAGCAGCCACAAAGACGCGCTGCCTACTTCTCTACCCTTCTTCTGAATATAAAGCGCCAGCGCGTAATATAGAAAAACGCTAAAAATATCAAGCAAGACGCTAATAACTCAATCAACAGAATCACTACAGACAATACAAACAAGCGAAAGTAGCCCCACCTTCTTCGCCATCGTTTGCCTTCGACGTGCTGCAGCAACTTCTGTTTCTTTGCGGGTGTTGGTGGATCTTTTTTTGAGGCCTTCTTGAACCTTCTCTATACAACGCGTGAGACCCAAGTGAAAATCAAACCCCCAGCTCGGAAGAAACTCCTCGATCCATCCCGGTGGCCCTTCCTGTGGTGGCTGTGGTGGCGGTGCTTGTGGTGGCGGTGCCTGTCCTGTCGTGCCTGTAGTGGGTCGAAAGTTATCCAAGAATCTGAAGGGCCTGGCCAGTCACATGCATTGTGCTGAAGTGGGTAAAGTAAAAAACAAGGAGGACGACGCCAACCCTCTACTTCCAACAAGTAGAACTACTACTAAGTGAAAATGTCAAAAAATACCTGCGCTTGCGGATGCGGGTGGGCCACGGTACTTACTTATTCGGTTATCAGAAAGCATCAACCGTAGTCCCTTGAGCTGTATCTTATCGCATATCTCTCTGGCGTCTTCCCTATTCAAGCACGCCGCCAATTCGCCTCTGTCATAGTCGTGAAGCATTTTTGTGGCCATTTCCCTCACTCTCGTCTCCAGCTTCTTGTTTTTAGAAGGTCACGGGGGCCAAAGGAACATTGGACTTGGAGGCTGATGCTGTCATCCATGTTGTAGTATTGCTATGCATTTTATGTATGACAAGCAGAAAAACTGCGGGGGTACTTACAGTGACAATAATGATAATTAGACAAGTCAAAAACCCACGGAGGCGTGTCAGCTCGGTACTTGAGTGGTACTTGAGTGGGCTGTTAGGTACGTATTTTTTGTTACTCCCTGTGGTCATAACTCCGTCTTCTTGGCAAACAAGCTGTCGATTCTCGCCCGATTGTTTATCCGAGTGAAACAGTAATTCACACGCCTTCAAATGTTGAAGACTGGCATACTCAGCTTGCGCGTGGGATTCATCATTGTCAGCCTTAGGGAGGGCGAGGGCGTCAATAAAAGAAGGACAATTGACCGTCACTGATGTTCCCGATGAGTCCTCGACAAACCCGTACGCCTTTATGACTGGGCACTGCACAGAAGCTGAGTGGAGGTGAAAGAGCAGAGAAATATACTGGGCAAGTCGAAGAATGCTATAAGTAAAAATAATGACCTCAGGAAATCTCATCAGTTGGGAAGCTGCGAAGAAAAATTCAAGTTTGAAGAAAAAGCCGTAACGCCTTCTACTAAGTCGCAGTATCGCTGATCAACAGAACTACAAAATTACCAGCTTTGGCTCGCTCTCGTTCAGTTTTTTCTCTAAGTGCATTTTGTTCTCTAAGCAGCCCCAACATTGAATCGTCCCTGCTCCCGGCTCCTGCAAATGTCTTCCCGCGTCCCTGCTGACCTCATTTTTGAGAGCGAATGCAGTTTTTCTCTACTCCACGATAGTATGTTGTAAATGAGATATATAATCTATCATCCACTACGTCAACCACACGAATCCTTCGTGGAGTATTTTGAGTTCATGGGATAAAGCAATGCTAAGTGAATCTCCTTACCTTGTTCTTGGTTTTCGCTGCTCTCAGCCAGCCCCTGTTTGGCCTGATCCAGCGCCTGTTTGGCCTGGGCCAGCCCCTCTTCAGCCATATGCAGCCCATCTTGGGCCTGAGTCAGACAGTCTTGGGTCTGAGTATTGCCGACGGGTGCCTCAGCTTTGGCAGCGGCCGCCGCGGTTGTGGCAGTCCTCACCGCCTTTTCGGCATTCTCCACTGCTTTGAGCAAACCTATTGAATTCACAAGGATGAAAATGCGTCCCCTAGTAGTTCTTTCAAATTTACATCATACGCTGACATATCTTTATCCCTTTCCTAAACTTGATGGGTCTTCATTGAAAAAGGATCGAATGCGTTAAGACGGGAAGAGACATAAAGGACCAGCACAAGAAAGATATTTATAAAGGACTTGCTGCCGTGGTCATTAGAAGTTGCATCAATCTGGCAACAGTTATTCATCTAATCGAAGGACTTCTTTTAGTACGTTGCTGTCCTGTTGTGCTTGCCACCTTGTCACTTTGCTGGAGCATACTCGTTACCCCGCGACTCCCATGATGATTCGTATCCAAACCCGATTCTTCGCTGTAATATTGTTCAGTCTCTTCGAGAAGCTGCGCTTTTGGTGTTATCTGCATGGCCTTGCGACGCTGGCGCTGCTTGTTGTCAATTGCGAAAACGACAGTGGATGGAAGCGCCAGGTCCGCAATCATGGTAGCCAAAAAACAACAGAAAGACGCAACAAAGCAACGGCAACACAGAGAGCAGGAATCTGACAAGAGACGATAAAGAGCAGAACCCCCTCGATGTCGATGTGGTTGCTTGCCTCCTCTTCTATCTTTTTGCTGCGTGTTACTGTTCTCCTGCCAACGTGCTAGACGCGAAGATGATGTCGTCGCTGAGAGAACTTCTGTCCCCAAGCAATGAGCGGCCGCTGATCCTCTCAGTGGCTGAGCCCAGTGACAAGTCCACGCCCAGTGTCGTACTCGATAGCGGTAAGACCAAAGGGAATGCGAGAGGTCGTCGCAGGTGTTGACCCAGAAACGTCGCAGCCATCTTCGCATATTCCTGTCACTACTCCCCCTGCTGTGCACCGTGTAGCCGGAAACGGAATTGGAACGGAAACCCAACCACGCTGGACTCCGTAATGGCGGTGCATATTGTAACGCCTCAAAGAGCTCGTACGCGAGCACAAGCCCCACGCAAAGTGTTGCACCTACCAACAGAAACTGCAGGCATCCCAACAGCATTAACTCGAGTACAACTTCAACTGCCATCAGCGTACATGAAAGTGCTACGGACAGCAAAAGCCTGCAGTGACCGAGCAAGTAGAGCCATGTGCTCGGTGTGGTCAAAAATAAAATGCTAGCACTTGCAGAAATGAGCATGATCATGCTTATGCTGATCCAAGATGCTGTAGCGCACATCCACATGATTCTGTTTGCTCCCACGTTTTCGTCCCGCGAGTCTACATCTCTTCGAGGACAAGTGTTTCGCCGTTGCCTTGCAGAAGCAGGCTCGCAGAAGAACGGCAGACAAGGGGACGCCCACAACGTAAGCGCTACACCTGCATCAGAAAACGCAACTCGTGCATGCAGGACCATCAGGAACAGCACAGAAGTGCACTGTTGAACGAGTCGACGAAATCCTGCACCAGCTTGAAGGATAGCCGGAAGAAAAACGAGTAGCATATTGACAGCTGCAAGCTTTGTTCCTGAGCGTCAGGAGGAGTTGTATTTATTTTTATTCATAAATATAATCAATAAGTTGTATGTCTTTAATTCTATTTCTTTCTGAAACTTGTTGTGGGTCATTGAATCAGGATTGAATGTTTTAAGACGGGTAAAGACCACGTCAGGGATCACTCATAAAGAGCTTGAACTTGTTTCCGTAGACATTCAAAATGAGAATTCATTGCATCCTGGCCATAATCACAAAGCAATATATATATAATCATCTATGTAAAAATCCAACGACCTTTATTTTTTAGTACCTTGCGGATCGTCTGCTGTGGTGGCCACCTTGTCACTTTGCTGGAGCATCCTCGTTTTCGTTACCCCGCGACTCCCATACTGATTCGGATCCGAGCCCGTTTCATCTGTGCTATATAATTCAGCTGCCTCATTCAGAAATTCCGTTTTCTGTGTAGCCTTCTTGGTCGTGCGGCGCTGGTTCTTGTCGATGGTAGCAACTAGCCCTCTGTTACCCCCGCCCGCGCATCCAGCGTCGGGGGTTGCCGGGCGAGCCAGCTTGGGCATGAAGTTAGATGTAGATCTCTTTTGGTCGTTCTTGTTCTTCTCTTGCTCACCCACACGGGAAAAGAACCAGACAACTACTTCCACTTCAGTCAGATAATTCTTCAGAAAAGTGCAAGCTGTTGGTTTATAAATGTCGATGGCTCGTCCCTCTGCATATCCACTCCTTGACCTTTTTTTGCCATAGTCTCAAACTTACCGCTATGGCGCTCTTTGATGCTGTTGGTTCGTCTTTGTCTCTCGCGGTCGCGAAGTGGTACTATCCAAATCACAATTAACCAAATCCAGGACCAGTACATGTACAATTACAAGTCTGATTTCACATTTATTAATTATGGCTAAAAATGGTCTCGAGCAACTTTTAGACGGACTAGACCCACCATATCACTTTCTCGAAGTTCGTGTAGATTCCCTGCTCTTGTTACTATATGATACTTACGTTGATAACGAGCTGTAGAGTAATTTCTTGGGAAAGTCGAAATATCCTATTCCCATTCTTATTTTCGGTGGTGGAGGGACGGGCGAGAGAGGTAGGGCGGTTTTGGTCGGAGGTTTCATTCATTCATCACGCGGCCACCAATACGATTGATAGCAAGAGGACTTTTCAAGATGAAGGAATGAAAAACAGATGAACCGATGTTGAGCATGCTGCCCTCTCAGTACTAGAGAGAGCGCTTTCATGCAGGTAAAAGTATTTCCGTTCCAGTCCTCCCCCAGTGGCGGATGTGTATGCCACGAGAATGACATTGACAATCTTTTGGTCTTCTACTTAGTACTGTGATCACATCCATGCACGTTTATCTTTACCTAGTATACCTCATTGATTAAGTACGTTCCTACTTATAGCATTATCGCGCCAGTGGTTTGTGGGGATGGGGAATGCGTTCGGGCAGAGCATATTTCAATAAGAGCAAAAGTTTAGTTCCAGTTATTGGGCAACGACTGTGACTTTGAATTTGTCCCCGAAACCGAGCCACCGATTTCCACTTTCACCCAACAAAAAGAGTTTCATTGTGACAAAAATGATACACCTTCATCTCGTCCAAGCAGATAAGCAATTGAACTGAGGCGGTCACCTTCCTGCCTAAACGGAGGCTGCATATGATGGTGGTTGGGACAACCGAGGACAGCCTGACTTGTCTCTCTAGCTTTTTTACGGAACAACGCTGAGGGGTAAACACGACGTGGCCCAGAGAATAAAGCTGTCATGCCAAGACAAAAGTTACACCGAGCGCAACTGCTTCCATTTAAAGAATAAATGAATCATGTTTATTAACAACTTTGGGTCAGCATGGGGCTCAGTGTTCACAAGAACGCGTGCTTTAACTTTATGGTCCTGATATTACAGTAGAGATTCCTGGGGGTCCTCCTGAAGGTCCTTTATTATGTCATATGCCTGATCAATTTTCGTGGATGATTGAGAATAATATCCAGTCGTGTCAGGACCGGACATTCACACTCTAGTCGTCTTCTTTATTCCCGTTTTCTCACCACCTTCTTCACCTTAGATGAGGATCCTCCAGCCTTCATAGCAATCTTTATTCCAGCCTTTTTCTTGCCTTTCTTCTTCCCAGCCTGCTCCTTCTCTAAAGCAGTGCGTTTGTTGAAAATCTCAGTCGCCTTAGCTGGACAAATCTGTCTTTTAGGTTGAAACTCGACGCATTTCCCACCCTTTGACAACTGTGACGTACGTGCTAGAAGCTTGGCTGCACGAGATAGCTTCTTACTGCTTGGTGCATTGAGATCTTTGTCTGCAGTTGTAGTCGTCGATGTTGATGTTGATGGTGTGGTAGTGGCACCTTGTGCTGCATTAGTTGTGCTGTTAAAGAGTCCGCTAGGCATGCTCGACAATGCACGACCCGCAGCACCGTTCAATAAAAAAATATTGCTAGAAGGGGTTGTGCTACCACTGCTAATAGAAGAAGAGGCGCCACTAGTTTTACTCGATGTCGCAGCAGTGTTCATCGTGGCATTCGTTTTCTCACCTAACAAAGCACTTCTCATTTCCTGTTCGAACTCGTCTAATTGCTTTAAACTGGGTTTGAACAACGAGTTTCCTTGATTCGCGGCAAGACGTTGTCTGGCGAGCTTAGAAAGCGGATGTCGCATCATGAAGTCTTTACTAGCTTCTTCTATTAGAGATAGGAGAAATCCATCTGGGCGAGCATCGATCCTGGTGCCCGTATATTTTCCTTGTGAAAGAACGCGAGGACCACGAGGTGCCCCTTGTTTTTTTTTTAAAAACAGGCCCAAGATGCTGACTAAGATGGATTTCTTGGAGCCTTAACTCTAGAGCTTTCTGCCGGACCCAGCCAAACTTCAAGCATGCTTGCTTTCTTCTCTGTTCCAACAGTTGCAGGGTTAAATCGGCGCCATTATAGCCGACATCGAGGAGAGAATCGCTCTTGTTGATGTTGCTAGCTGAATGGGCAGAGAGGGTGGCAGGAGTCTTGGAGGCACCTGGAGAACAAGATATAGAACAATGAACATTGATTGCAGGAAACAATCATATAATCAGTTAGGAATACAGACGAAAGTGCTCAACAACATACAATTTGAATTTGTCTATGTTGAAACATAATCTTCAAGAACATATTTATATGATAATTTATCAGGTTCTTCAGGGCATCGATAGAAATAGATTGCTTGGTGGGCACCGATAGAATTAGAAATAGAATACTCTCATTCTGTAATCTGGAGGACTTCTGCCCTTAAAATCTCTTGTACCTCCACTTCCACTCGCAAGTAGTTTCGTCGTTGCCTCTCCCTTGTTGTATTTCTGCAAGTCTGCGCATATCTCCTTCTGCAAAGTGTTAGATTGGAAGCCCTCTCTGACATTCGCCTTGGCCTTGCCGGACTTCCGGACACCAACTTTCTTGTTTTTTGACACCATTTTCTTTTATTCTTGAAATCAGATTAGTTCTTCAAAAAGTAATGATACAACTTTCTTCTTATTGGAAATATAATAGTACAGCCTAAAAAATAATGATGTCTAACTTGTTCTCAAACAATAGTTGATGTTTCGAAGGAATGGATTGAAACTACATTGCCTGACGTCTAGAGGTCGGAACGTGGAAGTAGAGGTCGGAACGTGGAAGTCATGCTGAGTCAAACCTTAATGACCACAATATCGAGATCTCTACTGTACCTTCATCTAAGACCTACTCTCTTCAGAGGACCTAGATTCAGAGGACCTAGATACGAATCGAAACATCACGAGCGGCTCTTCAAATTAGGGATCTCGATCTTGACCAAGTAGTCACAAATAGATCTTGATCTTCTGAAGAGTGTTCGCCAGCCCAGCATTGACCACTAGTTCTCTCCCTACTCTATAATTGATGTTGACCAAGAATCATGATCACTTTATTCATGGAGGATCGATCTTCTTCTTCTTTCTGATCGTAAGGAGAAATAATCATTTATTTCATGGATCCTTGACAGAACAAATATTCATTGCGACAGGCAACGGCGAGAGCGTCTTCTTCTATGAGAAGCACTTGAGCGCTTTCTATGCATGAGTATTCTTAGGATACAAGAAGGAATCGACGATAAGGCTACAAGAATTATATAAGAAAGGGACCGACGTCGAATCTGGTCGTAGGGAGTGCTTCTTTTGATGCATGAATCTACATCTAGTAGGACGTCGAGTGCTTCTCTTTCTTTTGATGCTACAAGTACTTCGGATTTTGGCTTTCACAGACAACAAAAAGACTTAGAACTGTAGAACAGACAGATGCCATCAGGCTCATGCGGTAGGATCAGTTGAAATATTGAAAACGAAACAGGATGCTAGACTTTAGGATAAAACAAAAAATTCTAAGAAATGGCGATGAAAGATCAAAATGCTTGAATTAATGGTGTGCGTGTAAAAAAGTAGTCATAGTCATCGACTCAAAATTTTTACTAGACTCAAGATCATAATGAGACTCAAAATTATGAAGCTCCCTCCAGCGTCTCAAGCCTCACCTGTCCAATCCCGCTCACGAAGGACAGCGTCAATGTCCCACTGTAGCGCTGGTCCTAGGCTTTTCTCCACTTCCCATTGGGCTAGGTGGCCATACTGCGAACCCCAGTCTCCTCCACTATCCACTATGTTACTAATCTTAGAGTTCAGTGAGAATGTCATTGTCATTGTAGACTCAGAACAGTTCTTGTCATTGTAGACCTAGACGACCTCCCTTCTTTCTTGCTCTCAATAATCAGGTTCTATCGGTTGCGAAGCAGGTAGAAGACCAAATACAGTATATTATTGTTCCAATGTTGAAACCATAATTCCTCTCACTTCGTTCAGCCATGCCGAATTGTGCACATCGAATTTCAATGCTGCTATCCTCTCCCGCCATCCCACATGCGCCGCCGCATTGGCTCCTTGCTGTGCTGCTACAGCTGCTAGTGTGCATATCGTATCTAACGTGCGCGAGGCTTGATGTTTTATGGGCGCCGCCGTTCTGATTCGCATCAGGTCTATGATGCTCGGTATCAGCTGACTCTCTTCAAGCAGTAGTATCTCCCGTAACTCGTCGTGCAGAGCCATGCACTCGAAAGTGTACAATAGCTGCAAAACCATGTCATCGTCATCTTGCTTTTCAGATAGAAGTTCCGTCAAAACGAGTTGAAATTTATCGCACAACAGATGATGAGCAGGGCCTTCCCTTGCTACGAGCTGCACGACCATGACCGCTTCAAGCCGTACGTCATCCTCTGCAAAACCGACAGGGATTAGAAAATGTTCACCTGAAGACACATCTTCTAGTAGTTCTAGGCGAGTCCAATTTATCATCATCATCGCCATCCGTCTCTGGTGGTCATCTTCTAAAAGTTGTTGTTGTACCACTGGCAAATCAATTCCAAAAAAAATTCAAACAATTTTTATAGTCTATACATCACCAAGCAATACATAGCAACTAAGTACCTCCTTAACACTAATTGTCGATGCAACAAGTCTATTAGCCCCTCCTCATCGCACAGCTCAGCCCATGGCACACCTGCGTTCTCCATGTTTGCCAGTAAGCCTAGGACTTCGACTAGGAAGTCTGATTCTTGTGATGTTGAAGCATTCTGCGACGTTGAAGCTCCCATTAGATGATCAGCAAAGAACAATTGAATTCATTTTCTCCTCCATTTCTTCAGAAAAATTCCGAAAAGGAAACTGAGGAAAATGATGAATCACAATTGAGTATTAGCATGCAGTAGCGGAAAATGCACACGGCCACGGAAGTCAGCCTTGGGGGACAGGCGAGCGGGACCAACACGAACAATTGAATTCATTTTTTCCTCCATTTCTTAAAAAAATCCCAATAAAGAAAGAGAAGAAAATAACTCTTGAGACGCATCCTGAATGCTTTTTCCCCTTGAAAAACAGACTCTTCAGGATGTCTTTCAAAAAGATGGACAAGGGTAAGCCTTAATCTCAGGAGCTCGTGGATCCACCTGCTCATCCTCACCTGGTCACTGCTCATCAAGGTCTGGATCAACTGTCGGACGTTCTGATGACTGGCTGGTTAGAGGTACATGAATTGGTACTCGAAAAACTGAAATAAGCGAGTAATCTACATAACAAGAATCTCAGATACTCGGTCGTTGTATTTGTTACTCGCTTATTTTCAGTTTTCGATTAGGCGGTGAATCCTCATTTTGCTTCACATATGGGACAACTGGTCTAGATTCGAAAAATTAAAAAGGGGTAACCCCATTAACTTCTAAGAAGTACTATTGATGAAGTGTCAACGATCCTCGATGAATAGCATCAATGAAGATGTCGTGGTGATGGATGAATAGAATAGCATCAATGATGATAGATAGATCTAGTTGTAGACCTACATAGATACAGCACAACATCCAATTTCATAACAGCAATATCGAACCATTCTGCAAAGTAGGGGATCTCTGGTTTTCAGTAGTCGCAAAATCACTTGTGGCCACAGGAACTCCGGCTCGCCTCTGGACGACCGCAACTGACAAACCACCATCAACTCCGCTGCCCTGGCGTGAAGCGCTAGATTTATGCCTAAGGCTACTAGGTCCTGGCCAAGTCTGACGTCTGGAAAGTGCACAGTCAGCTGTAACAGCATCACGATGCAGTCTTGATGATACGTCAAGAGAGACTTACATCTCTCGTCGCGGGTGAATTGGTACCTGTATATGTTTATTTAAATATATGCATTGGCATTTCTTCGCCAAAAAATTTTTCATGCGAAAATTACGAGGATGATTCTGATGGAAGAATCCAAAATCTAAATCACAGAAATCACAAGAATTTTGAAGTTTCAAGACGATTTTTTGTCGCAATCTAAAAAAAAAGTAGTACAGCAGTTTCAAGACGATTTGTCGGAACGGCGGATGCTTTAGCAGGTCTACTAGTTGTTGAAACAATTCTCCCGATTCCGAAAAGCTCAAAATCTGGTCATCGAAACTCAGATTGTAGAGCACACGCAATGCCAGAAGCGCTATGAATGCCGATTGATGATGTGCCAGCTGCACTATTAGAGTGTGCCTGTGCTTTTGTTCACCTTCGTCCCCCCATCAATCTCGGTGCCTTGAAGTTTTCGGTTGTATTTTTTTAATGGGAAAATATTTTAGGACATCGAGTTGCTGACGAGAAAGAAGATGGATAAAGTGCGACCGTAACACTAGTCGAGGAACGACGCGGCAGTCCCTTATCATGACTTCTTTGTTTTCCTCGAAGATGGAGAGCTTCTTTAAAAAGAGTAAAGCGACGTAAAGCAGTTCCTCCATACTGCGGTCTATTAGGGCTCACCCTAATCCATCCCGAGATCTGTCCTAGGCGCCGTTTCCCCTTCAGAAGACTCTTGGGGATGCTTCCGAAAATGGATTAGGGGAAGCCTTAAGTCTAGTAACTGGCAAACCATGCGCACTAGCATTCGGTTCACCATTTTCTTCTCTATGAAGATGTCCTCCGCAAGATTGATTAAGATGTGCAGACACGTGTGTAGAAGTTTGTTCTGGCGCAAGACCTGTTGGTGGGTGAGAAGTTGCGGGTGCGGATAGTGCGAAAGTGAGAAGTTGCTTGTCTTCCTGTTCTTCAAGGAGAAATCAAAATATTGCGTTTCATACCTAATTCTGAATCCAAGTCTTCCAGATCAGTACCTGATGTTGAAACTTCTTCTCTTCCTTCTGCAATCTTTTCCTTTCCTCTTCTTAGAGCCTGAAGAACTCCATCTCGTAGCGCATCTTGGTGGCCGTTTCTCCTTAGGAAACGGACCGATGATGCGGGCTAGTATGGATAGTACAAAATATAAGTTGTTCCGAAGATCATGCCACTACCACACGACCATGTACTTACTAAGAGTAGTATTATCTATCATTTTTTCTTCAAGCTGCCTTAATCTTCAGGCGGATTGTTTTGTAACATCTGCAAGTAATGCTCCCTTTCCTGACTCCGTATTTGGTACCGCTTTGTCTCGTATTCTAGTATCCTCAAACTCGCGTCTCCACACTGATGTTGCCCCAACGTGCTATGAAACACCGTAAACGCGCTGAAACAGAGAAAGATCGAGCTAATCGCGGTGGCTAGGTCGTGGGACTTCTCGTATTGGAGGAGCTCAAAACACCGACTCACTTCTTCCCTGAAGTCAAAGAAGATAATGATTACTCAGGGAATGAATTATATACCTCGCTTGAATAAAATAACTGGTAAGCAAGAGATAAGAGCCAAGAAATACAGGCGATCTTAGGTTAGCAGTTACAACCAAGTATGATCACTTTGTGCTGACTCATTGTAAAGCCGGTTCTCTCTCTTGCGTAAAATGAATTCTCTTCTCAGAGAATGAATGAGTAAGTGTAGTTGACGCCTTTACCCAGTTGTTGTCCCCTTTACTCAGAGAATGAATTATCTTGTGATGTAGACCTTTTTACTGCTCTACTATGTATCCCTTGGAAATGAATTTTTATATTTTGGAGAGCCTTAATTGTAGTTTTCGCGTAGTTCTCGACTCAGAACGCCCAGTAAGGATTCGTCTTTGGCTAGAAGCTGTAGATTGCGAGCATCCAAGCAGACTCTCAGAAGACACTTGGCACCGCGAACTTTCAGCTCCATCTTTTCTTCATACAGGAGATCAGAATACCTGGAAGTTCGAGATGGTAATTTTTACTTATATGCGATTGCTCTCCACCTCATTGAATCATTATTATACAGTGTTGTACAGGTTCTGGATGAGGGATTCTGAAGAGGTAGTACGACAACTTATAGGGGATTCATGATACGAAATTATCAGGTACCTATTTCTGCCCTTCAAAAAAGGAGATCATGGTAAGAAGAGCAGAGCTAATATATTAGTTTCTATTTGCCCACGTCAAGCAAATAACAGCTTGCTCTATTGGAGGCAACTTTGTTAACAATAACCCAAAACAAAGCTTGTTGTAGTAACAAAACATACCCTGTCAAGTGATGGCAAATTATTAGAAGTACTCATCCAAATCTCCCCAATTCGCTTGCGGCAGTATCTTTTCCAGGTTTGTGGTAAATGCAGGCGCTCCTTGCTGCTTTGGCTGTTGCCTCATGTTAGACGATCACAAACTCATGTTGTCGAGGTGAAAACTAACTGGTTGTCTTACACTCCCTCGCTCACAAGATACAACTCATTTCTTGCCTCCCAACAGTCCCAAGTATATTACGGAAAGAACTAGAACTACACAGAGAACAAGTAGAACTGTATTCATTGAGAGAGCCTTAATCATGAGTTGTTGGTGCTTGGCCGCCAACTGCTGTTGTACCTGCGCTGACTCTTTGCTCCGACTCTTGCTCTTCGCAAGCATTTCCTGCATGAGCTGCTGCACTTCCTGAAGGTGAGAGATAAAGAGATGTTGATATTGAACATGATAGAGTTCTTGATGTTGGACATCAATGGAACATGATAGACCTGGAAATGGAACTAGAGTCAGTCTAGACCTAGAAGATGTTGGAATAATGGAAGACAGTCAACATAGAGCTGGAAAAAAGCCTGGTTTCTTTGAGCCCTTGTTCATCTTGTACTGGTTGTTTCCTGAGTAACTACTGGTACTTGATGTTTCCTCGTTTTCAACTTGCATGGGCAACTTCTTGTCCTAGTACTCAAATTTCCATGATGCCCATCCTGAGCATAGATATGTTATTTCCCGAGCATGATTAGTAGTGCCTGCACTTTCCCATTTGGTATGTATTTGCATTTTTCCACAACCTCCTGGGCCAAGTCTGGTATCTCCGTACTGATGAAGTCTTTCGGTAGGCGCACTTGTTCTTAGAGCTGCTCAAAAATTCAAATTATCATGTTTCTAGTAGGGTAATAGGAGGTAGACTTGGCTCATGAAGTTTTGCCTTTGCGTTATCATTATCGGTGGACTACTGAATCTGAAAAAATTGTAATAGTAATTGTTTGTAAAGGAATGAGTTTGGCTTTATTGTGTAGATTAGAACAGAGTAGATGAAGCCATAATTCTTCGTATGTATCCTATCATCTTCGGATGTGGTGTAATGCGCGACTATCGCAAACTCCTCCAAATCTATAGAGAGATGGTCCAGTCGTGCTTTTTTCCGCGACATCTTGATGTTCTCCTGTCGCCTCTCCTTGTCTTAAAGGTAGTTTTTCCCTATCCCTGGCTGGGTGGAGTCCCCTTTTTGCCGTTTATTTAAATCAAGGGGAGCGCCACACTCCGCGTAGTACCCGTGCTGGGACAGTAAAAAACTACCCTTAATTGTCCTACTTCCTCCTCTCTTGTACACTTCAGCAGCACACGGGACGCTAATAAAAATCTACTACAAGAGCTGCGGATCCACCCCTTCTGCAAGGAAGTGGACGCCAGGACTCTGTCCCTGCATGATATCTGGATCGATTTCTCGTCGGCGTCGAACTCTCCTAGGAAAAAGTTTTGTTCTCTTACAACTTAAATGCTGCAACCAGAAGAAGATGCCGAAAGCGTTGGTTTTCTTTCGTTATGAGTAAAAAAAGTATCACCTGTTCTTGGTTCTCATATCCGTATCCCGTAGCCTCACCACTGACTCACATTGTGTTCCTTTCTCTATAACAAGTGGGGAAATCAAGACATTAGAGAATAGGATAGGATAAGATGCCTAGAGAAGTCTTAGAATTCGTCCTACATATTTTGCACGACGCCAGTTTCGCCAACTTTGTCCAATAGCAATTTTGGAGGCCAAAAGCTCATCTACCTTCCTTTTTTGAAGGCCAGTCTTCTACCTTCTCCTCCGTCACTTCAGAGAATTTAAGTCCGCCACAACGCCGCCATATCAAGCCGCAGACGAAGTCAGGCTGAAGTCGCACCATGATCATAGGTTAACAACTTTGCTGTCTACTTGCGCACCACTCTTATCGTCATCATCAATGTAATCATTGTATAAACCAACAAATTTCATCAGTGAATATCTTGATTCCTTTGTTGTCAGCAGGAGTCTCGATCCTATATATGCAGAATTTTAGAGCGTAACGCGATAGGAATAAACATCCATCACCGTTTTAGTTGCGTTTATTCCTATCCTGACACCGAGCGACCCCGACGATAGAGAGAAACGCGACGGGAGGAATCAACGACGCCCCGAATTGTGAAAATCGTGCGCAGTTTTGCCTGTTCTGCGTGTTTATTCCTATCCCGAGAAAAGTTCCCTAGATCGTGTTTTCGTCTATCATTCTGCAGTCGGTTTAGAGCGAAACTTGTGAAATGGTTCGAAATCGCAAAAGATAGGAAGGTCGGCGGCACAATTTACGTCGTAGACGGTCTGTTGAGGGTGTTCTGTCGTGCGAGTTGCGCCCATGGCGTAGTCTGTGTGTTGAGGGTATTTTTGGCCTTTTAGTCTGCTGAGAGGATAACTCTTTGAGAGAGTTAAGAGGATAGCCCGCTGAGGGTATTGCCGTAGTGTTTCAGCAGTGTTAGGAGGTCGCTGGCACAATTTGCGTCATAGGTACTCAGCTCGAAATGAAATCTGTCGAGAGTATTGGGCGGCGAGTCTGTTGAGGGTATTGCGCTGACTCTGCTCGGGATGAAATCTGTCGAGAGTATTTGTCGGCGACTCTGTTGAGGGTATTGCGCAGCATGTGAAAAAAGTGCACACGACGCCGATGGGAGAGAAGTCCACACGACCTAGCGCCAATCTGTTGAGGCTGTTTTATTGCGATCTGTTAGAGGTTCGCCGCGCTTGTCAAAGAGAAGGGGCCGGGAGCTGTCTAGTCGAGTGCGGAGCCATGCTGCAGCTGCTGCATTGAGGGACGAACCTGCGCGGCTCTATTCTGTTTGAGGTTTTTGCTGGTTATCTGTTGAGGCTTTAAGCCAGCCCCGCAAATTTTGAGAGTTTCGACCGTGCGCCCATCTGTTTGAGCTACTAACTTAGTGGACATCTGTGGAGGGTTGAGCTGAGCAAAAGTCTGGGCTTTAAAATTGTTTGCGTTTCGTTAAGTAATTCAGCGACTAAAACGCGCCGAACGTGACTCGCAGCGCACTGACGTGGCGACATACTTAGTCCATCGCTTCTCTTTCAAATCTATCCATCCATGGCGTTGCTGCCCCCCCCCCTCCCCCTTTTTTTTTGTTGTTTACGGTGAATCTTCCTTGACGCATGTAACTAGATAGCTAGATACTTACGCAAACAACGACGGGGACGCAAACCAGTCACCGAAAACAAGCAAACAAACGACAGGAAAAAACAAGGAAGAAAAAAGCGCAAGGACGATCGCAGACTAAGGGGAACGCGAAGACGCCACGGAACTAACGAGGCAAAACCGAAGCACGGAACAACGACGGCAAAGAGCTGACGCGAGAGGCAACATCACGAAACAGCCCAGACGGAGAAAACGGCCGGCGAAAATGGTTGGCAGTGTGTTGGCAAACGTGGGAAAGACGGACGAGGAACGTTGCGAGGCGGCTCGAGTTGTGCTGAATGAGTGGCAGGTTGGGTTTCTTTGGGGATGGAGCGGAGCAGTTTCCGGGGTCTAAATTCCGGGATGATGGGATGTTTCGCAGCGGAGGCATGAGCGAGGGCCAGGAGAAGGCGCTGCGCCAAATTTCATCACTCGTGGACTTATACTGGTCGCAGTGAGAAACCATGAAAGAACTTCGCGAGCAGAATCGCTTGACGGCGAGGGAGATGTCGATGGCTTTCACTGTTCTAACGGCGGAAGCCGGGAGCCTGTCGGCGGCGGCTCAAGCTTTCGGAGCAAATGTCGCCAAGAAGTCGCAGCACGTTGCGCTGCTGGATAAGGTGGCAGCCTTCGGCCCCTCGATCAAGAAGATGCGGCCGGGGCCTGTCGGTGACGTCAATGCGAAACCAGGGAACACGCCCGGAAGCAATAGAGGTGAGGGGGGCTCCGCGCCGTCCGTTTGTTCGGATGTAACGGACTTGGTGAACGCATTGGCGGTCGTAAATGTGCACACTCCTAACCGTGCGGTGACGTTCTTACAGTTGACCCACCCGAAAAAAGAAGCGTTGCAGCCTGTCCAGAACATGCCCCAAAGTGATCTCCTGGATCTGGCCCGCAAAGGATTTCTGGAAACGCAGCACACATTTTGGCGGCCGCAGGGCCGTGAATGGATCATGGTGGACGTAGATGCGGCACCCAGCTACTCCGTTTTGATGACCCGAGTGCGGCAAGAATCTCGCGCCAAATTCGTGACGCAGACAAGCGAGAACCGCTACCAGGTTTGGTGCTTTGTTGGCGAAGCTACTGCAAATTCGCTGAAGGTAGCGCGGCGGGACTTATACCAACTATTTTCGGGAGATGTGTCGGCCTGCCGAGATGGACAAGTTGGGCGGCTGCCTGGTTCTTTCAATCCAAAGAGCTTCGCGCAAAAATACCGTACGAGAATGGTGTGGAAGCGTGAGGAAATTCCAAACAATTTGCGTGGGGTTGAAGTGGACTCGGATGGTGCTTGTCTCTCTCATGCTTTGGCGGTTTCAGTCAATCGGCCAGGAGAGGGCCTGGCGCTGCGTGGTGAGATTCTTGAGAGTTTGCGGACATCTTTGAAGTATGCTCCTTTTTTAGTGGGGGAAGCTGGCCAGGAGCTAGGCTGTAGCGATGAGGAAGCGGAGCGGATTGGCTGCGACCTAGCAGCTTGGGGCACTTTCCTAGACAAACTCATAGCGGCGCCCTGTTTGTGGCTGGGAAATTCGTTTCTTTATGCTTGCAAGTCATCCCCTCTCGCCGGCATCTTGGTTGCGATGTGAAAGGGAAGAAGGCTCCCAAGATGCCGCTGGGGATGGGGGTTGCACAGTTCTAACGCTTGCAAGCAGCTGCGGAATTTCTCTCGCTGCATATCGTGGTTTACGACGTTAGCCGTGGCGACAGGCATGACATCAATAGCGGCAGCGGTTCGCCTGTCTCTTTGAAATATACTGGAGTCCACTACACTCCCCTGCTGCGAGTAACGACGAGCCCAAGCGCAACAGCGGCAGAAAATGCGCCCCAGATGACCTCAAAAACCGTGGGCCCCGCCGATGCTGAGTCGCCTAAGGTAGCGCAAGACACGAACAGCAAGGAACTACCCGGCTCGGGTGAGCAAATGACACACGCGGCGAGCGCAAGCACAGCAGGCGTGGAGGATGTGGGGGGTGCGCATGACACGAGCGGCGAAGAAGGAAACGACCCAAACAGTGGCTCCATTCGTCAAAACTTTCGCATTCCGGACGCTGTTCTTTTTTCTCTCTGCGCTGCTCGAGACGAGAAGAGGGCCGCCGACCTAGGAGAATTAGAAAAGGGCCTAGCGCGTAGTCATCGCCATTGGTGGCGAAAAAACTCCTTGCGTTTCAGCAGTTGCGAAGGCTGCCCCACAAATATCACCACGAAGAAAGGCGCAGGCGAAATAGATGCGACCCCCCGCCGGTTGTCGGTGTTGTCTTCTTTCCCAGCTTACGGCCGAAATAGTGCAGCGACTACCGCTCTCAAACCAAAGTGGCTCACTGTGGTCGCACAGGAAGAGGAGAAAACGCGTGTCGCAGACCTCGCGCATTTAACTACGCACTGCGGCAAAGATGCCACCATGCGGGAAATCGGGCGCTTAGGCTTTACTTGGCGCGGTATGGGTGTCACAGCGCAGAAGTCTACTGACGACTGTGATGGGTGTGCGGCGGAAAAAGTTCCCAGGGCACTCGCGGACACGTACAAAAGCACCACCCTGGCTTAAGGCTCCCTCCTGTTCATCTCTATTCACAGCCTCCAAGCATTTGCATTGCACTAATGTAGGGACGTTGATGCATATGCTTGGGGGCTCCCTTTGGGATGGATAGGGATCGGTCTAACCTGCGGCAATCAACGACGCAACCTCGGCCGCCGAGCGGGCATTCGGCTGGACGGGGATCGACTTGTTCAGTTGTGAACCGTGTGAAGATACTACCGCTCCTATTTCGCCGCCTCCGGTGTATCGATATGTGTTAAATCACGCGTGTCAAACCCGAGGGGCCGTGGACGCTCGCCGTACGATTACCAAAGACCCTATCGAAATCAAGCACAGATTTCTCGACTTCGTGGCCGATAATGGTGCTCCGAAGTACCTAACTTATGGACCATCCCGGGGGCTCAAAATATATCGTGGCAAATCTGTTGCGTATCTGACTGCAGCACGCCCCGCATATAAACAAGCGCCTCCGGCTTTTTTTTTTCTAATTTTTCATCGATAACGGAGGCGAATTCGACCGCGTTCGCGCCTGGTGTCAGTGCACGTGCTTTATGGACTCGCTTTGGTTTGTGGTTCTGGTTTTTGGGCAGCTGTTCGGCAGCAAAGTTTTCCGTCTTTTGCCCATAAGGCTAACACGGCGCGCCGCTAGCTGCCGCGCTTATCAGAACCACAAGCGCTTGCGCCCATCACTAATTTTGTAGACAGGTGCCACGAGTGCCCTCCGTTTGCTGAGGATTTCGAAGGAGGCTCGCGAGCTATTGTGCGCCAAACACCGCGGGCACGGCCTCAGGCGAACGGCTCGGTCGAGTCATATAACGGCCAGCTGCGGAGTCTAATTTTTATGAAACTCGGCACCTCTCGCGTCTTGGTTTTTAGTCTTTCGTGTACCGGCGTAATTTTTGTCCCTCTTCCTCTGATCTCCCTAGCATCGCGCAGCGTGAAAGACTATCACCCAGCGAATAAGAGCGAGGGCTGGCCTGTCTGTAATTATTGCAAATCTCGCGGACGGTGGCCCGAAATTCTGCGGGATTTGGTTTCAAATTTAAACGCGCGCACGACTCGGGCGCGGTTGCTGCCTGCGTCCTCGTTTATCCGCTGCGGCATGACTATGCGAACAGTTCTGGAAGCCACTATGCACCCACTGCAAAGAAAAAGAAGCGCGCAAAGCAACAGCGACGACCTGGATTCACCGAAGCGCCAGAAGCTTGACGAATCTCCCGCGCCTGCAGATGAAACGAAAAAACTTCCCCCCTGTGACGCCAGTGGCCCCGCTTCGTTGGGGGGTCTTTCGCCTTTGTCTGGCCCTTTCGCTTCTGTAGATAAAGCGGATGCCGATCGAAAGGAAAACCTTGCCGGCGCCGACGCTGTTCCAAGTAGCGTGGCTGACGATCCATCACCCACCAGCAAGGACGAGGCACCTGCTGGGAACAACAGTTCGAAGCCGAACATTCTCCAACGTGCGAAGGCGGCAACTGTTGCTAAAGCGCGAAGAAATAAGCGGGCTTTTTTCACAGCCAGAGCACCAGAAGCGTCGGCCTTGTTGCAACAAATGAAGAAGTCTGTTAAGATTGGGACTAAAGTCTGGATCCGGGTCAAGAAAGTGCAAGCAAAGTACAAACCGAAATATATGGGGCCTTACATTGTTACGCGCATACATACCGACACAGTGGACGCCCGCAGTGACGGCATTTTTTAAGGTTCAAGCTTACGCATCTGTGCGCGCATCTTCGGAAAATTTGGGGGCAAACCTTCGAAGTTCATTCTTCTCAAATTTTCAGGGGTGCAACACCAAGATGCGTCGCGGATGCCTCTAATTTTTGGTAGGTATGAAGCGGCCCACCACTCTGAAAAACATACCGTGGATACAAATAAAGCTATACGAATCTACGCCGCTTACACGAATGCCGGCTCCTCCTCTTGATTCTGGTTTGCCCGCTCGTCCGCCGCCAGCAGTGGCCGCTGTTGCTCCTATGATTACGCGCGAGAGAGTTTTTGGGCCTACCACGATGGGCAGCGCGGCGCTTCCTCACTCGTTGCCGTTTATGGACATAGCCGAACTTCAGGGGCCAAGAAGTAGCAAAAACTTATGAACATCAAAACTGCTAGAGCTATCTCCGTCAGCACTTTGCCACGTCGTCAATCACTGACCAATCAGGCTGGTAACTGCTTTCCGTCATAGCTGTTCGGCGTGATTGTGCTTCTAATTTTGGCGATCGGTGTCAAGGGATATGTGCGCCGGATCCAAGTCGAGATGCGGGGTGTGTCCCTTATCGTTACATTATGGCGCCGAAGGGTTCTTTCTCTTGTGTCAGATTTCACCTCGTGTTCTCTGATTTGGGCCTGATGAGGTATGCGATGCTAGTAAATATGCGATCGCTTAAACCGCTTCACTTCCTTTGCCAGCCCCTCAGCAAGGTCTCGCGCAGCCTCCTCAGGTCCGACGAAAATACCCGCAAGAGAAAGCTCGCAAGCTGTCGCTACTTTCATTATTTGGCAAGACGGGCGCTACTATTAGCTGGCGACTTTATCAGCGTGATGAGGTGAATTTTTGGAAGCAGCAAAATTTTCCTTGTGTGGTCAAGATCCTTGCCGCATCTACAACGGTTTTCCGGGGTCGTGTGTTTCTTCGGACCGATGGCAACTGGTCCACTGTGCTTCTCGATTCTGCGACCATAGGAGACGACGCCTTGCTCCTCGAAAATATGAAATTGCAAGGGGATGCTTTACCTTCGAACACAAAACAGAAAGCGTCCTTGGTAAATGCGCTACAGCATTCCCTGCAAGAGGCGGCCTCCGGGTAATGTCGCGAATCGGTGAAGTCCAGGCGTCTCGCAAGTCACACGCCCAAAAGTCGCTTTCTGCTAATTTTGTAAGTTTTCTTCGAGTATAAATTGCCATCGTGCAAATTCATTTCGCGACGCTCTTACATGCTTTGTATCGTTTTCCATTGACGAAATCTCGATGCTATAGCTTTTCGGGCTCTTCGACGTTTTTGCTAGATGTATAAAAATTCTGATGCTAAAACTTCTGACAATTCGCGAACTACTGATAATTAACTAACGTTGACGCTTTTGCTAGAATAGATGTATAAAAATCACGATACTAAAACTAGTGACAATCCGCGAAATACTGAATAACTAATGACCACGGCACGCACTGCCAGCAGGTTGCAGGCGGTCGCCTAATAGCAGCGCGCTCGCTCTGCTCTGTTAATAGATACTTATGGTATAAAGTTGCAAGTGAAAGGATGCTTTATGTGCTCGTGCTATTTTTTCGATTTGTTGAATCTGTACAATGTTGACATCAGTCCAGGCGCTATTTTTCAACTCCAACATTTTTGATGCACTCGCTGCTGATCGTTAGGCGTGCCTGATTTTCTTGCCTGTTGCGCAAGCGCGTCGCGGCATATGTAAGACTCGCCCGCGAGAACTAAGAATCATGCTCATGAGGTACGCGCCGCAGTCAAATAAAGGCGAACACTTTCGCAGCTGTGAAAATCTGCAACATGCAACGTATTGCCATCTTGTTCGCCGCCACTGCTCCACACCGCGTTCGATAGTTCTGTCGTTTCTCATTGATTTGGAGCGCAGTTTGTCGCGTGAATCTGTCGCCGTTCCCTTGATTGTTCGCTTAATTATCCTCAAATGATGCCAGTTCGGCCATATTTAATTGCGTTAGAATTGTATGATTGCGACGCATATACTTGCGTCCTTCGCTACTGGTTAACGCTCCGATTTATGTTTGGTTCACCTGTTCATTCCTATCGTACCGTTTCCACCTAAAGTTCTGCATATATCCCACACTTCATTTATTGTGAGAGGACATATATGGACTTTTGTTCCTCCTCATTTCTGATACAGAGTCTTTCTACTCATTTCTGACATGAAACTACGTTCGAAACGATGCTAAAAAAATACGATTTTTACCATGAAACTTAATATACGAAACTGAAATCTATGCTAGCTTGATGAAATTCACCTTGTCCGACTTGTTTGAATGATGCATTCGTGTTGCAAAATAGACAAATGTCGACTGATAAAAAGTACGATTGGTAAATCAGTGCTGGATCACTCTCATAACATGCGTAACAATGAAACTACTTCTACTTGCAGTTCTCACAATGGTGAATATTCTTAACAGAGAACAAACGTGTGGAAAATCTGTACACTAGCTACGGTCGTATCATCCAAACCCTGCGACATCAAATGTGCTCTTGTTCAGAGACACAAACCATAATCACTATCTTCATCTTCGTTCATGATACATGATTAAGATTATTTTAGTATTTCTCATCATCTTCATCGCCAGTCACTAAATCATAAGCACTCAAGAAGTTTTCTTCGCCGCTAGCAATTGCTGCAGCCTTGATTTATCCGACACCGAAATGCCTTTACCCCTCTTGTTTCGTTTGTTCTTCGTATTTCCCGTGTCCTCTGTGGTTCCAGCTCGTGCTCCTTGTGAAGCAGTTGCACTGGCACTAGATGCGGAGGAACTTGCTTTAGAGGTCTCCGCGATTCATCTTCTTTCAGTCGCATCCTTCAAAAATCTGGGGAACGGAAGTATTCCCTTGTGGTTGTGATACTCCCCCACACAACTCTGCTAATGTACGGATGCAGTCAAACAAGAACTCTGCTGGTGCAAGGATGCAGGGATGAAACAAGATGAATATTCTATTCTGTGCATCCCAAATAGGCATATAGCACCTACCCCTACCGGCAGGATGAATCGATGTGACAAACTTCACAGAAAAGTAGAACCTGTAAACCAAAGAGAGCGGAGAAGATGGATAAAACAATATGAGGTAAAGAACCCTGAAAGATGAAGTCTGCTGGTGCAAGGATCGATGCAGGGATGAAACTAACTAGCACTCTGACCCCCTCGGCTCATGCAATGCATGCAATGCCATGCAATGCCATGCAATCCAACATCCTTCTTACGAAGTGTTCTATTACAAGTAGTACAGGTACAGCCTTAATAATTGTTGCATTGGAAGAGGAAGCTGCTGCTCCGTCATTGTTCGCCTTTGGACCTGAAGAAGATGCGCTGGATGAAGATGACGATGAAGACGAGGATGAACTTTGTTGTTGTTGTTGTAGAGCACTGTTGCTCTTGCTACTTGTTGATCTTGATGTTGGATCTACTAAAGAACCAGGTGGTGCAAAATGTTCAAAGAGTTCGCATATTTGCCGACGACCACGACTGAGAGTGTATGCGCTCTTTCCATCGTTGTCCAGCTGTGCAAGTAGAAAATGAGCAAGGTTGAAGCGCCCTGTAGAGAGCGATTGCAGGATCCTGGGATCTAGAAGAACGTTGTTGATGCAGGAAGTGGAAGATGTACTTGAAGCTGCATTCGTCTTGCTCTTAGGAGCACCCTTTTTCTTCTTAGACGGAGACGATGACGATGATGATGATGAAGATGATGATGACGATGTTCCCCCACTACAACTCCCACAAGTAGTGGCTGTCTTTGCTTGATACCCCATGCTCAGGCACAACCCGTTGAACCGCAAGGCGAAGGATAGAAGCTGTTTGCACACGTTGAAATGAGCCCCGACAGCAGCCCACATCAAAGCGGTGCGTCCCTTCTCGTCTTGCGTACTCAGCAACGTCTCGATCAATTCTAATGGAGGAGGCGAAGACGAGTTGTTCATCGAAAACAGCGTCTTCGTGAAAATCCATTCTAAGATGTCAAATCTCCCCTCGCCAGCAGCCAACATCACAGGCAAAGCATTTGACTGCAAAAGATGTAACTTCGTGTCGAAGTATTGATGGCAAACTAGATAGGCAACACACGGCGTCGAGCCATGACGAATCGCATGGAGCAACGCCGTATTTCCTTCTCCGTCGGTTGCGTTGACGGTTTCCTTTGTGCACCTGGAAGAGCGAAGAATGACCTCTAAATTGATGTGAAAACCTTGACTGGCAGCCAGCATTAAAGCTGAAAAGCCCTCTCGATCGTCCTCCTGGCTGGTGATACCAGATGAACTTGTCATGCGCGTATCTAGACCCGGATCTTTTTTCGCGGCAATGCTTCCGTTGATGAGGATATCGGTCATGGCGGCGGCACCTATGAGTTGATGTATTATAGGTACATTATGGATTAATATGAGTGGGAATGGTGAAGATGATGATGAAGATTGCATTTTCAAGTAACAGATGCAGAAACAGCTTTACATTACAGGAGTGAGAATAGCGGAGCACGGTACATCATTCTACTTCTAACCATCATGAGATGTATCGGTTGTACCACATCCACACGCATACATCAATGGTGTTGTCCCTTGTTTGTTTAGGTTCCCTATGGTGGTTACTTTTGGATGGGCGACCAAAGTCCGCAAAGCTGGCGAGTCTCTCATCTGATAGGTATAGACTCCGCGATCTCTTTCTTCGTGGGAAAATCTCCGATCATTCTGCAGAGCGCGCACTTTCTCGCTCAAACCTAAGGCGCAGTGAACGACCGCGGAGTCGCCGTCAGTGTCTACCGCGTCTGCTACGGTGAACGAAGCGTGATCAAGGAGGAGTCGGCACTCCGATTAGAGAAAGGATATGAGAAAGAATCGATTTTTGACGGACGAGGGATTCTCTATTTTGTAAAAAACTAACATATCTATCTCATCCATCTCGATTTTCGCTAGAACGAATATGTTCCTTCCAACCAAAACCATTCGCTAGAAAAGAAACTAAAACTATGGAAGTAGTAACTCCTTCTGTAAACTACACCAAAATGTCTTATCCATCTCCGTAAAGCTCTGCATCACCTTGGTACGCCACTTGCATCAATAATGTTTCGCCTTTCTCGTGTTGCATATTGACCGCTTCTGGAGGGAAAACATCCAGCATATACTTGCAAACATTCAGATCCCCTTTCCTTAGCGTCAGACAGCGTTTATCCATCTCGGTCGTCCCCTCATCATCTGGATACCTTCTACTCTTCGGAAGTTCCCAACATGAAAAGAGTAGTACAACAAGGGAAGCACAAGAAGGGCCGTACCAAGATGCTGAGGGAGAAAGATGGATAAAAAGTAGAGCTGACCTTAATTTCCCAAAAGCCTGTTTTAGCAATGCATGTGCGAAAAGGAGTTTCTTGTTGTCTTGCAGCTGTTGGTACTTTGTGTTTTGCTTTGCGTCGTCGTTGTTCTCTTTCTTGGATGAAGAAGTAGTAGAGGCTGAAGCCGATGTTTTTTGTATTTCTTTCCCTTCATCTTCGGCATTGCTTTTCTCCACCACACTCAAACTATCCCCGTAAGCTCTCACTAAAGGCTCAATGAGTGACAAGTCCCCGCCACGAGCAAGGGCAGTCTCCAAAGGGTGTGCGCCATCTAAATCCACTGCATCCCGCAACTTGCAGTGCTCAGGATGCTATATTAGACCTCGTCTCCCCAGTACAATATCTCCTTTGTAGCAATCCCTCAGGAGCCCACTGCCATTACTTATTACTCTCTCAATATGCTCATCTCGCATATCTTTTGGCACAATATCTCCCTTGTAGTACTGGAAAGGGGCTTAACTTTAAGATTAGCATTACTAGAGGTGTTTCCATCCGCTCGATCGCGTGCATCAGGGGATAAAAACCTGGAGAACAAGAACTACTAGTTGTCCTACTACTTTTTGTTTCATGCTGATTTGGAGTACTAGAAGCACTAGAAGTTGTACTACTTGTAGTTTCAGAAGTTGTAGTTGTTTCATTCTTGATCATCTTGTCCATGATCCCAAGAACTTCTCTACTACTGTCGGTAGTGCTAGTACTGCTCTCACCTAAACTGAGAGTTATCCAGTTCGTTTTCTGGATGAGGAGTTTCGCGACTTTGTGTCGTGAATTTTTTGTCCACTCAAGAGTGAGCCTGTCCGAAAGGCGAGCGAAGTGTTAGAGAAGGATCATGTTGAGGAGATGGAAAACTACAATTGTTAATAGGGAAGAATGATGAGGAGAAAACTACAAAATAAAAGGAAAGAAGGACCATAAGGAAACTACATGGGAGGCCTTGAAGTGAGATGACAATGCGAAGGAATGTTTATGTTACTACCTTGAAGTGAGCAGACAATCGATAATGACGAGCAAGAACTTGCCTTAGAATTACTTAGGTACTAGACCAGGAAGTTGAAGTTCTCTTCTCATACATAACTTTGACTCCTGGTTGGCTTGAAGACTTTCGCATGATTCTTCTTCTGCTGCAAATGCGCAGCGTGAAGACTCGAACATGTGATGGCATGAAAGATATCACTGTGTTCGCCAAGAGCCGATTGCCGCCGTCTTGATGCGACGCGATGCTGTAGATGTTCCTCTTGTTCTTAGGGGCTGAGAGTTGACCCCACTAGCTCGCATATCTATGGCTTTCCTTCTTCTCAAGCTTTCAATTAGCAAGACCTGTGATGATGAGTATGGTTGCTGCTATCTTGGGTCCATCACTAGGGCTTTCGTACTAGAAGAGAAGCCATCGAGATGCTGCTCATAGAGAGGAGGTCGAGGTCATCAACTTGCAACTACCCTTAATCATGTTCCGTGGTGTTGTTAGCACCCTCAGACGCCTTCTTTTTCTGTTCCTCTTCATTCAACAGATCGAGCAACGTTTCCGCGACGTCAACGTTTCCAGCAAGAACTGCGAAAAACAAAAGACTACTAGAAGGTCCACATATCGTCGTCTCTTCGTCGGGTTCGAAGATGTCATTCACTTTATTTAGAATGAACGAAGAGAAATTATCCATCTTCGTCTTCATCATCTTGGCTAAGACTTATCATTTCCCTATAAAAACCGGACCGAGATGCTCGGGAAGACGAAGATGGTGATGGATTTGTAAGATGGATTATGTATTTCTGATGGATCATTATGTACTTATTTCATGATGGATTATGTATTTCATCTTCTTGTAGCCTTAAGTTGTTTACTATTTGTCCTGCGCTCACACTGGAGAAACAGGATACATCATCCCCAGGTGAAGGCGCTGCAGAGCGACGGTTGAAGATTGGCGCATGGTACCTTGGATTTCGCAAGTATAGATGTTGTTTTTTCCATCTAGGCAATCCATCGAGGCCCCCCCGTAGGCTGTAGTACAACACAGTTTTAAGGGGAAAAGGGGCGCCCTAGATGGTCGTCAGGATGGAATAAATAACATGATCCATAGCAAGATTGTACAAACTACAGCTGCGACGATTCTTCTATTGCTCTCGAACCGCCAATCGACGTGCAAAAGAAGCTTTTTGACGAGGTCGATCTCCACTAGATTATCTTCTTCATCTTCTTCGCTAAGATTAGAATGAACTCACTGACTATTCTAAAAGTTATTTTGTCCATTGACAACGGCCCACAGAGAGATGAACGGAATAATCTCTCATCGATCTGATGTAGAAGTGCCCATGATTGTACTTGACAACGGCCCACACGGAGAGATGAACTGAAACAAGATCATGGATTACGTCGATTACGTGAGGCCTTAATCATAAGAGACTCACTTGCACTGGAGAAAGGGGTATGCTCATCATCCTCTTCGCTCACCTCCTCCTCCCTAGCAGCCTGCCGCACTTTTCGACGCTCTTTCTGCTTTTCATTCAGCTGCAAGTCCAAGGCGCCCAGCTTCAGGTCTTCCAAGTTGGCGTTTGGATAATTATGAAACCAAAATATGTTATCATTAAATCATACTTATCTACTTAAGAAACTTGATAATGATAAGAGATTTTCTTTTCATAATAATGATAGCTGTAGTAGACGAGGTCAGCGTAGTTATCGAGTCTCGGTTCGGTAAAACCTGCGCCAAGATCTTGGTCTGATAAACGCGCTGCCAGCAGTTTTGCACGTTGTAGCACTTGGGAAGGGACGACGCGGTCGCTGTGTTTGTGGTAGTTGGAGGCATCAACATATTCAGTGAGCAGCAAACTGAGTGTACTTAGGTGGTAGTGGTAGTTGTTGATTCTCCCTCTCTTTAGCCAGTCATGCCCAGGCTAAAAACAAGCAAGTTGTACCTTCCCCCTCCACACCCGCTTCCCACATCGGACGTACTATCTTCGGATGTGTTCTGCTTCTGTGCTACTTTAGAGCTCACCCTAATCCATTTCGAGAAGCATTCTGCTTCACTTTCTCCCTTCAAAAGCCTTCCCAGAATGCTTCCGGACATGGTGGATTACGGTGACCCTTAACTACTGTCTTCGTGTTCGCATTCAGGAAATCAAACAGTTTGTGCAACGCTGACGTTGGTCGAAAGTAGCCGGTGAGGGACAATGCCGGTATGTCCAGCTCCCCCGAGGCCTGTCCGAAAAGGCTACTCCGATTAAAGGTCGTTGCAGCATAGCATTACAATCTTCAAGACATGAACATCCTTCACCTTAGGCTTAGATCTATAATTACAAATAGTAGCACAACCTATTACTTAGTACTACCACTACCTAGTAAAAGTGAAACAACCTAAAAATTTAAGAAGTACAGTTGTACAACCAAAAACACCAAGAAATAAAACTCAAGCAATGGTGAAGGCGGCTTTAGTATAATGCGGAACAATTCCTTAGTCTTGGCAGAACCACGCGGAACTTGGAGCCAGGAATCTTCGCTAACACAAGAAAAGAACTCGCTTTTGACCTTTGTGTTCTTCAGAAAGCTACGGCGAGCTGGGTCTCGTATCGGAAAGGATCGCGTCTCGAGCCAGCGTCGCCATTGATCTAATTGGGCTTTTTTCTTCTTATTAGAGGCACCGACCGCCCATCTCTCAGAACAACTCTAGAAGTAGCACTATTGGAGTAAGTATGTAGAAACCGCCTTCTAAAAGATGTTGCTGTGTTGAGAGATGTTGTTTGTTGATGGTACGTATCCTTAATTCTACTCCTTATTTGCTGTTGTTCATCTTCTGTTTCTGTACAAGAACTACTTGATCCTCCAGCATCTGTTGTACTAGCTCCATCTTCATCGTCATCTTCAAATATCAACTTCCTCTTGATATTGGCCTCCTCTCTAGCTTCTGCATTGTCGATGAGGTCAAAACACGTCATAGAGTTCGAAAGGTAGAGAGTTCCACGTAGGCTGCTGCACCACTGTGCAGCATTATTGTTGATCTTTGCTGCTATTGACGCTCTAGTTTTAGGCGAAAGAGAGGAGCTAGAAGAGGAACTGCTAGAAGACATTGACGTTGATGTTCCACTTAATTCCTGTACACGAAATGGAGACCGTTTTTTCCTTTGAGCTGATGAGGCTCCCTCCTTCTTGTTCTCTGACGATGTTCCGTCACTAGTAGTAGCGCCTTCACCATCGCCGTTGTAGAGATAACCTCTAAACCCACAAACATCGTCTTCACTCAGCCCCTTCCGTTTTTCCCGAAAACCATCACCCTCATCGTCTTCGATCCATCTGCAGGCGAAAAGGGGAAAAGCTCGGTCGTTCGGATCTACCACTAATACTTTATTCTCTGACGAAGTTTTGCCTGGTTGTTGTTCGGTTGGTAGTTTATGATCTTTTTTCGCTGTATTCTCTGGTTGCAGGTCGGAAATGCCGCTCACCTTCGCATCGGAAGCTTGCTTACGTGTAGCCGCAACGCGGCGCGGAGGTGAGAACTCAGGCATGGTTTTATCTTATGGGAGAATGCCTTTCAATTTCTTTAAAATTGGAGATTGAGATTGTTCGTTTCTCTTGTCTTCCATATCCATTGTTGTTTTTTCCTATTTTTGCTCCTCCCAATCAAATTCAAATTCAAATACCTATCTTCGCTAACTCCAATATTTTCGCTAATTGATAGGTCATTTTTTGTGAATGACCACATCTTTTTTTTCGGATAAGTGCTGAATCAATGTCAATCTAGTCCTCTTGTTACTCATACATAAAATCCTCTCTTTCCTCTCAGATCGAGCTCCTCCTTCAAATAAGGCAGCGCTCATTTAGTAGTACCCTCATCTAAACCTGGCAGGTAACTCCAGAGCAAAGGCAGTTTTTTCTGCAAGACCAACAATCCACACTCAAGATTCCCGAGGAGGGTCCCATGTGAGCCACCATCTTCTTGGTACAAACAAGGCAGGGTAGATAGTTGATGCAAAAAATAACAGTTCATTTGTCCACGAAGTACGATCTCTTATCATGCATTTGCGTATCTATGTTGGTGTGATGTTCTCTAACTGATAACAGGTATTCGCAGGTAGACGGACGATCTTGCTGCAATATCCCTTCTTCTTCTAAACAAGTCGTACGAAGAGGTAACGGTAAGCGCATTCAATGCATTTTATTGAGGTGCAGTTCTTTCAACATGATTCACAAAAAGGTAAGATCTAGTTCTAGAAGTGAGCTGTGAGCATGATTAGAAGGTACATCAAGCTCCTCAAAGCTATAAAAAATAAGAAGTGAACAACTCTAAAAATTTATAGTAGACAACATCATCATCATTATTAAGGCATAATGTCTCGACGACCAGTAGCAATCTGCTTACTTACTACTCTGTATCGATTTCTTTTGATTTCGGAATATCGACTAAAAAGACGAGATGGAAATTGATTAACTTCAGAGTGACCAATATTCATTGATGCGCGAACGGTAAGTATGTGCGCGTCTGTATGATGCTCGCTCTAACAAGACTGCAGGCGAGAGACTTAGGTTGTTGTTATGGGAATGGGATATGTAAGCAAAGAGAGTGTAATCATGTTACTTAGCAAAAAATTCTTCTAGTGGTGCAGCTTCGCGGCACTACTTATTTCATTATCATTACTAGCAGCTACGTCTTCGCACGCATTTAAGTAGATCGTCTACAGATGGGATCATAACGACTTACACGCCAGGTGATGAACTCCGACGCCGTCTCTTCACACCTAAGAAAGCAAGGCAGCGATCCATAGTGGCGGGTGGAGAGGTCGTCATACACGGCGCTATACCACTCGCTAGCTCCTGTTGACGCGCTGCTAGAGCATGCTTGTCAAGCTTGGGATATTGAGGGGTATTTTGGTCATTGCAATAACCACCGCCGCTACCCCCAGAAGATCCTCCATATGTATTCGGACTCCTTGATGAAGCGGTAGCAGTCAAGTAACCAAAGAGGTAATTGCTAGTATTGGGAGTGGACTGCTGCTGCTGAAGTAGGTCATTAGAAGAGGCGTTGTTTTCACTACTAATTGTACCACCACCACCACCTAGAAGTAAATGACTTGACTGAAGCTGTTGTGATTGGTTATAGTTTCCACCTACACTACCAGATGTTCCGCCACCCATCACGCTAGAATTTCCACTTCCGGTTCCGTTTCCAGCACTACACCCTGAGTCGCTTCTGGTAATCAACCCCCCCATAGTCGCATCTTGTAGAGTCGTGCACCATCGATCCATCCACATAGGGTCCAGAGTTTTTAGAGTTCGTTTCCGTTCCGGCATATCACAAACCCCTAGATCGCTGAAAAAGACTGCAAAATCCGCATCAGACCTCAATATTTGCCTCTGCGCCGTGAAGTCTTGTTCGCTAATCCTCAGAGCACGCAGAAGGTGGATCGGTGTCGGTTCAATACCGGCTTTATTACTGTGTGGTCCTGATGTTGGGGGTACTCCTAAAGCAACGCCCTGTAGAAGAGCGGGACTAGTAGCGTTGGTAGGAGAAGAGCTGTGCGACCTGAGCCCAGCGTAAGAATTCAGACTGATCGACGTTTCACCTGGGGATAGAGCAGCGGCGCCAATACTATTATTCACTCCACCACCACCTCCGTTACTACCTCCATTGTAGTTATGATGCTTCATGTAATTGCTTGTCATGGATGCGTTGCTCGACGACCGAGTAGGGAACTGGCAATGCAATGTTGAGCCTGGTAGATGCGCAGTCGTTGGATCTAGCTCGGTTCCGGAGTATGATGTTCTTGTTGACTCTGCACCGTTTGAGCTGACTTCCATGGCTTCTCCTCCACTGGGACACACCTTGATTTTGTAGCTCCCGCTCCCCTGATTCGACCTTGGCGTCGTGGAATTACTCCGAGCACAAGGTTTCGCGGAGAAAATAGGAGCATTTGCGTGCCTAGGAGATGTTTCGCGCTCCAACACTTCAATGAGGCCTAAGTCCAGATCCACGTCAAGGGAAGCGAAGTCAGTAAAACTGTTTCCACCTTGCAGGTGTTGAATACTCATGTGATGGTTGTTGTAGCTTGAAGACAAGAATTGTGAAGATTGTGGATGGTGTTGTGCTTGTGCACTAGCTTCAGCAGCTGCATAGCTTGCAGCACTACTGGGATTGTTCTGTTGGTTAAGAATATCCCTCATAGTTTCCTGAAGTGCGAAGTTGTTCATCGAGGCAAAACTTGTGGTATGAGCGGGACCACTTGCGTGGTAGTTGCCACTTGCCGTAGTTGTGGTTGTATCGTCTTCGAGCTCAGCGTTAGAGATGCGGGGACCATGGTTGTTGTCCAGGAGGCGACTCTTTGAGGATTCTAGTATTTCTTGTTTCAAAACGTCCTGTAAAAACGGGTCTTGTCTATGCTCTCGATGATGGTTCAAAAGTCTATGCTCTCGTCGAGGTCTGGCAATAGCGATTTCGGGTGAGGCGGATGGGCTTTTCAGAATCAGGCAGCGGTAATAGTGCTCCCAAAGCAGGGACCGGGCACGGGGTAAGTCGAACATCACCTTCAACCTGTATTCCGGATGAAAATCCTTCTTGTTCACGTGTTTCACGCTCCAGCCGCTTACTTCGACTTTAAAACAGCTCAGAACGATGCGATATTGCGTTTCGGTTTCCTGGACAAGAACTTCAGGCATCGTACAAGTAGTGCTCGAAGAAAAACTAGTCGGCAATAGCGCAGCATTGAAAGAGGAATTGGAAGTCATCATACTATTGTTCCCAGTGTTGTAGCTTGCGTTACCATGATTTGCGCTTGGTCCTAAAGTATTATTTGACGGCATGCCTTGCTGTTGAACGAAAGTTGTCGGAAAAGCGTCTTCTGGAGATGTCCCCTGATGCGTATCAATATCGGGAAGTCCTACCGGTTGTTGTTGTTGTTGTTGTTGAGCATTTACCACAAGCTGTCGATCGACAACTCCTATCGTAGGTATTCTTGCGATACCTTCCAACGCTGTTCCAGGCAAAACACCTGCTCTCCGATTTTCAGCAACGCCAAACTCGTCTACTCGAGCATGGTCTCCATATGGAATCGGCATTGGGCTCAAATTGTGAACAATATTCACATGATGCGCGTGTTGTTCCTCGTGGTAATTTCTGTTTGAAGGTGAGCCGATTACGTCAGCTTCGGGGACTCCGTACTTGCCACCACCTGCCAGCGCAGCTCCGCTTCCTATTACTCCTCCTCCAACAACAGCATGTCGATCTGAAGGTCCTCCAGAACTCCCAGAAGCGACGCTACTTCCGACTCCTCTCCTCCGATTTCCAGCCGAATCTGCAGATGCGCTTCTCCGTTTAAGATCCACATCCTTCGCCGTTCTGGAACGCCCACGCAAGGTAGTGACTTCGTCGGTCGTCGCACTACCGCCACCACCACCCCACCACTTACGAGAAAACATTTTTATGGTCGTAAAGCTTTCTAGTTGGAAATCATGAAGAGATATGATATGATAGGATATGAATGACTATGTAGTTCTCATGAATCACTGTATCTAAATGAATGCTGATGATAACTAACTCATTCTATTTGAGACCAGTCTGATGTTGACCGTACGATTTTAGAGTGAATAATATGAGGTGAGCATTATTGCGGCATCAAAGGATCTCCGCTAGTCCAAAACTAAATCTCGAGACATAGCATAATGATAAGATGGACCGTGGAAGACCAAAGGCCAGATTGTCTTTTCAGAAGAGTAAAAACATCTATCAGAGCCTAGAACTCAGAACAAGTGAATATAATTGAGGGTCACTTCTAATGTGTTTTTATTACACCTATAAGCATAAGCTTAATACGTATAGATACGTCTACTTACTTCTACATGTTAATTCCTTTTTTTCATGGTGCCAAAATCAACCTCTACTGCTGCTTGATGACACATTGCAGTAGAGGTTGATTTTGGCACCGTTGAACAACGAACAGCACCAAACAAAGAAATAGAAAATACGCATACGCTCAATTTCTACTTGTTACGGGGAATCGTCTCTATCATTCACTAAAACATGAATCATGATAGGAGAAAAGAAAGTAGAGTTTAAATTGGACGAAAAACATAGAAGAAAAAGCACAAGAGTCGACTCGTTGCAGCGAAAAATATAATCAACAATATTATTGTAAACAGACCTGTTGTTCTTGGTAGGAACAAGGTGGGACTAAGATTCTAACATCATCGTTGATGCCCCGCCATCTTTCTCTGTTAAATTTGACACAATTATTGCCACAGTTCGTTGTACTCACTCAGGACAGAGATGGTCTTCATGGCCTACTTTCTCGTCACCATAGATCACTCGACGACTAAGAAAATTGATGCAATGCGTTTCTCTCTCGGATGACGAGAACATCCTTTTGCTTATTCAGGGGTAGCTTTGGAGACCGTGCGTTTTTTACCCTAAGAAAGCATCAGGTTCAGGATTCTCACTTGCTTGATGCATCAATTCAACTTGCAATTGGATGGTCACTCTCACTCGGTATACTCAAAATAGGTTTCTTATCTTACTTCAACTTGTTGAAAGGTCGATTCTTTTACTTTCGATGTTTTCACTCGCATCTAGCACGGACTCACTTCTTACTTTGATGTAGCTGCTATACAGCTCTGCTGTCTTCGGTTGCTGCATGATTGGTACAACTTGAGGAGATTAGGGTGAACTCGTTTATATTTATCGGTAACTAGTACTTGCGCAATGCGCGTGATCCACTAGATATTTATAATATAAGCAATTCAGAGTCACTTCACAACCCCAGGCATGAGTTTTTGCAACTTGGCAGCGCACGTTTCCACACTTTGTCGTCGGTTTCGCAGCTCCTTTTCGCGTACTGCTGTTGCCGCTTGTGGTTCTCCAGGAGCACGGTAGTAACTATATCCCCCTGGCCTGGTCGGGACTTTGGCGTATGGATAGATATCCTCAACCCGTTTGTCTGCGTTTGCGCAAGCCGCGGTGTAGGCTGTCAAGACGCTCTCGACCTCTCCCATCATGGCTTTCCCTGCCGCATCACAAGCCTCCAACTGCAAACTCTGTTCCCGCACTCGGTTTTCGCTTTGGGTTATGATTTCGCCGAGCAATTCCTCCAATTCTTCGTTCTCCTCCGTATAAGCTTCAATTTCCTCCTCTAGGCTTGCGGGAGTATGAAAAGGCAGGAGGAAAAAGGAGGTTTGGAACGAAGTTTCTTCAGTCCCGGAAAGTGTTCAAGGGACTTCTAGTACGAAGGAAAGTGTAGACTTATAGATGCACAGTAGTTTAATATCACTTGATGAAGCTCATGGAATTGGAAGATTAAAACAAAAGAGGATCATGAAGGTCAAGGTAGTTTCTTGAGGAGAAGGACTAAGTACATCGACCAAATTCAGAGGAAGGTTTCTTGAGGAGAAGCACTATTAAGTACATCGAACAGCAAGACATGATAGGGTCGGTCAAGTACATCGACCAGCAAGACATGATAGGGTCATAATATCGTGGAATCACTTGTGCTAGTTTTTGTAGTTCGCAGTCTCGTTCGAGCATCTTACTGAGAAACTCCGCACATTTCTCCCTCTCGCGTGCTTGTTCGGCGTCTAGCTTGTTGATCTTGACCCGGATCTTGCGACGATCACGTTTCAGGAGTTTGCTGTTGTTAGATGAGTAGATGCGATATCTCGGTCGAGGTGGTCATTTAGAAGAAGCCCCTCTTTTTTCCGAGATTGATAAACAAGGTACAATATCTCTGACTCTGTCCGTTCTTCTAAGGACATCTAAGTATTAACCAGTAACCCGTCTTGTCATAATCTCCGCCTGCCAATCCTCCACTAATCTTTCTTGAAGCCCTAGTTCCTCCTGGCATTGCATCAACAGGGTCTCAATCTCCATTTGCGTCGTATGCACCAGAGAAACGATCTCCTCGACTGGCATTTGAAGGAGGGAAGGAGCGAGAGGTGGAGAGCTGTTCCTGCAAGAAAGTGTGAATTCTATGAAATGATATGAATAAGTAGAAGATCAAGTAGATCAACATCATAGCAGGAGCGGGTGAAAGGAAATTATGGGCTTAAATTGCACGTTCTATAGGCTTGTGTACTAGCTGTTTCTACAGGCTTGTTGATGCTCATAATCTTTCGCCTTCGCAATCTTCTCGGTTTCCCTCTTCCTCTCCAACATAGTAAACAGATGTAGCCACTTCGCCAGGTCTGCGGCGCAATCATGAGCTTGCATTTGCGCTACTGTTCGTCGTTCCGACAATGCCAACAGCATCTCCATAGCTCGTAGAAACCATTCTTAGAGGTAGACAGTTGTAAGTAACCATCCATGGTTCTTGACTGGATTCCTTTTCCTTATATTCCTTGCGGCCTTTTGTATGTTTATAAGGGGAATGCACTGTTTCTGTTCAGGAGAGTCCACACAAGAACAACTACTGTTCAGCAGAGTCCACACAAGAACAACCAGATTGATAGTGATCGACTATCCTTAACATTCATTTGGTTGCGGTATCTCTTTCCTGGTTACAGCGACTTGAGCGCGTCTCACGAAGTCGTCGGCGGGAAATATTCCTTCATCATAGAGCGCTAAGACACAGTCCTTGAGTACTTCTAAAGTTTGAGCTCTAGCACCTCCAGACGTGCCAGGAGACACAAGGTTTAATGTGGAGGAGAGCGCTGCGCTTCTGGGGGATTAGAAAGTGCTAGTAGATGTAGAATTAGAGAGTAGTAAATGTTGTAGAAGAATATAAATGTGAAAGATGGCCGATGATCTTGAAGTTCTTGAATTGATGTCGAAGCAGAAGACCCGAGTCTAATTACTAGTACTAGATCTTCTCTACTCCTCTGCAACTCTGCATGAAGTAGAATCTTCGTCTTTCAATCTTGTCCATTCAATACCAACATAACCAAAATTCCCACTTGGAGCCGCAGCAAAAGGCACACCACCTTGAAATAAAGGGTTGCCTCCTCCAGTATTTGCAGGAGATGTCAGCAAGTTATTCCAAAACTGCCTCAACTTAGACCTTTTTACTTATATTTATTCATCTTGACGGGCTGCATCGCTGACGCGTTTCCACCTTAGAAAGGGGTCAAAGATGCTTCTTTTTAGGATGACCACTGCTGTAAGCCTTAATGAACTCCTTTGCGAAGTCATCCGGCTTCACATGCGGTAACGTGCACATCAGCGCCAGAAATTCAGTGCCATCCAGTGCGGTGGCTTCCTCCACTGGTTCAGGTGGCTCCTCCACTCCTGGAGTAGCAGCTTCAACAGCCACAGGAGCATCTGGAGCTTCAGCAGCCATAGGAACATGATCTGCACTACCGCTACTCGCTAAAACGGCACCTTCTCCTGTTCTTGTAATTGAGACTCCACTACTTGCAGATCCAGATGTTGAACCAACAACGACATCGTTACTTTCAACATTACCTACGTTAGAGGTTGCGACATTGCATCCTTCAGATCATCCCTGACCCTTTTCCTACTGGAAAAATAGTCAAGGATGGTAGTGAAGAATGCAATGTGGTAACCCTTAACTACGTTGACATCATCAGCCTGTCCTCGGAGAGAACTTACTCCACCCTCGCTCTTTCTGCTAGTACGCAAATTGAGTGTTTCCGCTTCCTCTAGTGCTCTTTGAGTGTCCAGGAATCGACGGCCGCCTGCGGAGTCTAGACTGACGGCACCGAGTAGGACATCATCATCGGAGCCAGGAGTGGTTCCACCGGCTTCCAAAATCCCACTGCTAACCGACGACCGCGCTAGAGACGCCACGCTTTCCCGACCACGCGCACCTGAAGCCTTTGCTTTCGCGACGTTCCTCACCGCGGCAGCCGCTAGTCGCTCAATCTGATGCTGCAAGAACGTATGTCCCGGAGGAACCACTAGACCCACTCCTGCTCCACCTGTGGCACTTCCTCCAAAAACAGCAGTTGTACTATTCCTACCTCCACCAAAGCCTTGTTGACTATGAGGATGACCTCCTGCGACGTCTTGGTCGTGTGTATGAACAACATCCGGGACTTCTGCGAAGGTGACAACTCCTGCACTTGGACTCTTACTAGGAAGTTTCTTTCCGCCAGCATTTGATGCACGTAGAGAAGTCCTTAGGAAGGAGCCGTCCGCTGCGCCTGCAGCTACTAGGTTGTTGCTCTTAGCACCTGCAGGACCGCCTGCGAGTACTCCCGATCCTCCAGACACCCCAGTACCACCTCGTTCTCTAGTATCTACTTTATGGACATCTCCAATCGCCAGCAATCCCCTTGCCAATGTCCCAACGGCTTTGAAATCGAGCTTTTTCTTCCCGTCTTTGGTTCCTCCTTCTCGTTCTGCCCAATGCAGAAAGAGTTCGGCATAGAAACTTAACTGCGTTTTAGACGGAAGCGTTTCAACACCGGGTAAGAATTCTGGTGCTCTTAGGACAGTATCGAAATCGTCCAAGACCTTATGAATCTCCTCAAGGAGAGCAGTCTCACCGGACGGTGCAGGGATAGAGGACGACATGGTTTTTTTGGATGCATGGAATAAGTAGCTTCAACTAGTGGTTTGCATACTCAGTGAAAACTCGGCAGCCCCTGTCCTTCCTTCGACTGCTTGCAATAAAATGGATTTCCCAATATGGAGTTCGATCGCGTACCTCTCTGCGACTTCTTTTCACATTTTCAAATCAATGTCAGTCTTTCTCCTCTCTTTCTACTCAAGACCGATGAAGCCTAAAACTCCATCTGCTCCCCGACTTCAAGACAAACACAGTAGTCTGCTCGAACCAATCTTCATGACGGTTTTTTTTAGGTAGATTGTGTTGTGAAGTTTTTAGGCTTCACATTCATATCTTCTTTTCTTGGAAAGAACAAGCGTCATGCCATCACACTACATTCAGTCTGAAGAAGTCAGGAAACAATTGTTGTCTCATCATTCCTAGCGCCCCTCGCTAAAGAACTCCCTTTTCATGCACCCCCTCCGGTCCTTCCTCTTCGTAATCATCCCGATTGAAGTGATGTTTCTCCACGCTGTCCATGGATGCTAGTAAAGCGGCCCCTAGATACGCCGAGTTCGACGTTACGATTAGACTATTAAACGGTGACCGAAATGTCTGCGCTGAAGACAACGCTGGCGGCTCCACAGATACATCCAGATGCGACGGTACAAACATCTTGTTGTACTTCTTCTTGTCGCCTGCTCTCTGAGCTGAGGCACGACGCGCTTCGATGAGGGCGTGTGGGGCACGTGAGCGCAGAGCCTCCATGCGTTCCGCTGCTTTTGTGATCACGGTCTGCGTTGTTGCGAGATTGGCTACTTTAGAGAAGGCATCTGCCTTAGCTGCTCCTGCCTTAGCTGCTTCAGGTCCGCCTCCAGGTGGCACAACATTGAACTTGAATGCTCCTCCTCCGAGGCCTGGCCCTGCATTCTTGGCTTGTTCTGTTCTTGTATTTGATGTTGCAGCACCAGTTTGGCCTGTATTTGAGGGTGCTGCGGTTCCAGCTCCACCTCCAGTACCTTTAGGATCTCCTCCAGAGGCAGGCTTCGCCGACGGCCGCTCCGATGACCTCCCTGATTCTGCACCCTCATCGTGGTTGCCTTCACCAAGAATAGGATAATCAGCAGCGTCCGGATAACCTACATAGGCTTCCCACGCTCCCGGTTTTTCTCCTTCTTAGACCTTCATCCCGGAATCCATCTTGATGAAAGTCATGATCCTGGACCTGTTTTTTTTTTGGATATTGAAGGCCCAGCACCCTATCCAAGATGGATTATCGCCTTAATCTTCTTCCTCCTTCTTCCCGTATTTTGCTCGCAACCTCATGGCCGCCTTTTGTTTTTCTGGCGGCAAATCTGCAATGTCTGGCGGTAGACCTTTGGTCTTCTTCTGCACCTGTATTAGAGCTACCGCATGGGCATCCTTGGCAGCATCCTTGGTGCCTTTTCCAAGTAGAAAAGGAGCCAAGGATGACGGTGAGGATGCTTCAGCGGTAGCCTTAACTGTAGTTTCTCATACCTGCCCTTCAGCTCGTCACTCATCTCAAGCGGATAGGTGGATAACACGTAGGGAAGGTCGGCAATTTCATGGCGTATCCTCTCAGGCATATTGTGCGTGTCCGCAAGACCGCCACTAAGAACGATGTTCAGATAGAGTTCTCTGCGGAGTTCGTAGCGACACTGGTTGATGGAATGAAAAGCGAGCTCGTGGATGCCTAGAGGGGTAGCCTCGACAGCTTTGTAGCGGACGTTCCAACGGAGACACTCAAAGATCTCTGGATTGAAAAGTCCCTCGAAACATCGTAGTCGTTCAGTGCCGATCACCGTGGTTTTGCCTGTAAAAGGATCTTCGTAGGGCTTCTTGCCGCAGACGCGCAGTGGTGCTTAGAACAATTACAATAGTCAGCTTCAAATACTTCTGCATCTGCTTACTTAGACAACAAAATCCGACTATGTGATTCCAAGTTGGAGAAGATAGAAGAAGATAGAAGATGAGATGCAACCACATCAACAAAGATCCAACCGTTCAACATTCACATAATCTGTATTCCCTCCCGCTCCTGCAGAGAGCACCGCACCAGAAGAACGCAGAATTTTCTCAACCGCATGCTCGTGATCGATGTCATCACCTGCGAGCTCTACACCCTTTTCCTCCTGCAGATGCTTCAAAAACATTTTCACTACATCCTCGGAGCCGAAGTGGGACTGTGGATTTGTTATTGTTTTTCGATTATGCAGTGATCAATTTTTTCGACAACTACAGCATTGATCTTGATGTTCTACTTATAATATGGTGAAGATATTCCTCAATTGAGTGACTGAGTTCGAGTTGTTTGTGTCGTAAATTGAAGAAGTACTTTGGTAGAAACTAAATTAGAACTGGTAGAAGTAGTACCTTCTGCAAGGTATGCGGCATGAGATAGCCTTCGTAGATACACACTGCGGAGCAATGCGCGTGCCCTATGTGGAGCACGCAACCCGTTGACTTTCCATGCGCACAAAGCTCCAACGTCGCTGCTTGGGCGAAGCAGACTGCTTCAGCGTCAAAAGAATCGAAGAGCATTTTCACCATGGTTTCCCTGTTACGCCGGCTCGTCCAAGGTTGTTCGGTTATGATCACTGGATACCGCAAAATGGGCCATTCGATCACCTCAGTTTCCTCATCCGAAGCTTCCTCTGCATCTATGACCTCTTCTTCGCCTGGTGGACGAACCGGAGATGAAGAAGAAGATCCGTCTCCTACTTGTTTAGATGTTGCAGAACCTGTGTCTACTTGTCGTTCTTGCTTCCCACCTGTTCCGCCTTGGTTCTTCTTCTTCTGTTCATCTCGTCCGTCTCTACTCGAAGTCGAAACATCGCTATCATCGTCTTCTGCAGGTACGGTACGTTCAAGAAGGCCACCCCCGCCCTTCTTCTTTCCATCTTTTTCTTTCTTCTTTTGTTTCGCTTTTTCAGCCTTCTCCCGCATGCGTTGTTTCTTCCCTCCTTCTTCATCTTTCTTCTTCCTCCTCTCGGAACTTGGTGGACGTGGTGGCAATGACGTTCCGCCCATTCCGAAGGTTAGAAGAGCTCCTTACAACCCACATCTACATCTCTTGAACAAACTAACTCATCTTGCTTCGACACAGTTGAAGATTCCCCCTTCATCAAACTGGGTTCTTTAGAGATGTTTCTCAAGGTGTTGAATTCCATTTCCAAGTCCAACATGATTACTAAGTTTAAAAGCCTTAAGAAAGATTTCGAAGCACCACTCGCAGTTCGAATCTTCATCACCGCTTTTCGTCCCGCAGCTATCATATCTGCCTTACTCGTCCGTACACGAATCCTAGGCAGTTCCAAAGCTGGATTTAGGAACAGACGACGCCAAATCTTCTCGAGAACGTCGAAATCGCGACAGACTCCACGATACATTGGCCAGGTCAACGGTAAGTTCCCCCTCTTTAGAGCTCTCCCCTATTCATCCCTGTGGAAATCCCTCAAGCATATGCGTCAGTATCTCCCTTGTATTGGGGCGCATATGTTTGAGGGATGTCTACAGGGATGGATTAAGGGAAGCCTTAACCTCTGTTTGAGTGCTTCATCAAAAAACATCTCTGCACCACTCTCTGCGCTCTGACCGTAGCAGTTGTCCAAAACGAATCTCGGCTCTTCCTCCACCTCGCGGTCTAAGTCTACCGTTACCCCTGACCAGATCTTCCGACTGCCCATGTGCACTAGGACGCACAACACTTTGTCCACAGTTGCGTTCTTCTTCTCGCTTTCTAGGGTCCCTTGGTCGCGCTGAGCGTCTCTGTAAAACCGCTCTGGCTCTTCCTTGGGCAGAAAGACGGAATGGAAGCCAGAACCGTGTTCCCCTACGATGTTGCCTTCAATGTCGAATTTGAACCAAGGTAAACCCGTACCGGATTGCAGACCGGACAAGACTACCTTGCCCCTCTTATGCTGTTGCTGTACACGTTCATTAGAACTAAGTACTTCAGTGCCATAAATCCATCGATCTGCAAGAGCATCGCAGGCCCCGTTTTCCCTCGAGAAGCGGGAGCAAGATGCTTGGGAAGAAGAAGATGGATTTGTAGAAGCCTTAACTCCAGGAGAGGATTCCGAATTCGTATTCGTGGTCATATTAGTCGTCGTCGCCCTCGTGTGCATAGTTTCCGTGGTTTGTGTCGTCCCAGGTCTAGAACCCAATAAAAAAGATGGAGAATTGCTCTGCGTTCCTAAGGTTCTTGGTGGAGAAGCGTTACTGTGTGACGTTCCTTGTCCTGGTCTCGGTGTTGCAGACTCCATACCTAGTATAGGACTTCCTCGAGGACCCGGAACACCTCTGAGGGCTTTCGCACTCAGACGGCTATTAGAGGACACGGCGCCACCACCTCTAGAACCTCCACTTGCTCCACCTCTAGAACCTCCACTTGCTCTAGACCCACCGGCACGAGACCTTCCACTAGAAGCATTTGAGGATCCCGACATATTTTGCTTCCACTCTCTCGCTGTCTGGGCGCCGCCTTCAAACCTATTGTACCTAGGAGAAGCCGTTTTGTCGCCTGCTAGAGGACTCTCTTCGCGGTGTCTGTTTGTTTCGAGCTGACCCTAGTAGTTCATCCCCATGCTGGAAATCCCTCACAGCAAGCGTATGATCCCCTTCATGCGCTTCCTTGACGGGGGATCCTATGGTATAATACACAGAGATGAATTAGAGACCCTGAGCCTTAACTTGTTCCACCTTCTACTAGAACGCTTACGTCAGGGTCATTATCTTCTGGTGACGGTCCTCCGAAATTTGGCATCGTTTGTCTCGCTGCTCTGCTGAACGGCGAGTCTGGTCTTGGCGATAGTGCTGTTGGAGAGACGAAAGTGCTGGATTTTTCCAATGGATCTTGCATCACTGGAGATCTAAGCACTAGGCCCAGAGAAGCTGTATTTCCACCAAGATTCAAGCCGTTCAAGCCCAATGGCGGCAATGCGCGTGGACTTGCAAGACGAGAAAAGTCCATGGGTCGTGGTCTGCCTAAAATGGCCTCCCCTGTGGACCACGCGAGACCGCCACGTGCTCTGCCTGCACCAGCGCCAAGTGTTAGAGCTCACAATAATTCATCATCGTAAAAAAAATCTTTTGAGTTCATCTCTTCAGATTATCCTCAGAAGGAAATGAAAAGAGATAAGTACTCCAAGAATATGAGGATTTGAGTCAATGATTCATCTAGTATCGCCTTAAAAGTGGATTTATCTTGCTCAAGCTTGCTGGTGCAATCCTCATCTTGGCTTTCTCTAGAGCATGCGCCAGTGCCATCTCATCCGTCGGCTTCGAGAGCGATCCAAAAATAGAACGCTGGCGACTGTGAGGTAACTCAACCGGTTCGGGGCCTGGCGTAGCCACCCGAACAGGCGGAGGCTCAAGCTCGGACTCATCTATCTGCATGGTTCTTTGGTGACTTTGACTTAATGCTTATGTTGCAGCTGCAGGACAAGAAAGAAATCAGTATTAGGAAGTGTCACTTCATCTTCAAGGAATCATTGGAGGTGGTATCTTCTAAGTCAGTTTGTAGCAGCTTTTGTGTGGAAACGTGCAGACTCCTTTTCTAAGTCTAACTCAGCCCTTCTACTTGATTAAGAGCCTAATATCTCCGCTACATCAATACGTCTAAACAAAGCTACATCATCATCACAAAACAAGACATTTAGCAAAGGGGAAGAACATCTTCATGGGGGAGGAAGTGCGGGAAAAGCTGCGACCGAATAATGAATATTGATGCCTGTGACGTAGATCAACAAACATTCATTGTGAAAAAGAAAACGTCTCTGAGTAGATCATCTGTATAAGAACTACGAATCCATCCGGATCTCTTCCTACCGACAACATGGCATTTGCCTCTTGCTTGAGTGATCGTGAGCTATGTTTACGCTCGGTCTCTCGCTCAAACACGCTGGCATACAGCACCGAGGGACTGAGTGAGAAGTCACGGAGAACACAAACCAAAACGCGAGGGCCAACGCTTATGATCCTGCGACTCGTCGATAAAAAATATCCGCACTAGTTGGTATGGAGGATGATCCAGATCTCGCTGTTATTTTCCTTCTTCGTAAAGCAAGTCGTTGTCTTTTCTTCTCCAATAGTTTCTTCTACTCTCGTAACAAAAGTGTTCATCTTTGACTCCCTCTTAAGGCTGGCGAACTCCCACCACCTCCAAATCCTGGCGAACTTCCACCTCCACCAGGACTAAATCCAGGAGAACTCGCGTCCCGACTCGTTGTCATCCCAGGTGAGGTCGGTGGATGGTCTATGCTGCCATCATCGAAATTCATTTCATGAAGGTCTTCTTTCGTTGGATTCAACTCCCTTCGGATCCGTTCTTCTTCTTCAAACACTCTCGCTTCGCGTTTCTTACTGTCTTTGTAGTAGCGGAAAAAGACTCCTCCAAGCAAAGCCGTTCCAAAAGGCACTGCAAAGCTAAGTGCTGTCTCGATAAAGCCAGGCGTCATTTTTTCGACCCTATGTCTTAGACGTGCTTCGTGCGTGGTTTCCTTGCTCGGTCGCCAAAAGCGCTGTGCATCCGACTCATGCTCTTTTGGGCAAGAGATTTCCACTTGGTAAGGAGAAGGCTCTAGCTCCGCGAAACTAGTCGCCACCTCTAGCTCCGCAGGTGGTCTCCTACTTAATGATGTTGAACTGGACGAGGACAAACTCGGAGTGCAGCAAGTCAGCAGATGCTGAGCATGATCTGCGAGAATATGATGAGCTGCCATCTCTGAAACTTAATCCACCTTTATGATAAATCAAAGACTTTATCAACTTTAGTTTACTGTGTTGTAGTCACTTCTAAATTAATAGGTGCCCAGAAAAGTACTAAAAATGAGATCATTCGTTCTACTCTTATAATCTCGTGTGTAGGTGAGTCTGATCGCTTGGTCATAGGTGCGGTCGTAGTAGGTCGCATTGACTAGGGAGAAATCTTTTTGCCTCAGCACCGAGTGATTTATTTTCCTACCGACGCAAATAATGCTTATCGACTTCTTAGCCGAGCTACACCTAATGCGTTTCACGGACAGCACAGTTCTGACACCGAAGGTGCGACACAGCAAAGACGTGGACACCGAAGATACCAAAGTCTTCTCTTCTTCGAACAACTGCGACATAGCTCGGCAGTTATGATCTCTACCGATTAATTTTGGCTATGGAGTCACCTTTTCCAACATAATCGATGATGTAAAAAAACTTGTTTACAATTGGGGCATAGCGAGGTGAGTGTGTTATCATCTACTTCCTTGTTTAATATGCCGTGCATGGAGCCCATGGGAGGGCTGCCTTGCTCCCACCATTTCTTAGAAGAGCGAATTGCTTCGTCTCTCCCAAGATTCTTGGATGTGGAGACGTCGGGAAAATGGATACTTACAGTCGTTCGCTTTTATGATCTTGCATACGAAGATACTGATCAAAAGTTCACCTACTGTGCAGCCTGTTGTCCTTCCACCTCATCCAGCCTCTTTTCTATCCCTTCCACCAAATGGCTCATTGTCTCTTCCAGGCCGGGTGATGTAATTCGCGTCCCCCTCTCGCCTGCCAGGCCTACTTCACGATCCAGCGGAATGGCTCCCAAGTAGCTCAATCCATAGTCAGCGCACATCTTCTTCACCCCTTCACTTGTCACGCCTAAGAAGCCACTCATGTTCTCGATCACTCCTAGTACTGGGACCCCCGTCTTCTTGCAGAAATTGACTTCTTTCCGCACATCTGCTAAAGCAACCTCCTGAGGGCTGGTTACAATAATAGCTCCAGAAATCTTAGCGTCTGCGAGATAGCCTACGATAGCAAGGTGCTCGTCGCTGGTTCCCGGAGGTGTGTCGACGAAGAGGTAATCCTGCGCACCCCACGTCACATCAGTCAAAAACTGACGAATCAAACCGTTTTTCCTGGTAGTTTGAGGTTTCCGTGGATTGGACCCGAAAGCGAACAGTCCTCATTGGTTAACTTTGACGAGTAGTGAGAAAAATTGCTCACGTGGTTCTTGCACTTCGCAAATCAATGAATGAGAGTGAGAATTACAGATGAAAACTCTATTAACTCAGCCTCACAACCACTCGATCTAAAAAAAAAATGTTTTCAACATCAGTACCTCGGTCCCCGCCATATGATTGCATCATCCTCTTTCGGCAGCATGAATCCGATTGACATGACGCAGAGATTTTCGTTCAGGTACACCGGACTCCATCCTGCAGAAGATTGGTGGACTTCATGGCCTCGCAATCCTAGCATGGTAGGCAAACTCGGGCCACAAATATCGATATCTAGCAGTCCGACTTGATTGTTATCCTCATCTCCTGCTTCCTCCTCGTTCATCGGCTGCACGTGGTCCTTCTCCAGATTCGATGCGACTCGAAGTCTTCCTACCTCCATTAAGCTGCTTTCCGACACTTTTCTTGTCCTAGAAAAAGCAAACGAAAGTTGACAGCTAACGGTCGATTTGCCGACACCGCCTTTGCCACTTAGGACTAGGACTTTCCGTCTGACATCCTTCAAGACTTCTGCTACTTGTGCCACTGCTGGATCCACCTTCTTCGCTTCGCCACTCGCACATGCTCCTTGATTCGGACAACCGGCACAACCTGCGGCTTTGCCTGCCTGCTCTGAGTCTACGCCTACGCAGTCGGCATTCGCGTTGTCGGGAACGTAAGTTGCATCCGCTAGTGCATCTGTTTCTGTCGCTCCTTCTCCACCTTCTTGACTGGTATTCACACCACCTATTGTGGGTACACCTGCGCCCGTTGCGACGTTATGCCTATAATTTTTGTTTCCACCTCTACCTGCTTCGAATTCTACTACTTCATCTTCTTCAGAACTTGAGTCATCTTCTTCTGATGATGTTCCACTACCACCTGGTGGTCCCTTTCCGTCTCGAGACCGACGTCCTCCGCGCCTCGTCCTTCTTTTTTTCTTGAAGAGACTGCGCCAAATCCCACGTGCGCCACCAACGTCATAAAATACGCAGGCCGCGGCGCCAGCTACAGCGGTAGTAGCTACGGCGAGGGGCAGCAAGCTACTGCTTGAAGATGCAGAAGCTCTGGAAGTTGAGGATGTCATGTTATTTTCTTGCAGTCTGACTGTATGCAAAAATGCACATGAACAATTAATTTGCAGACCAAGGAGACATCAAAGACAATCAAAATGAGCAAAAGAGCTTGCAAGAGAGTATGGGAAAGACACGTAATGAGAAGACACTGGCCAGTAGGTACTACACATCTATCACATCCTGATTCGTTTTTCGTCAAAGTTCTTTTGTATGTTGTATGATCACCACGCAAAGGACTAGACAGGATGTTATGTGCTGTTGCATAAAAATAGAAACCAATTTTTAATGGGACAGTTTTCAAAGGGGACTGGGTAGGGTAGGTGTGAATGTGAGTGAAAGATCCTGTATCTGTATGATGCTGACCGTTTCTCGTGAATGATCATCTTCTAAATGGGAATCAGGATCTCAGTCTCGTCAACAAAAATGTTGGATCATTCCCGAGGATATGGATCTGGACTTTCATCTGACGATCATGCGACTTGAGGCAGCAAACCCTACAAGCATTATATTCTTCGGCTGACATGCTTGGACACCCCTGGTGCTGGTGACTGATTGGTAACATCGACGGACTGTTTGTTACAGCGCGTTTCTTGTGAATAAACTACTTAAGTCAGTGTCAGCGTAAGCAGTTCCTTGGCGTTCGTGTTAGGTAAAGTAGGCCAGATATAATATCCTTGATGAAAATATCTCGTTCTGAAACAACAGTACTTCATAGGTTGCCTTTTCGGTTTCCTCGGAATTGATGTTCAATGGAATTTTAAGTCTTTGTCTGTTTTACAAGTTTAAGTCGATGATATCAAACGCATGTTCTCTGTTTCCTAGATGTTGTACTACTTTCTTTTTTTATCGCACCTACGAGTACGAACTCTCTACGATCTTCCTCCTCCCATGTAGAGTATTCCCACGGTCGCCATATACCAAAGCCAGAAGAAGCTTTGCTTAGTCCGTCGATTCATGGTACGCGTCGCTACGGCAACGCAGGCATCCCGATAGCCTACACTATACCGCAGACTCCGACCAACGCCGCGAACTAATTCGTCGTAGGGCCTTAGAAGACGAGATGGTGCTCATCTTCAAATCGAGCACCTTCATCTGCACCAACGTGTCACAACTCTATATTAAGTGGCAAGTAACTTAATTATGGATTTAAATGCTTGACGGTGGTGCGACATTGAGATTGAAATACAAATAGTGGTCGTGGTCCTGAACAAGATAGAAATACTGAGGAAGAAAGGAACAACCATTAGTTTTTTATTGTTGATCTTCTCGACATGTATGTAACTTCACAGAAAATAATGGATAATTCTCCTTGTAGTTCTTGTACTAGGCGAACTTAGTTTTTGCATTAACTGTTCTTGCATTCTTCTGGTATGCGTGCCCAGTTCGTCTTTCAGTTGGTGTTGGTCGTCCACGAGGAGGTCTATCAAATTCGCCAAATCCTCCAACTCGGTGTCGTAATACTGCTTGGCAGCTGGTGTTGTGGACGCGTGCGTGTAGAGATTGAGATATTTCCTTCACGCTCACCACCTGCAAAGGAGTATGTATCTATTCTGACTACATCAAATAATGTAGTCAGAATAGATACATACTCCTTTGCAGGTGGTGAGCGTGAAGGATGGAGAGGAATAACGACGCAGTAAGATGAAGATGAACGTACTAGCACAAACTTGCACTCGATTTTTCACATTCACACTACCACGGACTATAATTAAGTTGGCGGAGCAGGCCTAACTAGAAAAAACAAAAACCGAAAAAAGAAAGGCCAGACACAGACTAGACTTAAAATGATATATTATAAGTAGATTCAAGTTGTAAAAAGCGAAGCCTACTAGTGGGTACTTTGCATGTCGAATCCTCGTTGTGCGCACTCCTTGTAATTTCGATCAGCGTGCTTAAACTTCACTTCCATATTCGAATATTTCGTCTGCAGATCTGTGTTTTCTCGTTTCAACCTCGTCACCTCCGACTCCGCTGAGACGAGCTGTGAGCGGACTTTTTCTAGTTGTTTCACGCGTCCTCGTTCGTCCCCAGGAAGTGGTCCATCCCAGCCGATCTCGTATGAACTCACAGGCCTCCTAGAAGACCCTCCACCTGGTGAGGAGTCTCGCGCCGTCGAACTACCCCCGCGGGGACGACTTGAAAACCCTGCTACACGAACTGCGCGTGAACCACCTCCTCCGTCTCGTTGCTGTTCTTCCTGTAGTTGCTTATTCATAGTGCCAGCACTTTTCAAAGTCGACCCTCCTCCTGGAGAGACTCCGCTATGGAACCGTGGCGATACACTCCTACTATTTCCTCTCGAAGCAGAAGATATCCGACTTCGAGTACGGCCTCCACCTGGTCCACGAGAAGGTTCGCGCATGAACAAATAGGCTGAATTCGATCCCATTGCGGCCATCCTCGAGTGCTGGTCTTCGTTGTCATGATAAGCGTCATTTGCAGAACCAGAAGCCGAAGTGACTCCACTACGAACACCTCCTGGATGTTGACCAGTAGTAGATGTCGAAAGCGTCCTACTTCTCTTTCCAAGAATACCGCCACCGGGAGGTGAAGAACCTCCGTAAAAGTTGGCTTTGTTGTACAACTTTCCGTCAACTTGATCTATCGTGTCCACTGCACTCCGTATGCCTGTAGTTCCTGCTGATGTACTTGTGCCATTTGCTGCTGTAGAAGCGAAAGGCGCCGTCGAGCTGCTACTCCCGCCGAATCGAAAGCTTCCTGTTGAGTTGCCACCATCTCCGTATTGGTGGCCCTTTAGAGTTGTACGATACAGCCTTTCGTAAGCAGGAATGGCATTTTTCTCGTGCTCCAGATGTCGGATGCCTGCTGAATTGCCGGCTGGAGGAATCGCTCTGGTGCCTCCAGCAATCGTATTCTTCCTACTATTCGGCCTGGTGGTCGTTCGTGTTGATGCTGGTGAGAGAACAGATGCTGCAGTTCTTGGTCCAGTTTGATGCCGGAGTGGGCTCGGACTCGGCGCTGGCTTTGGCGGAGACGGCAGGGGACCTAGCGGAAAAGGTAAAATGACGATAAAAATTATGGGGTATAAATGACGATCTCCTGTCGATGACGATCTCCTGTCGATGTGTGGAATCTTTTGGTAAAGACAACTTGGACAAGAATCTGAGAAATGAACATAAGAAAGCCACCTACCTTCATCATCCACAGCAGTCTCCAGATATTCTAGCAAGTTGTGGACACGAGCCAGCTTCTCTTGTTGCGTATCTAGATCCAAAGCAACTGCATCGCCTGTTTCAGCAAGTGATCGTAGCGTCGTTTGTACTTTGTCGCAGACTACTCTGTAAAAATTTGTTTCGGGGTAGATTTAGATTGAAGGAAGAAACAAATCGCTTTTTTAGTATTTCAAGATATCATGATCGACTTGATGTTCTTGATCGAGAGACATGAGTGATGACAAGGTACGTTGGCCGCCCGAAGGGAAATGTCGTCTGGCTAGCAGAAGACGAAGAGTGTGGCTAAACCAAACCCGATGGGAAATGTATCATAAAGTGAGTACCCGGCGGTCGCAGTTCCGCTGCTGCTACGTGTACTGCCGCGCAGAGCAGCAATGAGGGTATCGCCTTCCTGTAACAAGCTCTGGAATTCAGTATCGAGATTCACCATATTTTTCTACACGCAGAGGACTCACGGTCAAGGCGTCTCCTTTAGGTTATGTTAGGTTGGGGCCTACCATCCCATGTGGCAGACTTTAGCGGCTGCTGAGGAGCCTAGCAAAGGTCAGCATCAAGAAGCTCCGTTTACTATTCTCCTTTTGATTCACTCAGAGCTCCACTTTCATTTCACGTTTTTACCTAATTAATTTGCTTAAAGAGAGTTTCGCTGCTCCTTTTCCAGCTCTCGGTCAAGATCACAACACTCTTCTTGTTCTTCGCAACCGATAGAAGAACTTTTGTAATTAAGCACTCCTCTGAATCTGATCGTTCTCAGAAGCAATTTCTGTGCAATCAGGTAGGGAAGTCGCATATTTTGACCACAATTCTTCATCTTGAGACGGACTGAATCGTCTTTCCCCCGCCCCAGACTTGTTGCCTTTTAACACTCACACCCACCCCTTGTCTCCTTTTAACTCTGTTACAAAGTAACAGTCTTTATTCCTACCACGATGAATCATCGTTCACCATCACCTCGGTGTTACCAGTTTCTACTGTCAGGAAAACAAGCTACTAACCACTTCAATGACTGATTTTTCTCTTCATCATTTCATCTTCTATCTCTCATTCATAAGGAAACATGAAGAGAATTGCATTTATACTGTAGCAGAATATTAGCAAAGCGCTCGCACACTCACGGTAAAAAACTAGGGGAAAACGAAAAACTGCATTATATCAAACTACTCTGTGTTTGGGTAAAAATCATCACTCTACTTTTTCAGGAATCTACTGCAAGAAACATCAATCTAGCAGAGACAAAATAACTGGGTAGATCTAGATCTGTGATGTAAGAAGAAAAACTTGCACGTGAAGATCGAACCGAGAAAAGACACAACTACACGATACTATCGTCTACACTAGTTTATCGTATTCACACCCCCTCATTTTGCTTTGCACATCCACCGTCTCACCCTCATCATTGGCTTGCTGGATGTATTCTCATCCTCCTCATCTCCGCGATACAGGTACACCTGTCGTCTCCACCGGAATGTCGATACTGGCACAAGTACCTTACTGCTTCAATCGCGGGATCAAAGTGCCGATGCTGGCGCAGCACGCAACTTTGCAACCGAAGTCCGCACTGAAATTTCAAAAAAAAATTTCAAAAAAAATCTTTTATGAAGATCAGCATTCAATATTTGTGATATTCACATACACAATGAATAGTACCATAAGGTAAGTCCCATCGTGTTGACAAGGCACGGGGTCGTGTTCGTGCATGGCAAGGCGGATCGGGAATCGACGCAGCAGCATTGGACCTTCTTCTTAGAGGGAAGAATCTAACGACGTCAAGAAAGCTTTCAATCAAGGTTCTAGTAGGTTCAGGAACAAAGACGAACTTCTGGTCCACTTATAATCTGTGCTCATGATATGCATGTTGATCTCAAAGAGAGAACTTCTCATTTCTGTTGTAAGTAGTTGGGGGTATGGTAATCCTCATTTTCTCTTTCATAAGGTTATCAATGCATCGAGTTGGGATGACGCAATATTCCTGGGATTCGACGACGGCGCAGCATCGCTTATTCTGATCCTTGCAGTCCAAGGGCTTGCATGCCGAGCAACGACCCTGCAGGAAGAGCGCAGTACCTAGTGAGAGAAGTTGTGAGAAGGAGGACGATGAATACATGGATATCTTCCAGCATGAGACTGAATGAAAACTGTAACTATGGAGAAAAAAATCATGATGTTGCAGACGGACAACTAAACGAAACACGACAGTCCAGATGAACAAAGAAACTCCAAATGTGCCAGATTAAGGTAGTGCAATGAATATGAAACCATCTAAAAAATACCAGAGCAAGTGCAGCCAAGGCATTGCGGGAAAGTACAATACAGAGAAGAAATCGTGCAGCAGCAAGCGGAGCACGGCCTGAGGAGTAGTAGTAGTAGTTGTGGAAGATGTAGAAGATTTGATGTAGAAGATTTGTCAATTCTACTTCTAACAAAGCTCACAAAGACAAGCAACTAGGTATTTCATTTATGGAGAAGTACTACTTAGCTTTGGAAAAGTAGTAACCGAGACCCTCCACTTTGACCAGAGATTGATCAAAAGAACCTAAAAAACACAGTGGTACACAAGATCCTCCACTTTGACTAAAGATTGATCAAAAGAACCTAAAAAACACAGTGGTACACAAGATCCTCCACTTTCACCGCAGACTGATCACGGGTATCTTCGTCATCGGACATATGGCACCCTTCCTTGAAATCGCACACTAGAAGCTTCGAAGGATCCATCGTGCACAGCGGTTTCATGTAGTGGGATTCCATTTCTGAAGTGTTGGTGGAAGAGGAAATGGAAATGTTGTGGGCGTCTTAGTAAATGGAAATGGAAATGAGCTGTTGTGGTATTAGTGATGTCAGCAGAGGTTGTAGAAGGTGTCAAAGATTCGCAAGAACTAGCACTACCAGCTACCTCTTACGAATCAAGAAAGAGAGAGACGAGAGAGAGAAACAAGCATTATCATCCAGCTAAATCCACTCTATTTTTCCAACACCTACGCCAGAACGAACACTAGAACAACCTATACCTGCTATGTATACTATATTATCGGTGGCGCACACCTAACTAGAATGAAAGCAAAAGACCGAAAAAAAGTCAAGTAATCCAAATGTACCTGCTATGTATACTATAATATTATAAAGTACCAAATTGGATCGGAATATCCAAAGCGACGGCTTCTTTGACGGTCGCTTGGGCAACCGTGTCCATAGGCGTGCCATCACGCATGTTCACGGATTCCTGCTTTGGGGCCTGCATTTTTCTTCGTGATGTGCGTTGGGTCGCAAGATAGTACAAGTACGAGAGTACTAGAGAGTTGGACTCGGTAAGTCTGTCGTGGAGCTAAGTGATATAAGCTGAAGTGCTACAACTGGATGTGGACACTTGGTAGGCGGTTTGTGTACTTGATAGATGTACAGCTCCTAAAAGTTGAAAGCTGTGGTGCTTGTTCTAGGTGTGGATGGTCAGTGGAGGGTTTAAGACCTGCTCTTAGTAACGATCGATGGGTGGCTCATGCAGAAAGTGGCTCAGTCAGGAAAAATTTAGATTTTTTAGATTTGAAAAAAAAAAGGGATCCTTCGGGACCGCAGCCAAAGGTGTGTCCGGGAAGTGACCACCCCCGAGCGCGACAACATGCGGACGGCGAAAAAACGGACTGCGAGAATCGTTTGACCAACAAAATCGAGAAAACCATTCTTAGCGCAAAGAGCAGGTCCGTTAGCTTGGTATCTCGTTTCTGCTAGTCTTTGGTGATCCGTTTAGGTTTTTGTTGTATTGCCGACACAAAGGGACTCACAGGTACTTGGAAACACAAACATTGTCGTTGAACATGAGAAGGAGTACGGGTTGTAGTGCATGTGCATTATCTAAATAGAATGAAAATCTACTAGATTCTATTTTTTTCTTCGGCTAGATGAAAAGACGCCTAAGATTTGTGATGAGGTTGACACATCGCATCCTAGCGACATGAAATCGGGTAGAGCTACTTTCCTGAATCACTACTAAATCCGAAAAGGAAAACTACTAGTAATACGTCCATCACACTTGTCTTTTACTGTTCTATTTGTACTGTAAATAGTTGAAGTTGAAAATTAAAATCATGAAAAAAACTTGAGAAAAAAATCAAAGAATCTTTTCACATCACCTTATCTAAGTATACTGCAAGGGTTCTTCAACTGTGCATATGCGCATAGAACTGCGCGTCTTTCCCCTCCTCGAAGGAATTTGAACCAGCGTCAACTACCTCCTGCTAGTAACTTCATCTGTTAAACGTAATAAACTACAACCTTGTATCACTGTACAGGTTTACTCCTTCAGCGACGGAATCAAGTCTCCAATGGTCTTGCAGCATTGGCAGGAGGTGCCCCAGTTGGCGAAGCACGTGCAGCACAGGCAGTTGATGAGGCACGGAACCTCCTTGGTGCAAGGAAAAGCCTGGCGACCATCGACGCAGCAGCATGCGTATTAGAGAGGAGCAATGGGAAGATAATGGACCATTTACTAACATGAAGGATGATGAATTTTCTAGATTGTAGGCGTACCCGTCAGTTAGAATTAGATAGTTATTGAGCAACTAATTCCTAATATCTGGGTGGAGCCAACCTAATTAGGAAAAGTAAAAAGTAGAAATGTATGTGGATAAAATATAAAATAGCGTCTAGAAGATTTCTAAACAACTGGAACTATTTACTAACTATATATGCATTTCTAGGTACTCAAGCAGGTTACATCATCTTTTTTTGGAATTTTGTTCATAATGACATGTCTGCTGGCGGCACGTGCGCGGCACGATGAGGTAGTGATTGCAGTTCACGAAAGTGCAGCAGCGCTTCTCGGCATCAGAGCAGTCAAGGACCTGTTGAGGGGCTTAGGACTCTGCAGGACAAAAGGAATGAGCTGCTTGGTCCTGTGAGACGTGGTGAAGGAGGACTCGAAACTAAGAATGATAATGTCAGACTAGCTTTGGATTATGTGAGTAGGACATCAGATTCTTCAGAAGGTCGGTCGGTGAGTGCTGTCCAAAAAAATGAAAGCACCTTGCAGCAAGCATAAGTGCACTGAGAGCAGCAGGTTTCGTCAGCGCCACTGCAACCAATACAAGCCGGGAAAGTGCAGTAGATGGAACAGATAGAGCAACCGTCACCGTAGCAGGGCCTATGATCGATCGTGAGTATTTTCAGCTTGTTTCACTCAATCTTCTTGACGAACATCATGGACACTCAGGGTCAAGAACAGATTCATGCAGTGTGTATGTCTAATGAACAGCCACTGTATGTGACAGTCAAATATGACCTCGGTCTATCTTCGGGAGCCCTCTGAATCTTCATCATAATCCGTTAAAAATACTGCATATCAGTGACTTTGACACCGCCATCGCCGGATTTGTTGGGCATTTCGTGGCAGCCTTCCATGTAGCACACCTCCGGATATGGCTTCAAACCGGCCATGGTGGCTGTATTTGAAAAAAGTACAAAATTTTCGAAGAGGTGTCATAGTTTCATAGTCGAGGTTACATTTTTTACAAGAATGGCGTGTTCATTGATTCTGATTCTTGCAATGAACTTTGACATTCAGTAAAAGGTCCCTTACCCGGAAGCTGCACATTCTCCATGGTCTCTTGGGCTGGGCACTGCATCACCGTCATCGTGTCGCTGAGCTGTTGGGATAGCCCTTGTAGAGTAGCTGAATTGCAAAAGTTTTGCCTTATTATGTGAGTGTTCTGTAATTACCCGATCGTGATAATGTGATGCGTTAAATTTGCTGTGATAAAGAAAAATGTAGATTCGTTGGAAGATGACGCAGAAAAAGACTCAACAATGGTTCATCATTTATCGAGGAACTAGCAACATCACATGCAGCAAAAAAGGGATTCTACTTCTAGCTATCGCATCAAACAAATGAACGCGATAGCTCTCCTCACCCGATGACACGTTAACAGACTGTTCGCAGCTACTGCAAAAGATGCGGCATCGACCAGGACTCTGCCAATAGAACCGACTTGCTGCTCTGTGCGTGCTCCAAAAAAAAGGGTAATCGCCGGTCTTAGCTTTCTCATACCTCTCTGACAGATTGTTGTTCAGAAGATGGCCTAAATTTACAGATATTGTTTTTTTTTCAAAGTTTTCGGCCAGAGGGCCAGCGCACCAGCAAACTGAAACCGACTCCATCATCTTAAGATTTTTCAGAAAATCTCTCCCATAGAAAAAACCCAAAAAAAGCTGGAGTGTATCTCCGATGCAAACAAAAAACTCACGGAACACCCACCTAGCTACCCTTATCCGCTCCCCGTGTTTCTCCACGGCCACAGCAAGCTCAAGAGACTTCGAAACGGGAAAGCTGTTTTTTTTCTGTGATTGCACTAAGCTCCTCCTCCCTTGCAATACGAGTCGTGGTACTTCGTTCTCATCGTGTCTATAGCGTGTTAGCTCCAAATGGGCCTCCTATTCATTCGGCACAGGGTTCGCATTCACGACACCTACAACAACTACTCCAGTACATTAGTGTAATCTTCCGAAAGTAGACCTCTCAGAAGATGTTCACTGGTGTACTCCCTGGTAGAATCTAAGATTCAAATCCTAGGATAGAAAGATATCAGGTGCAAAAATCTAGTCCTGTGAAACACCAACACGCGTTTCTAATAAAACTAGATAACATCATAATTATCATATTTAAGACCACAACAATAGATGATGATTCATTTTATTTAGAAACAAAACCTCTAGACCATGGAGACACCAATTTTTCTTTCTCAAGTCACCATCTAAAATCCTAGATGTGGAGAATGCTTCTCGCGATGATGCGCCACACGATTCTTTTAGGTGATACTACCTAGTGTCGTTGTGGTCACACAGCCGTGTCATCTTGGGCTCCTGTCATTCATCCGTCTCATATGTTGTTGAGGCTGTCCGTCGTACTTCTACCTTAACAGTATTTCAATTTCTTGGAATATATTCAAAACGATACTGTAGTAATGCTCATCATGTGTAGTTATTTAAACCTGAAGATATGATAACATTTTCATAAACGATCATGTAGTTGTTTTGCGTCGGAAACTGTAAAATTTGATGTAATAATTGTAAATGATCAAAATCGAAATCACGTTCACCTTGTAGTACAGCCTGATAATAGTACTGTCATCTTCTCCTTACATCATGAAAGATAGTAGCAGTAAGCCCAATGGATCGATGTAGTACAGTACCAAACAACGCGACCGTCGTTTCAATGCTACACTACTAATCCATCACCAACATGAGTTTTGGAATTCCTTTCCATCGTCATCGACCTCTACTGTATAGATAGGTTGAAGCATCAATTAGAGGATGAGAACAAGACTCTAATGAATCTATCTCTTCTAAATTTTGCTTCACCAAAGCAATATGTCCTCAAAGAAGAAATTTCATCGTTTGTGTTCTCAATCTCTATTTCACCCTGATCCAATAGATACTATCGAACTAGAAGTCTTTCTACTCGCCGACTCGAACAAACTGTGGAGTAACGTTTCGTCCCTGAAACTGCACCTAAAACTCCTCATATTTCGTCCTCCTCAGAAGTCGAAACTTTACTTCTTCAGGCGGGGGACCAAATCACCGATGGTCTTGCAGCATGCGATCTTGCAGCCGAAGTCGGCCCTGTCATTGAAAGAAATGGAAAGGATATTTTATCACATTAAATCCATGAACAATAGGTGGAGATCATTCTACTTGCACTCGCGAGAACATCCATCCTCAAATTTTGCTGGAAATCAAAATTTTGTGTTTGTTCTAAATCTAAAAACAGAGTTTTTCTCGAACATCCTCGTCCACACTCGCAAAGCTATTAAATCACTTCTACTAAATCTAAATCATGTAAAGTAAATACATGCAGTTGAGTCCGCAGGAGTTGACAAGGCACGGCACGTTGTCAGTGCACGGGATGGCATAACGACGGTCGAGGCAGCAGATCTGGCACTTTCCTTCACCGAAACGAGTCGGGATCACGCAGTACCTGGCATGGGTTTAAACAATTTATTAAATACAACTTAGTAGAGGATGGATTAGAATTTTGTTGAGGACTCCATTTTGCTTCATCTTGTTCTAATGTTTTTGATATCCTCAACAGTCGGATTGTTCTAAAGAATCTTCAGAATCAGCAGCTCCACCTACGAAAACCTAAACAGATTAGGCAAGTTCCATTCGCAAATCTAAACAGATTAGAAGTACTCTTGCAGTTCAGCGATGGCGCAGCAGCGCTTGTCCTCATCCTTGCAGTCAAGCGGCTTGCAGAAGGCAGCGCGGCCTTGCAAGAACAGCAGGGTTCCTGTAATTAAGGGTTGATGTGGAAGACTATTTTCATAATTCAGATTCTTTAGAATTAGATTTTCAGGTAAATCAACAATCACAAACATACATCTAACTCATGTTTTGTCTCTTACAAATCAGACCACGATTCGATACTAGATTCAACAACTCCAAAACAAGACACACAAGTATTACCATCGCAAGTGCATCCCAAGCATGCTGGGAAGGTGCAGTACAAGGAATCGATGACGCAGCAGCAGGCTCCGATCGGGATCAGGTCTTCGGTCTTGACTGCGGTAGCATCACGGTTGTCCTCCTCTTCGGCCATGTGGCATCCCTCATGAAACTCGCAGGTAGCGATCTTAGCGGGGTCAACGTAGAACATCGGCTTCATCCAGTGTGATTCCATCTCTGTATTGGAAGAAGATGGAGTAGACTTGTTTTGGTTTCCGGAGGGAAAAGAATCTTCTCACATGCATCAATTTAGATTATTTAGATTTCTTTGTCGTACGAAGCATCCAGTCTTTTTCTTCTTAAAGACCCACCTTGGCGTATCCTAGTACTAATAAAAAATTAAGACCACTTGACGTAAGAAAAGAGCCTCAGACAATGCACTTCTATCAACCCAGACAGTGTTGTAATTAGCAAAAAAAATGTAGTACCGTGTTGAATCGGAACTTCTATTATTAGCAAATAAAATAAATAGGAGTACCGTGTTGGATCGGAACTTCCATAGCGATGGCTTCTTTGACGGTCTCTTGAGCCAGAGATTCCGGCATCACGTCCATTGGCGTCTCCTTACGCATGTTCACCATCTCTTGAGCTGGAGCCTGCATCTTGTCTGAATGCTCTACCGTTTAAGGTCGGAAGAGAAAACTTATGTGGTTGATGGACGAGAGTAGCTACTACAACTACAACTACTACTTTTTCCTATTGGATTTATGATTTTTTTTGATGATGATTAGATATAGATATTCGGTTTAGATTTCTTGAAGATGGAGAATTCTGATTTCTTATAAACTGTGATGCGTTTAAATTTCTGCTACATGTTGCTCTAGGCAATGTTGAGTCAAGCCGTGTAAAAGTCAAGCCTACTTTCTTGCGAAATAAAAATCCCAAATCCTAAGACTAAAATCTACTCTGTTACACCAAAGAGTAGACAAGAGTAGGTCCCTTGGGGTTCGTTCCTGGCGGTTTGGGAGGTGGGAGTTGGAATTGGATGAAGGTTTCCTTTTGTTTTGATGGAAGATTGATTTTGGTTCGACAAATCATCGATAATATGCAACACAAGAATAGCCTCTCAACATTTGCTTAACAACACGTGCTCTCGCAACAGACGCATGCACTCTGCCTCTCCCAGATAAGAAGTCGTTAATGTCTCACCATAGCCCGTTTGTCTCGTCTGTAAACGCCATCGTCCTCCGTCATAGCAGCTCGTCGTTTTGAGAAGAGAGAGTCTTCGCGCGCCGTTGTCGAGAATGTAGCTCTGCACACCTAAATGGCCAGCGTAGCTGAAGAATCCTCTTTAGAAAATTTAGGAGTCTGCTTCAGCAAAATAGCCGGTGGTCATTTAGACTGGCAGTAGCCAATTTCTCCGTGGTCCTCTAAAGATTTTCTAGCAGATGATAGAGTTTCTTAGGAACTCTTCTATTGATTTTCGGTCTTTTTCTTCGGCTAGAGAAGCATCGCAGGGCAAATGTCCACCTCGTCCAACTCCAAATTGCCTCCTCTGTACAACTACGTTGTAGAAAAAAGGAAAAGCAAAGTGATCGGCACTCCTAATATTTTAGTCTAAATCACCTTCTGAAAAACAACTTAAAGTAGGATATTTAGGAGAAACTTTAGTAGACAAAACACCCGCCCTCTTCTAATAAATCTACTATCGTGGATGTTCTAAAAACCTACCTCTAGTAGCTTCTAGGTGACAAAGAGATAATAAAAAGTTTGAGTTTCACCATGGAATTGAAGACATCGTACCCTGTTTGGATCGACGCTTATGCCGATGTCGGCTTCAACAAACCGCGTGATCAATTCTACATCATCGTCTTTCTCCTAAGCACACCACATCAAAGCTGTAGTAGATGATGAATATTTAGAATTGACCAATCCACTCTTCATCTTTATCTAAATCTACACATTTTAGATTAACCTTCTGAAGATAGATAGGAGCCCTGAGAGAGTGTGTGAACATATCAAAAATCTAAATCATCTAAATCGAAGCCATCGTCCTATCTCTTTCGATGTTTTAGATTGATTAGGTCATCCTCCCTGAAGATAAGAATCGTTGTGAAAGGTGAAACCTCCTACGCAACGATTCCCAGGCTGACTCGACGAGAGGCGTATGATGTAACATAAATTCACACAGAGAATTTGGGATCGGTACTGGTTTTTTTAAGTACTAGTACGCCTAATAGCAGACTCGACCTTCTAATACCCATCTTCAAAGGTAAAAAGGAAGAGAACTACTGTGTGTATCTATCAAAATACTTCTTACCCCTTGATGTAGGTGGTGCTCCTCCTCGATTTCGCAGTCGTCTTCCTGAAGTCAGCCTGTCTCGGTTGGCTGTTGAAACTCACATAGCAGTTTCTATCAAAATCTATCCATATTTTCTTGAAGTTTCAAGTACTGAAGTAGATGTAATGATCAATTGATTTAGTTCGTAATCGTAAATGCTGGTACACAAAGTTTCATGTCGAAAGCGAAGATTCATGTATTGCTTCAGTTGTTGTTAGAAAGTAGTAAGACATATCATTTTTGAATTTGCGGAACATAGTATTTTTATTGTAAAATCTTAATTACAACTCTAAATCATCGTCTAAGTCGCATTACAGACAAATATTTTTAGAACCATATAGAACATACAACATGAACCATCCATGATCTCCTATCAATCTCTGTTCATCGACCTTTTATTCTTATCATGAGTTGTTAGTTCTAGGAACAAAATTTCGGAAAGCTCGAAGCTCCCGCCTTGCAGCCACCAGCGTTGATGCGATCGTCCATTCAAGTCCGTCGAAAAAGCGCTGCCAACTACAACAGCTTCCTATCATCGCCCGCACCAACCGCATACTTTCTCCTCCTGATCTTCATATTTAGGATCATTATCGTTCTTCCTTGTAATTTCGAACAGTTGCAGCTTACTTTCCCTCCTTCAGGCGGGGAATGAGATCGCCGACCTGGTATGTATCCGGGATGATCGAAATTTGTAAAAAATCTAAATCTCATCCTAAAAAAGAAACAACAATTTCTAAATTCCATTGAATTTGAAATTGAATCGACTAAAACAAATAAGTATCCAAAGTACCGTCGCGCAGCAAGCGAACTTGCAGCCGAAGTCAGCGCAGCAGTTAATGCACATGTAGTTGCAAAGGCACGGAACATCCTTGGTGCACGGAAAAGCAGCACGCTGATCGACGCAGCCGACCTGGACCTGGTTCTGCACGCAGGTACGCGGCATAATCAAGTAGTTGTTGTAGTTGCAAAAGGTGCAGCAGCGCTTCTCGGCATCAGAGCAGTCCAAGACCTATGAGTATGATGTTGTATGGTGATAAGATCGCATCAGGAGGAAAGTCAAGTGTGAGTGACACCTCAAAAACTTGATATCAATTGACGATGCCAAGATCGTGATGTGTATGTGTTCCCATAAAGATGTTACCTTGCAGCAAGCGCAGGTCATTTGGCTGCAGCACATTTCGGAAGATCCGCTGACACCAATGCAAGCCGGGAAAACCAAGTAGAGGGAGCAGATGGAGCAACCATCAGCGTAGCAGGGCCTGTTGTCGAGAGCGAGAGGATTATCAGCTCGAGTGTATACCATCTTGATGGGATTATCAGTTTTGTTACTTTTGAAGAGATGAAGGGGATTTAGATTTTTTAGAACTGGTAGGTTCTTCTCCAGGACGGACCCTACTATATCACAAGATATTTTGTCATAGGCTAGACCCACGCGATGTTTTTTTGGTGTTTTCGTAAAAAGGTTGTAAGTACTTCAAGTCCGCAACATCAACGCTGGAGTCTGCGGAATCGTTGGGCATCTCGTGGCATCCTTCCATGTTGCACATGGCGGGGTACAGGCGAAGACCCGGGGTGGTGGCTGTATATGAAGATTTAGAAAATTTAGATTTTAATTTATGTCAGAATAGTTGGAAGATGATTGACAATAGAATAGATCATTCTACAACAAGAAAAGGATTTTCTTCACATTGATTTCGACGACGAAGTGATATCGGTCAGAGACAAGAATCTCTTTCAGAGGCAAATATTTATATCACTCAATACCCGGCATCTTCACTACGTCCATAGACTCCTGGGCCGGGCACTCCATGGGAGTGGTCTTGACAATATCGGTGGCGCCCATTTTGGTTTTGGCTTAAAACTCGAAAGAGTTTGCTTTGGACTAATTGTTCTTTGAACTAAAAACTCGAAGACCTAGAAGTTTTTTTAATAGCGATTTTTTTGTAAATTTTAGATTCTAATGATATCTGTGCTGTAAATACTCGGATTTTACGTGACTGGCGATTTTTTCGACCAGTTCTAGCGTTTTTAATTTTCGTTTTCAATTTCTTAGAAGTCCTATGGGTAAAGATTAGCCCAAGACCAAATGAAAACCAAACCAAAGCAGGTTCTTGTACAAAAGAATTCGCACGGGTTAACGTTCGCGTCGCTGTCTTTCCAGAGAAATGGGGAGAGGTGTGAGTGGAGGTGTAGTAGAGTATCTTTTCCCTCGTACATTTGGAGCTCTTTTGCTCTCTCCTTTTCAAGTCAACACCATCACTCGTATAGACCTTGATGACTTCTATGACAGATTTAGAAGATTTGGTTTTCGTGAGCACAGTCGACACTAAATTTTTTTCGACTACAGACATTGTGGTGGACAGAGGATTGCGTCTTTTTGTCTCAGGTCAATCTTTACAGCATCACCTCTCGGCAAGTACGGTTAGTCTCTCGAGCGAACAGGAGCAGATTCATGAGATATAGCATGGTTTCAATTAATATACCTCCTCGTTTACGTACATCAACCCTTCCAACAAAACCCCCTGTCAGTCCTCTGGACTTCTCAGATCATTCTAATTTTGAATTTTTAGATCTGGTATCCATGATTCAGATCCATGACAACGATACTCCCACTTACCTTAGGTCACGGAACATGAAGCCCCTGCGCGTTCATGAATTAATAACAGAATTTACACCGCTCTCGAACAACCCCACTCGCTCAAAAAAATCCAAAAAATCTCAATCAATTTCTCACAGTGAGCCTCAGCGGCATCAAATCTAAAAATAGACTTGTGAACCTTAGATGGTCAAAAAATATATTTCACTTGAGATGAATCAAATCTAAATAATTCCAAAAACAAGTGCTCCAAATCAAACCCCCACTTTACACGACTTTGAAACTAGCGGTCAGACACCCTCTTCTCATCGTACACCTCCGCTTCTTATGCTCCAGTCTATTGCTTCTCCTTCGGAATCAACTGGCTGCCCACAGTAGCTGGTCCACTTGCAATTAGGATAGCAGGTGTCACGAAGACATCTGGTACTGCTTTCGATTGCATTCTGATTGTACAGCCTATCGGACGAAAAGAAGTGTAAGATGGTCTCTGGATGTGGTTCAAGGGTCCGAGCTGCAATCAGGGAAGCTGGAAGCTTTGATGGTTTTGATGCATTATTTTTCCCTTCGGCTACAACTTGTCGTTTCGCTGTTCGCAGTATGAAACCGCCTTGCATCTCTCCAACTGTACCCTGCCAACCTCTCTTATTGACGACCTTTCTCGGAATACGCACGAAAATTCCAAATTCCTCATGCACGTACTTTTTGAAAAAATTATTCAGTGAACCGTGGATTTCCGCGATCGGCAAAACAACTGCTCTTGTTGAATCCTGGGCGTAACAAGCTACTACAGGATGCGTCTTCCGAAATTCGATAACGCAAGACGAGTCAACACCTCCCAGTCCCATCTTCCTTTTTCCCAACAGTGTGTCTTCCCATATGACAACTTCATGTGGTAAAGCAGTTTGCGTCGCGATATATTCTAAAAGCAGGGAAAGGAAGGACAACGTCCGAATGCCAGGGAGGAGTGCCAGGAAAACGACTACTCTTGCTGTTGGTTGGGCTTCAGCGGGCAGCTCAGGTTCAGGAACAGTAAGCGTCGTGCCAGGTTTGAACTGGCTAGCAACTCTCCAATATCGCAAGACGGAATCTAAATTTTTTTGAACAGTGTTCGTTTGAATTTCGCTGAGTCGTGCAGGTGTTGCTGGCTTGGCTTGCTGGTTCGACATTTGTTGTATTTCGCGACTGTCGAAAAGATAGTGAACAGGCACGTTGGCAGAGGCAAGCAAGTATAGAAGTAAAAAATCGACTTCAGAAGGAACTGTTTTTGCGTGGTCTTCAGGTGGATCTTTAGACGCTTCTGGCAGCATTCGTTCCTGCTGAAAAGCAGTGGAGAGATACTCGCGAAGCAGGGACACTACGGTTCTACTCGGAAGAATCAGCGGGAGGGAAGGTAGATCTACATCGCAAAGCAAGTTGCTCGACGTTTGCTGACTTCTGATCAAAATTTTACGCACTGGCTTAGCGGCAGAGGCGCACGCGACAGCAGAGCCTTCTCGCACAGCCGCTGTCTTCATTAACAAATCCTGATTACACCAGTCCTCCATCTGCTCTTCAGCGTTCTGAGAGCCCTCGTTATCGCCGTGTGAAGCCGAAGCACCAGCACCTTGCTGCAGTAGGATAAAACGCGGAAAGCCATGATGAAGGCCTTTGCCTAACACGTTCGCTTTGTTCGATAGCAGGTCAGACACTTTCACCTCCAGTACGCTTGATTTTTCTCCGGACTTTGGATCCAAGAATAACCCAGGATCGGCAAAATCTTTCACCACCAAGGTAGCCAGGGTGCGATCCGAAGCTTTAGAGCCCTCGGGGAAATACGTTTCGTATTGCTCTAGAACTTTCATTTTACCGCTGGCGTGGTCCCATCTATATAACTCCGCAAGATTGTCTGGCAGGCGGAACATGTCGCCCTGCTTTTCACCACGACCACCATCTCCGTGAAGGAATCGGGCAACCTTCTTTGGATTATCTGCACCTAAATATTCAATTTGAATTGTAGCAGGAGAGATCTCCTGAGACCCAACCAAGAACTTCACAATGTCAGCTGCAAACCGAGGATAAGCCCTCTCTTCATCGATTGTTAGGGGACCGGTAATGGTGCGCCGATCTCTGGTGAAAACTGGGTAAATGTGCATGCTGGGCGTATGCGTCGCAAGGGGTTCACCGGTAAATCGTCTTACTGTAATGAACGAAGAACTCCTGGTTGACGCCGGTATATGGCTTTTGCACACTCCAAACGCTGCCACGAAGTCCCGGTTCCTCATTCGTGCTTGACAGCAAAGATGAGATTCCAATACAAGTCTGAAAGCCGTCTTCGGCGACACATCAGGTTTCTGCTCCTTACTAGCTTCATCGCTGCAGAAAGGGTACAAGAATCGACCAGGTTTGGTTGGCGCAACCATGTTGAGCTGTTGCTCCTCTTCGAAAGCGGAAGTCGCTTCTACTGCTTCTACTTGCTTCCCAGCATCTTGTTCGGAGGTCCGAGATGAGAAGCGGATGTCCACTTCTGTAGCCTTAAACACGACTGGCTCTTCATAGAAGTTCTTTTGATTGTCTACGTAGAAACCTTGTTCTTTCGGAGCAGGTAGTACTAAAACTATCGTCTCAGGATCCTGTTCGATGCTGTGCATATGGCGCCTCAAAACTCGCACTTCCCGTTCCGAAAGCCTTGCGCCGGCTTTCAGCATCTCGTTCAGATTCACCGCGGTAGTTATGTGCTCCCGGGAAGGCGAAGGAATGGTGCTTAGTAAGTCGGGGATTTCTTGCGGCTGAGCAAAGCTTTCTTCTACTCGTTCTCGTTCGCCTTCTACGCAGTCAGTGGTCGCATTTTGGGATTTTTAGAGTTAGGGGTTTTCGGTCGGTGTTCGTGGGTTCTCCCGCGTGTTATGGCTGTGGTCCCCTAAGGGGGAGAGCCATAAAACAAACGGTAACAAAAGCACCTTTAACCTACTACCCTTAATTGGAATTAACCCCGTCCAAGCATTTCATCTTCTTCGCATTTTCCGTTCCTAGGAGTTTCGTCGAAGCGACATCTTCTACTATATGGAAATGCACTTCTATTGCACTCTCTTCAGTGGCAGCCGGCCAGTAGACCATGCGCCAAAGGTCCTCGTTGGTAATCTGTCTTTGATCATCTCCTCCCCCTATGGCTACTTCATCTTCAGCATTTTTCTCTCGAGACTCCACGATAATCAGATGCAGCGCAGTGAGCAGCGGAGATGGACCCGCGGACGCGGATGTGGATGATCCTTGTTGGTATAAGAAGTTCTGCAATGATGGATTCTCAGCGATTAAGACACGCAAATTCCGAGAGACGCAGACCTCGTGATCCAAGAGACTGTATGGCGCTTTTGCGCTGGTGCCATTATCGACTGAGGACTCGTCAAGCAGCTCTTTGCGGCACGGACAAGCCTCGTGGTCCATTTGGCCACTTGATGGTCCTCCAAAAAGGTATTCGCTTCGCGTTAGCTCCCAACATCGCAGATGGTTTCTCATGCGCTGTGCCCATTTTGCTACTATTTTCTCGCCCGGATCAACATCTCCATGTTCTTCCACATACAACATATCTACAACCAAAAACCCTGCGACTCTGGCTTCATGCGCCCCTTCGGTCCACCAAAGCGGATGTCTTCGCATGAATGCATGGTTGCATATGTAAAAATTTGCGTTGTTGTCCCTTCCAGCACCACCTAGATAGAGAGCATCCGTGTCGTAGCCGAATCCCACATGTTCTGTGCGTAAACGGTCACCAAGCAATTCCCGACGAAACCGACGTCTGGAAACATGCGCTGACAACCATAGGTCATCATGTAAGGTACAAGCACGGATTGCGGAGGACTTTTGTTCCTCTACGTGTTGTAACTGTAGTAAGTGGGTTTTTGAATCCTCATCCTCCTTATCCGTTGATGTAGCTCCAAAAAGTACTCCCCTTTTATCAACCAGAGATTCAATGTCGAAGTGCAACCGTTGCCACAGCACGCCGTGCACACCCTCTAAAATCGTTGACCCTACAGAGGCATAGACGTGCTGACTGGCAGTGCCAATAGGTCTCCCGGCAACAACATTCACAGACGCGCGAAGCAAAATAGCTACTAATTCTGAATCGTACTTTTGGTCGTCATCCACCTGCAAAATGAAGGTTTGGGGATTCATTTCCAGTGTCTGGATGTGCAGCATGTGGGTCGAAGGGCCCATGTCAGGACAACGGACTAGGATAAGAGACGTTTTTCGAACCGGTTGTATAATTGGAGTCTGCCCCAGAGGACGTCCTCCGTTGAAAATGATCTTCGTACTCCTTGTTCTAAGACTAGTACTCTGTGCTGGGCCTGACGATGGCGTGGACCTTTCGTGGACATCGAATTCTTCCTTTCCAATCCCTGTCAATTCTCCCAGCCACTCTGGAAGCTCGTACTTCTGCCCCGCGTTTCTGTTAAACCTCCAAGGTATAAACACATACACCGCGTCTAGCGGTCGTGACTGTTGTAGTAAGAGAGAATCTAGGCATGGTTTCAACAGTGACAGTCGCTTAGGAGTTGTCGTCACGGCAGCAACGACGCGGCGTTGACGTGGAAGGTCGTGTGGGACGTCGTGTCCATCTCCCTTGTAGTTGTTCCCTACTACTTGTACTAGGCCTCCATGTTCATCGGGATCCAAATTGCGTGTCACTGCCTCCCGAAGCAAGACACCGTCTCGTGTGCCTGGCAGGAGGTTCAGGTTGACAAAAGAGAAGTCTCCCTGCTTCGAACGCGTTGTGGAAATCGATGCAAGGCAAGCCAGCCAGAAAAATTTGTTCCACTTCGGAAACAAGTGACTCCAGCTTTTCTCAGTCATCTTGATGCTTGTTCAAAGTGTGCCACTACTAGTCGTGTTAGCACGAATTTGGGTACCACTTATCATGGTTAATTGGATGCCTGTGAGAGTGCGTGCAAGTTCATCGAAACTTCTATAATTTCATCAGAATCAGAAAGTTATGAACTGTGCTCACCATTGCTATCATCGCTCTTGATCTGGTATTTGAGGATACCTCTTAGAACTCAACACTACCGCCTCCGCCGCGTTCTTCTCTTGTAGATAAAAGAACACCTTTATTACCTCTTGTTTTGACGACATCGCCATGGCCGCTGCCGATATCCAGCTTATCAATATTTTTCTATCAAAATCAACTGTCTATGACGTAAAAATTATCGCCACAAACACTGAAACTACGTCATTGCATTTGTTTATCCTCGAACTTGGTAAACGTCAGAGGCACGTAAAAATAAGAACTCATCAACAACTTTTAAATCGAAGGTGGATAGAAGCTGAGTAGATATTGAAGATTGATACAGGACGGAATCAAATACTTGTTACATACTGGTGTGACTGAGGGGTTAAAAGATCCTAAGAAAGTTCTGGGGTACAGCGTCGTCAGGGGAAGATCTGTCAATACCATATCGTCGCTTGTTCTCGCTCAACACAAGAACGACAGTGCTACACAGACACTGTCAAGCAGAGGACTGTGATGTCTTTAATGCTCGTTCTCCATGTCCATGTGGGTAAACAAGACAAAGTTCTCAACAATGTGTCAAGGGACAAGAATGCTTGACTCCGAATTATATAGCCATGTGCCAGAGGCACCACCGCGGAACGCTGAAGCGTTCGAGTTCGTCCACCTGCTCCATAATTCGTTGTCTCGTCTCATGAGCATCACTTCTGTAGCTGTTCTGACCTTTCACATTGCTCGAACGAAAACATCCTTTACTGTCCTTGATCCTCCTTATCGAGTTTGATCAAATCATCGATGCGCAAGATCGTTATGGCTGCCTCTGTCGCAAATTTTAGACTCTTCAATTTTGAAACCATGGGTTCCACAACGCCGTTTTGAAGGGAATGCTGGACCTGTTATTTTGTGAAAGATGATGTTAGGTTAAAATTTTCAGGGTTCTCCACCTCCTTCTGAGGCTTATCAAACAGTCTCTGATTGAAACAAGTAAATGTGTTTCATAAATAAAGAAATAGAAATACCTTATTGTTGACCAAATCCAACCCAAAGAACTTCAATTCTTTCTTTCCCGCTGGGTCGTTCCTGGCTGCGTGATGCGCAACTCTCAATTTCGACGTCAAATCAATAGCGTCCAAAGCCGCGTTGCAAGTCAGCGTAGTGGGAATGACCATGAGAGCATCCGCAAACTGCGCAACGGCAAGTTGTTCCTTGCTGTCTAGGCTACGACTGAAGTCGTCCAAGTGCAAGGAGAGCTGGGTTTCGACTGCGCCGCCACCTGAAATGTATAGTTTTTGAAATGTGTGGTTGTTGTGTGGTGGTTGTGATGTTGTGCATTGAAGAACGAGCAGATTGAGAAAAAAACATGTAGTTCTTGGTCATCCGGGTTTTTTTTATCAACAGACAAGAAATAGTACGTGCTGTAGTCGACATGTAACAACTAAAAGTTACCTGGCACAACACTGTTCGACTCTGCCGTTTTACCGACTGCCATCAATGCGTCGTGGATGCTCCTCTCCGTCTCTTCGAGCATAAACTCGTTTGCTCCTCTCAACAACAAAGTGCTGGCCTTCGAATCCTTCGCTCCATGGACAAAAATAAACTCGTTGTCGCCCACTCGGCGTTCCTCGACTAGGTCACAGGTACCTACAGCATCGGCTTCAAAGGCCTCGCCGCCGTCAATAGTGGCCAAAGTAAGTTGAATCTTGGCACCCGTGACACGTGCAAGACGCTTCATATCTGCCTTATCTACACGACGGACACCCAAAGCGCCAGCTTCGACCAAGTACTTGATGCTCATATCATCCATACCCTTTGTCGTCATAACAACATTCACGCCGGTGGCCAAGATCTGAGAGTGTGGAGTGTTGATGGGTTGATGGAGTTGTAGAAGATAGAACAAAGTTAATAAAGTTTCAGTTAGTTGTAATAGAAAAGAAGGAAGGTCATTCAATCATTTACTTATTTATCCGTTCTTGTACAAACAGATTCATTGCTCTTGGTAGAATCTTGTTCACGAATAAAAAACTCTAGTACTATTTAAAGGTTTAGAAGTAATCCAAGATGATACTAGTCCCTGATCAAGAAGCAGCATGTAAACACTCAATATGTAAAAACAACATGATCTGTACCTTATTAATCCTCTCCCTTGTAATGTCCATTTCTTTTTGACGGATTTTCTCCAGTTCTGCGGGGTCGCTGACTAGGATTTCTGCCTGTCGCATGCAATATTTCTTCAAGTCGAAGTCTAACAAGGCAATTTTCGCGTTCTCCACGCGCGTCGGACATCCCTGAGCCACTCGCGCGAGCTGCATGGCGTAACCGTTTTCTACGAACCTTAGAGCTCACCCAAATTCATCTTGAAGCTCATCGTAAGACCACTTTCCTTTTGAAAACGTCTCTAAGATGTAGATGCTGCTTCTGGAGATGAAATAGGAGAAGCCGTAACAAAAGAGACTCGCGACTGTGCTTACCATGGCTACGAATGACGTTGACCTGGCCAATGGGATATTTCCACTTGCCTTCAACGTTCTTAATCCGAATCGACATCACGCTGTCAACGACTAACTTCGAGAAATACTCGCTGTCGGCGCCGGGGGAATGAAGGGAAGGGAGAGGATAAGTTGGGAACAGGAATTTGACTACCAATCAAATTGAAGAAAGAAAAACAACACCCGATTAGTACTACTGCTTCTCAATCTCCAAATATTAAAGCAGGGTATAGGTATACATAGTTATGATCAAGTTGGTAATCATCTTAGTTAGTAGATCTTCACGAATATCAATTTCTTTCATAAACATATTTGCTGCTCAACGTCGTTTTAGCCACCTGCGTCAGCAACTCACGGCTGTTCAAGTTCTCCAATTTCATTCCCATGTTTTCTTTGATAAATTTGACCGCCTCTCGCATAGCCAAACGATATCCGGCAATAACCGAAGTCGGGTGGATATTCTGCTTTACCAACTCGTTACCACGCTTTAAGAGCTCCGCCGAGAGAAGGACGACCGAGGTCGTGCCATCACCAACCTCACGATCTTGAAGATCGGCGAGCTCGACGAGGACCTATTTTTGAATTTGAGAGGGATACTTTTTCAGAAAGTTGAAGTGTACAAAATGTTTGATTCGCATGGCACAGAATTTGGCTGATGATGTTAGTTAATGTTTGTGAAGGATAAAAAAGACGGTGCTGTTGTTACCTCCATAGGATTAGTGTACGAGCATGATCCATCCAAATACTAAATTCGATCCAAGTCTAAGTATACCTTCGCCGCCGGATGTTGAATCTCCAACTTCTTCAAGATCGTGGCTCCATCATTCGTGATACAGATATCACCGACGTCATCCACAATCATCTTATCTAAACCCTGGGGACCAAGGGAGGTCTTCAGGATGTTCGACAATGTCATCACAGCTGTGGTGTTGGCTGCGCGGACATCTTGTCCGCTATCGCGCGAACCCGCGATGGAGAGACCAGTATCATGAGCACCCATTTTCGAAGATGGCTAGTATTTGTTGAAGATCAAGATTGTAAGTGAATAAATTCTAGAACTTGCAGTCAGGAGAATGCAGTATCCTTATTCAGCTATCGATATTTCAGTATTGGGTTGCAAGATGAAGAACAAGAAATTCTGGTTCTAGTTGTATATTTCTAAACAAACTTCTTCTAGATATTCAACCGCAGCTCTGAAGTCAGGGCTTTGGATTCACTATAGAATCCACGACCTGGTCGCGAAAGAATTCATTGTGCAGGTGTATGAAAAGAGGAAATTGACTGAACGGACTCATTTTGTTCCGTGACTTGGTGGATTCATTAGGTTAGGTTAGGTTAGGTGTGGGCCTACCAGGAAAACTGGCAGACGTGAGCGCATTCTGTAGAACGCATTCAAAAGCTCATTTCTTTCGGAACCTCAGCTATCTTGTTCCGCAAAATGCAGCAATAGAACTCCTTTCGGTAGGATAGGATAGGAGGAGGCTCACTTATGACAGGGTGAGCGTATACTAGAAAATTTCTGCATCCAATTTCAATTGATCTATCATTCACAGGGCAATAACCCTTGGATTTTCTGTTACATTCGTTCACGTTGAGTCTTTGTATCCACAACGGGGTATACATAGATCAACACAGAGATTTTATTCGGAGAGCTTTCTGATAGATTTCGAGATCTTGTGCGTGTTGTTCATCTGACTGAGCTTGCTTGTTGATTTAATTTCATCTGAAGCACTATCTTAGACAGGTTTCAAAGAGCTTGTTTGACAGGTTTCATAAAAGTCTTAGACCCCACTGGTTTGATCTTTGAGCGTATCAGTTTGAAATTGCACTGCGCGTTGATTATTTATTTACAGTTCGTCGATCTTCGTGTTTGAAGTTAATAGGTGAGTGTTGAAGTAGGTTTTTGCATACTAGCTGCGAAGAATGGGAGGTATGGTTGTGGAGCGGAAGGGGAAAGCTATATACATAGAATTAGGAGCAGGATCTACAAGGATCAATTAAGGAAATTGAAGGCCGACAATATTTGATGGATTAATTTCGGTTTGGGAGGATAAACATAACTGGGTAGAGCAGGAGGCAATTGTTAGGTTTGTTTCTATTTTCATCTTCTAGGACAAAAACACGATGAAAATAATAATAAACGTTATGACTATCGCAAAAACCTTGATTATGAGCATGCGATTCGAACTTATAGAGTCCAGGTATGTCAGGAGAGATTTTTCTGCGTGTTCTAGATTTTCTTGAGTATCTGTCACGTCCTGGTCTATCCGCATTATTGCGTAGTCCTGCTCGTGGATCAAGTCACGCATGCGCTTAAACATTTGACCTGAGAGAAAGGGTCCGTGGGGAAGGACTGAGAATCAACAAGTATCAGGAGAATGTCTTCAAAATGAAGAACCACTTCTACAGCACAATAAAACACGATAAGATGTAAGTGTAAGTTATAAGCAATACCAACATCCGCAATCGCCCTTTGAACTGTCTGCATAGCTTCCGCGCGACTATCAGCATACATAGGATCTATCCTAGACTGGCCTCTTTGCATTAGGCCATCCCTCTCCCCACCCATAGTAGCCATCTCCGTGCCTCCGTCAAAAAAGTCCGCACCTCTAATGCTCTTCGCCGCTGGTCGCAATGTGCCACCTGAATACTGCTCCCTCTGCTTCTGCATGGCCATAGCTGCTTTGTTTCTCTCCTCACAAACGCGATAAAAATCTAGCGTAATGTCTTTGTGCCGTAGTTTGAGGGCTTCAACGGCATTTCTTGCCGCCTCTGAAGCTTGCTTCCCGCCGCCTACTCGTATCGCAGTCTGGTCTAATTTCTGAATCTTCTGCTCCACTTGCTCGCACATCTGGAATGGGAAGTAGTTGGCATTGATATGCGTCTGAAGGTTGCTTTTGTTGATAGAAGATCTACTTTTTCTATGTGGAAAGTTTTTGTAAAAGAAGCAAAAAGTAGGTGATTGAACATCGATGACATTTCAACACTGTGAAGTTGTATTAAAAATAGCTGTCAGAATGGAGTCTGAATTAGATTGTAGGTTATTTAACTTCACTTAGCTGTCATAATAGTAATACCTGTTTTATCTGCACTATCAGTTGATCACTCCGTGAACTTTTGTCGTCGAAGATATTCTTCTTCTTCGCGACTTTTCGGAGTTCGTCAATCTGGTTCTGCATATCCTGTATGTCGCGTCCGATCTCCGATGAGACCACATAGATACTAGAAGCTCCAGCTGTACTCGAGGATGCTGTGGTTGAGTTGGGAGGTTTGTAGTTTTGGCTGCTTATTGAAAAATTTAGATGTCTTGTTGATGTTCTACTCTGTTGCGGACGTCACGGTAAACTTCCTTCCATAAAAGCTAAATAAAATACCCTTTCCAACTGCGAGGTTCACCCCCACGCTCTCCAGAATTTTCTGGAATTCCGATGTCCGATCTATTGCCCCCATCTTCGCGAGTCTTTTTCCTCTAGACTTCTAGAGGTCCAGATGAACGTGGTTAGCTCTTCCGAGCTGTAGTCGTTAGGTGTACTCGATACCGAATCAATGCGCACTGTCCTCGGTCCTTCTAGTGTCGTCGCTAATGTCGCGCAGCCGTGTAATTGAGATGCTGCTGGTAGACCACTAAATAGAGGGCACAGACCGCTTGGAGTCGCCAAGTAGATTGAGAAGCAGGATCGTTAGCAGTTACAGCGTCGTAAATACTTGTGCCGTGTGCTCAAGTAGTAGTCGCTGGAAAGGAGTTTCACGAGTTCTAGCATCCACTTCTGCGCCACAGCGAGATGAAGTGAACCGACTGTCTTTCTTCTTGATTTTGCGGTCTCCGCACGGTCGTTAGAAGTACTTCGTCAACAACTGGGAGCGACGAGAAAATAAACCGCCGGTCCTGATGTTGAAGATGGAGAGGACAAGCAACTTCAGCTCCATCTTTGACATTCCCAAGCGCAATTTCCTACCGTTAAGGCGCGTACGAGTCGGTGGGACAGGACGCGCATTTTTTGTAAGACATCAAGTCGATACTGTTGTAGTCTTTCTCCAGATCTCAACCTAAACAATCAAAATCTATGCCCTCAAAAATTCCACTTAGGAACAACTACGTAAATCAAGAAAGCCTGGAACAAGAAGAGAAATCTATCAGTATTCAAATCTTAGGGTCAAATGAGGATTACCATTAAGTCGAGGAGCCTGGTGGCAGTGAGAGTTCGGAGAGCCAAAAATTTTAGTTCTGCTTTGACTCTCTGCCAGAGGCTCTTCAACAAGATCTCCATTTTCATTCTTTGTGCAAGAATCTCAGCACGCGCTTGTAACAACTTCTCACATGATAGATTTTGCACAACTCCTTGGTGCATACACAAAAGCTCAATGAATCCTCCTCCTCTTCTTCGTAACTCTAATGCGGCGATAAATCATTCTTCTTCCTGCTGCTGAAGACATCAAGAAGCTGCTGCTGCCTCATGACCTTCTAGGGCGACCGGCAGACACAGCCTCGACGCGCTTGCAAATTATCAAATGTCGTAGATTCTCATTTTGCAAATCAATGTCGTTGACAGATTTTTTCTTGCGAATTCGATGTGTTTGTTGCAACAAGGTGAGAAAACCTAACATGATGTAAGAACTTCTGTACTACATACACTTCTACATTTGATTCCAATTTCAATAGATACAATAGCTACTACCTCTTCTTGTATGCTGTTGCATTTCCTGATTTCAAGTACATTTTCAATTAAATGCAAGAAGAACTAGATGGATCTTGATATACAAAAATCATAAAAAGAAACTAACAGCCTGCTCACGTTGTTCCTAGTAAGTAGATCTCTCTCTACGAATAGTACATTTACGGAGAGACTGATGTAGATCTTTTAGTTCACGTTCGTTCTTGTTCTGTAGGAAATACTAAGAGAGGTCTCGTCTGCCTCTCTATTTTTCGGTGTCAGATCATGACATATTTATTGATGTCATTTTGAAGTCTATGCATCATCATACGGTATGATGTCAGTTCGCCTGCGTTGTGAAGTTTGTTTGCTACTTAATTAGAAATTCGTAAACTGTAGTCCTTGTAATTTGTTCCTGGTGAATGATTTCGATGTTTTGCGCTGATAGTTTGAATTCATAATTTCAGATATTGGATGCACATTGTTAATTATTCGTTAAATTCGATATTTATTCCATTCGAAAGTCACTACTGTTTTTACTTAGACATTTGTAAAATTCTGCAATACGATAATAAATAAATATGACTAAATTCTTAGAGATGAATAGCTCAAATTCGTCTTCATTCATAGTTCTCTACCTGCTGTGTGCATGCTCTACGTTCTTTGAACGATCACGATTGATTCCACCCCACTATCAATCGTTTCTAGTTTGTCATTCTTCCCGAAGACATAACGCCCCTTAGTCATCAAGGCACGATTTTACCAACCTTATACTTACTTACGCAGTTTCGTAAGTGTTCGTTCTCCTGTTCCTGCTCTTCTTGTTTCAACGGAACAAGAAGTGCCACCCCTTTACTATGTAAAAAAGGACTCCCTCTTTTTTTGCATCGTCGATCGAGAAGTACAACTCACATCCACCGCAATGAGGAGTACAACTCCACCGCAAGTGGTCGCGACTAGACCACGAACCTAAAACTTCTCCTCGTCTAAGTAGTACAACGTCTCGTCCACCCCACGACTACGAAGTACTACTAACCAACACCTTCCACTTCAAAGCCTCCATAATGAGTCAGTCACTAAACCAACCCATTCCAGTACCACCACCGTCCTTGTTCTCGATCCCATTCATCATCCACATCTCCTCGTCTAAGGTCTCCTCTACAATTGTAGTAGATGAAAACAAGACAAGAACAACTACTAAAAAGATTATTAGGATCGCAGCCACTTTGTGTAGCTCGTGACCAATAACATGTGGACGAAGATGATCATGACAAAAAATCCCTGGAAGGCGTAGGACTGGTAACCACTTTTCTCCAAGCCAAAAACGTGGTAGCGATCCAAGATCTGCAACTGCTTCGGCTTCCCTTGAGCCATCGTGGAAAGCAACTGCGGGTTGCGGGGTGTGGCACCAGAGGTTAGAGGGAGGAAGGGGCTAGGAAGAAGAGGGAGTTAGGAAGAGGTAGGAAGAAGTTACTTAGTTACAGTTGTTTAGGAGCTTTTCTCCATGGTCGTTATGGTATTTGCCTAAGCGGAGGATAGCGATATCAACCTGACTTTGAACACAATCATAAAAATCTACTAATCATTTCTAGCCACGAAGATGCCACATCTTCCTCTCCTATTCTTTTCTACTTTCATCTCAGATAGAAGATAACTCACTTGTGCATGTGACTTCGTGTTCGTTCTTCTGAGGGAGAAATGATGACGATGTTAGTCGGTTCGGATTGGACCTACGACTTTCTGAGGAAGAAATAATAGAAACTAAAACTTCTATTCCAACTACATTCATCATAACTTCTGTTGATGCTGCTGTTGCTTGCTCTGGAGCGCTTTCACGTCCTCGCTGTCTGAAGCTGCATGATCTCCGGTCGACAGCTTCTTCTGGGCTCCTTGTCCATGATCTGTCGATTCAGCCTTTTCAATACGCGAAGGCGTCGCAGGCCCATTGCCGCCACCAACAACAGCCGCTTCCAAGAAGGATTCATCCACAAGTTGCTGTCCGTGTTGTACAAAGGATGTTGCAACAGGAGCAGCAGCACCAGCAGCAGCACCTGCGGCAGGTGCAGCTGCGGCAGGTGCAGCTGCGGCAGGTGCAGCAGCAGCAGCAGCTTGGCCTTGGTTGTTAGGTGCGACGTTGCGATTTTCACCGCCATTGGCTCCAGTAGTGCCTGCGGAAGCAGTGGCTTTTGGCGAGGTATTGGCGGCAGCCGGAGGCAATTCGGGGACGTGCAAAAAGTGATCCACATTGCCCTGGAACATATAGCAGTCGCGTCCCCAAGGCAGAGCGAATTTGCAGGAGAAAGCGTGTCGATCGGCACGATAGTTCCACGAATAAGCGCACATGTACTCGCACCACTTCTGCTGTTCTTTCGAGTCCGCTTGACCCTTGCTCTTGCCCAGCCAACCGAGATCCTGAAAAAAGCCATGCGGCTGTTCCTGTCCAGTCGGAGCAGCGGCAGCGCCCTTCGGAGCGGTCTTAGACGTCGCACTGCCTTCACTGATGCGGATGTGGATCGCGCAAACGCCCTCACCGAATCCGCTGTAACGACTGCGCGTGCCTCCTTGGGCACCAGGCAAACCGGTCTCCTCTGGCAAAAAGGACTGGGCAATCTCCAAGTTGCCAGTTTCCTTGTTCTGCTTCCGCACGGACTCGAGGTACTCTTCGCAGTTGGTATGGGGTTCACGAACCAGATTCGGCACAACACCGGCTGCTTCCAGAGCTTTGTTCTCACGGGCTTGGGTTAGAGGATGCAGAGCTTTTTGGGTAGGAGAGATGTTTTCGTTTTGTTTGCGGACGAACAGGTGCTAGCGACGAAAATGAAATTCAAGAAACTCTTCTATCATGCATGATCGTAAATGAGTTTTAAGAAGCAACTTCGAGTTCTTTGAGATATTTTTCACTAGATGGAGGTCGTAACTTCAATTCAGCTTTTTCTTTTTCTGACTCCTCACGAGCTTTGTCGCCTCCAGAGGTCGTCTGTTTGACCAGCTTAGCGCCACTGGCGTCCGCAATGTGTGCTGCGGCGTTCGTAGAAGCCGCGTCGTCATCTTTGTGCGGGCGTGGGAGCAATTTGCTTGGCAAAGCCAGCACCTTCTTGCCGTCCTGACCAGTCAGTTCCAGCGTTTCTGTTTGCATGATGTTGCGCATTTTGCGGTTGGTCGCGTGGTAGTAGAGGAAATAGTCTTCTAAAGATCCAGCTTGTTGGTGAGCGTAGGTGTTCACATCTAAAAACCAGTTCCAATAGTGGCCAGAGGAGAAGAGGAGCAGACTCACCAGAGGGTAGACGATGAGCATGATCATCACGAAGCTCCAATTAGAAGTCCAGTGCTTCTTGTAAGGCGGCATAAAGAATCGCGCACAGCAAGTCTCGCCAAGCCCCTCACTCGCTAACACAGCTGCATCGGTCTCACTCAGCAAGCGGCCCGTGGTGACAGCTTTGCCCACCATCGGACGTCCAGCACTTCCGTCACCGATTGCACGATTCTGACGGCGTCGCAAGTGGTCTGCGCGAATGCCTCCTGCCATGAAGGTAGCCAATTCTTCGTCATCATCCGTATTCGAACTGGAGTTCGCAGTAGCACTCAGGGAATCCGGCACACCCGTTTCGATATCGCCAGTTACATTCGCCGCAACCGGTTGTCGCAAGAGGCCGCCTCCAGGAGCCTTACGACGAGCACCTCCCGCACCATTGATGAAGTCGGCGTCATCTCCCTGACCGCCATCTAAAATCTCCCCAACCAGTTCGCCAGCAGCAGAATCTTGTTGTGCGGATCGCTGTCCGGTATTGCGGTAGTCTGGACCTGCGTCAGAGGGAGGACGCATACCTCCGTTGCACTGGGCGAGACCGACGTTGGCAGCTGCGGCGAAGAAGTACAGGAAGACGAAAGCCATGTCCAAGTTGTTGGAACGCCCGGCAATCGAACCCAAGTTCCAGTACCCATCCTTCGCCATGACCACAGGAGAATACCAAGAAGGGTAGTCGTCTTCAACCTGTGTCGTATGTATGTGTAATATCGATATCGTATGAGCATGTGATATAAGTTTATACAGCTAGGGGTGAAATTTCAACATTCAAAAATTTCTTGGTAGTACCCTTCGCACATCCAAGTTCGGTTTTTGTGTTTCGCGCGGGGGAAACGCCAATATGGACCACGTGGTCAGGCAGACGGCTATGTTCAACGCGATCATGCCGATTATGTAGATGAAGGAGCGACGCCCTGCCAAAGTCGAGTCCGGTGTAGTAGGTGCCAACACGTCTCTCGTTCCCTGCAGAGCATATGTTATTAGACCTTCCAAATCTTCATCCTGAAAATCCATCTTTGACCTTTTTCCCTCTTGAGAAGACGGTGTCAAAGATACAAATTTAAAAAAAAAATTTCAAGAATGTGGAAGCAGCCTTAACGTTAACGGCATCAGCAACACCATCAAGCACTCTTCCGTCGCGTACTGGGTGAGGCAACCGAAGGCCAAGCGCGCTTGCATCAAAATCTTCCCGCACAAGACCCAAGACACCCCCAGAATGGTGAAGCTCTCATTAGAGTTGTTGGCCTTTATTCATCTCGGTGCCCTTGTGGTCTTGGTTGACCCCTTTGAGGACCTTGTATTTCATGAGAATGAGCAAGGGCAAAAGGGGACCAAGATGCCGAGAAACTAACAAGATGGATTTATGGATAAAACTAAAAGCTGACGACCTTAATGTAAAAGACGGAAATGTTTGTATCCAAACACGCACGACCTTCTTTCAGCACCTCAACAACTTTGGTGATGTCGTCCTCAGTGGCGATGAAAGGAGCAACTACGTTGGTTCCCTGTTTCGCGGAAGACATGTCATCATCATCCTTGTCCTTGTTATTTCCACTATGGACTAATGCGACCCCAACGTGCGCTTGCTTCAAAGCCCCACTGTCATTTCCGCCATCGCCAGCCATTGCGACCACGAAGTTTTTCGAGCGGTCCTGAAAGAAACGGATGATCTTGCGCTTGCCGTCCGGCTTCACACGTCCGAAAACGCCGATGTAGGGCAAAAGACGGTGCCACAAATTGGCATATCCTGGTTCGGAAGTGATCTTCTTCAGAGCCGCTTCGTTGATTGCACACGAGACGAAATCAACGCCACGCTGAGAAAACAAGTTGCGCTCTTTCAACACGCGCACCAACTGTTCCAAATCGTGGTTGTTCTTCACTGGAGCGGCAATCTGATCCGCAGAGGCACCCCCGTTAGAATCCGGAGAATCCGTCAACGCATTACTCAACAGAGCGTTCGATGCCCCTCCACGTTTTTTAGCTCGTACCAAAGCGCCAAAAGACGTACTGACTTCCTCCCAGACTGGAACGCCTTCTTCATCCGTACGAATGCAAAACGGGCAATCCTCGACTAGGCCGACTTGCTTCGAAATCGCAATGCCCGTGTACACGTTGTCGCCCGTGATCATCACGGTGTGGACATTGGCACGCTTCAGATCTCGGATCACCTTCACAGAATCCGGACGCAACTCATTCCGAAAGAGCAGCATGCCCATGTATTCAAAGCGGCACACGTTCAGCACGCCATCCAAGGCCATGCTTTCGAGAGAATCCCAACCTGCACTGCCGAGTTGGATCTTGGCCTGGCACATGCCGAGAACGTAGAACCCGCGAGAGGAGTAGACGTCAGCAAGGTCCGAAACACTTGCAAGCATCTGCTCCGTATCATTTTTGCCACTCTGTCCTCCTCCGCCCAAGATCAAGCGGGAAACGGCTTCCATAGAGCCCTTGGCATAGACGGTGGCTTCTTGCTTGTTCGGGTTGTCCACGGATTCCACGCAGGTAACGACGACCTGGAGTTGGCGGCCTTGGTCGAACTTCCATTTCCGCAGGATGTCTGCACGCTGCTCCACATCGTAGGAGCCTTCCATGCGCATTGTAGTCCCCTGCTGGCCGGTCTTGTTCAGACGCCACCCGAGTTTTGAAACCGTCTCTTGTTCCAGAGGATTGCCAACTACAGTTCCTTGCGAGGCAGAGGCAGCACTTGTTCCACTTGCAGCACCTCCTCCTCCAAGTTGTTGAGGCGGCGCCATACTACCAGAAGGCACTGCGGAATTTCCGCCTTGCACCGACAAAGAGTGGCAGCAAGCCAAGCCGAAGAGAACCGAGTCATGTCCACTAGTCGCAAGAGCCCGGTTGAACTGCTCCGGAGTCTCGTACGCGTGTTCGATGAAGTTGCTGCGCACAACCGGATCCGCATCCACACCGTTGACCAGAGAGCCGAGCTTGCGCATGCGCAGCAAATGCTCCGTTTCTTCGGTACTAGATGCCGAACCAGCGTCGTTGAGGCTCTTCTGCGTGGTCGCTAATGCGTCTAGTTGGTTCAGCGCATCATCATCCAGAGCAGTCAGGTCAGAGCCGTGGGTTTTGGCCAATGCATCCGCGGCCTCCGGACTGGACGAAATGCCACGACCAGGACCCTCCTTGCTGGTTCCACGAATGCCTTTGCGGTAACTGGAAAACGCCGCTGCGCCATCGGCGTTCGCTTGCAATTGACCCTTGTTGACGCAGACGCCGTAGAAATCCATACCTTCCTTGGTCAATGTGCCAGTCTTGTCGAAACAGAACAAGTTCACCTTGCCTGCCTGCGGGATCTTCTCCTGCTCCATGCAGCCGACCTTCTTCGATTCCAAGCGGCGACCACTAGTTTCGCAACTGCGACTCTGCAGTGTTGGGATCATCGGGTTCGCGAACTGCGGCAAGGACGTAAACACCGTAGCAGTAACCAGCACTATCGCCTCGAAGCGATCGCTATCTGCAAATGGGTTGGTGAAGCAGAAGATCAAGACGACGAAGAAGGGCAAGATGCACATCATGTACGAGGAAGCCTTGATCATCTGCGCGTCGAACTCGAAGTATAATCGCAAAGGATAGAACATTCCACGAATCAAATCGCCACGGCTCGTGCCCGTACCAATGGCAGTGACGACCGCGTAAGCGCGATCCATGCGGTTGAAATGCTTCTGCATTGCGACGGACTGCTGGGAGTTGGCAGAGGCGTCGGAACTGGACGAAATATAACCATCACTAGTAATCGGAGTGCTCTCCACAGCGATGACCTCAGTACCGGAGAACAAGATGTGAGTTTTGTCTTTCCCGAAATCGAGGGCTCTTCGGCTGCCAGAACCCTCGACAGCCTCCTTAGACATGGGCGTTGATTCACCTGTAGTTTTAGCAAAGCGGAAACTGACCTGAGTCCATCACCTTGCACCTTTCTTCTACAAACACAATGCAACGAAGCTTCCTAGAAGATCATGAAAGAACTATCTATCATGAATGTGTCATGATGTATCGCGAAGAGGACAAGACGAGGGAAATCAGCTTCTATTTTTGGTGAATATTTATTATATTCAGTATGATGATGTAGCACAACAACATTCCTCATCATCAAGGATTTTTTCTAGGACCACAAGGAAAGAATATTACCAGTCAACTGCGACTCGTCCATCATGACGTTTCCGTGGACCAACAGCACTTCACACGGCACGATCATGCCATCGCGAATCTCGATGATATCACCCGGCAACAGGTCTTCACTGTTCAATTCGAAAAACGCGCACTTTGAGTTCGTTGCTGGACCCTTGCGGAAGACGCGAATGGTAGAGTTGTTGCGAGACATCTCCAGGATACGACGCCAGGCACGCCAACAGTAAAACGCGTTCAGCATTGCGGACGTGAAATAAATCATTTCGTAGACCATCGAAACCCAACCAGCTTCCAAGAAAATGAAGATCAAAGCAGCAAGAATCTGTAATGTCGTGGGAGAGAGAGTGCAGTAGATCATCTAAGATGAAGATGTTCTTGCTCAACAGTAGAGAGAGGTGTAAAGTGTTGGAGAAGGAGAAGGAGATCATGGTGTAGTTGCGAAGTCAGTTTAGATTTCAATAGATGGAGGTCAATAAGCTCCTCCGCGATGAAAGTAGAAGAAACCTCGTTGAAGATGAGTTCGTGGAGTGATGTAACATGTCATCTCAGAGAGTAGACATTACACTGCATTATCGTTAGCTTTGACAACGAACTCTAAGTCACATACAGTAGGAACAACTTCAAGATCCACATGAGAATATTTACCACAATAAGCACTCCTGTAGTAGAAAAATTTGTTTTTGTACCTGAAAAACGTATAAGAACGTTCCCGTCACTTCCTGAATGAAGCATTGTAGGAAGGTCTTGCTCTCATGAGGCTCCACCACGTTGTTTCCGAAGTAGGATCGAAGCATCTGCAAGCGTTGATAGCCCAAATCTCCAAGACCGACAGGCTTAACCTAGGAGTAGAGAAATGTAGCGCTCAGCGTGGGGGAAGAATAGAAATGTAGCTATGAGGTTCATGTCCATCTTGTAGAGGAACATTTATTTTGAGAAACATCAAGAAGTGGACAACTTTTCATCTACTGTTCTTTCTAGAACAAGCAACTACAACATGACCACCAAACAACTATATGACAAGACCATCAATAAAATTATATATATAAATATGTTGTACCGACATCCCTCCGAGTTCGTTCTGTGTTGTCTCGGTAAACGAAAAAAACCTTCCCTTGATGCTCTGTGCGCTCAGGTGCTCAATGCGTTCCTTTCGAGGAATAAACCTGCCTTCCGAGCGATTGTAGACGTACCGCAGACATCGGAACTTGAAGAAGCGGCTTGTGCCCATCTGTTCGCCGCTTCCTGCACCTCCGCCGGTGATCAATCCCAAAGAAGCAGCTGCGGTGTCCAGCATGCGCATGTGCGAACCGGTTTCACCCGGCGCCGCCGCACTGTACAAACCACCACTACCACCGCCAGCGCCTCCTTCTTCTTCCGACGCGCCGGCGTCTAGGACACCATCTAAAACGCCAACGCCGTAGACCTTGTACAACTCACGCTCCAGACTGGTGGAGGAAACAGTGGCTTCCTGTTCCACTGGAACGTAGCTGATGGGTTGCAGATTGCGGCTCGTCATCGCCTTGTTCACCTGACGCCTCGTTTCAGCGCGCGCTGTGCTGCTCTGCTGCTTATCCAGGAAGAACGCACCCTCGTCTTCCTCATACACATCTTCCGAAAAACCGACGTAATCCGCATCGGCTAAGGAGGAGACTTCAGCTAGCGCCAAAATCCAGTACAAGTCTCCAGCGTAGAAGAAGACTAGGATCACTGCGAGGACGAACCAGGTATAAAGGAAAGCAAAGCCCATCTGCAGTTTTGCGTTCACACTATCAGGACGCACGGACGGCCAGCCCTTGCAGTAGAAAATGTAGCGCTCAGCGTCAGCGGCAACAGATAAAGCTTGTTCGCCTTCACCGCTTGAAGCCTAGGCGGATGAAGAAGTAGAAGATGTTTTTGAGATTGATGGATTGATTGGTCAATTAATATTGTGCACACAATTACTGGTCGTTTTGGTGATTATTTAACCAGATCCAGATGAAGTTGTAAAGATAGAGATTAATTATCATGATTACCGTCGCCCCTCCTCCTGCTTCACATGGCAACAAGGCTTTCTGCAATGCCAGAATGAACCCTTCCTGTTCAGACGGAGCGAATTGGTAGACTAGAATCAGCATCGCCACGACAGTCGACATGAAAACCACAAACGCAATCCAGATTTAGAGATTACGGAGTTACATTCTGCAGAACATCTTCACCCTGACTTCTTTTTACAAGGAAAAGAGCCAGGGATGGTGGTGAGGAATGCAATTCTGAAACCCTTAACAGATGTAATAGAGCAGCACGCCGGTAATGGATTTCTGAAAGGGCAACTGGGTATTGGGTTCCGCACCATTGGTGACTGGATCTCTGTCCATCGGAGACCCGTTTGACGGCAGCCTTTCCAACGGCGAATCTGGTTCTACTACTGGTAGGTGTCTTTGGCCACGTGGCGGGGGTCGCACGTTGAACAGCGCGGGTCGGATGTATTTGCGCCAAAATCCGAAGCATACTGTGAGAAGCAGCAGAGTGACAAAGCCAAACGTCACCGTCTGCAAAATCGGACTCTGCGCAAGCTGGCCAAGGTGGCCCTTCAAGGCACGATGCCACGCCCATTTGCGCAGCTGCGGAGCTCCACCTCTAGCAGGAGCTCCTTTTCCACCTGGCGGCCCACTTTCGAGGAATAAACTGCCGTTTTCGGCGAACGTCGAACCCATGGGATCCTCTTCCAGAAAAGAGATACTACTGGAAGCGGAAGTATGCTGGGACGAAGAGGCATCAAACTCTTCCTCTCCACTGAAGAGTAGTGCGACGCCCTGAAAGAAGTCCAACCAGTCGGCGTAGGACATCATGCTCGCCTCGCCCGCCAGGGGCGGCGAGGCATAGTCAATTGACTTCATTTTCTTATCTCTTGATTACAACCTTCGCTATCTTTTATCAGGACTGAGAGGCACTTCTTGCGATACAACAACTAAAAAGTACACTCCATTCTTAGTATATTCAGTATCAACAATGGATAAATATGGAATCCATGAAAATTGGTAAATAAAATTTTCGTTCGAAAACATCGACAGCTATCAAACAAAGAAAGTACTACACGAGAGCAATCGAACAAAATCTGAGTACTTTCTTACCTATCATGATATCATTGACGTTGAAATTGCTTGATCATACAGTACATAGAGGTTTTCGGTTATCAGATTAGGGGAGGATGAAATTAGGAATGAGGACTGTAGGTGTATGGCCAAATGAGGAGTGAAGGACAAGGAACGATGTGGCGTTCATAGATGACGCGCTTCAGTTGGCGCACTCCATATAACAGACACGTTCGAGTTCTACTCTATCACAGACACATTGAAGCGCACTCTCCGTAACAGACACGTTGAAACTCGCTATACCAGACACACTGAAGCACTCGATGATGATGTTAGTCGGTTCGGAATTGTCCTACGACATAACAGATAAATATGCGGTAGTTGACGCACTCAATATAACAGACACTTCGCAGCACTCTCTAACAGACAGCTATGTTGAAGGACTCGATAACAGACGCGAACGATTCAAACTTAGAGGTGGGTCACAAATGCAGGAAGAATATTCGCTGCAACAGCTTGCTGTTCTCACTTTCATACTTTGGTTAGGTTAGGTTGTGGATCCTTCACAACGAGCCCCACGGGCACCCGCTGCTCGCCTCCGAGGATGATGGGCGACTACGAAAGTCGGCGACAAATTTGATTATATACAGCACATTTTTTTATTGTGTAGAGTGAGCGAGGCACTCTCTTAGTTGTTGCTTGTGAGATGACGATGTTCAAAGTCATGGTTATCGCGAGACACTCTACTATTGCATCCATTCGGAATAAATACTAGAAAATGTTGACCAAACCGGGGACACTGTCACACACACTATTTACTTTACGGCACTCTCTTGACTCCGGTGATAATACATAGTTGACTGTGCATTGAGAAGCTAGGAAGCATTCAATCATCAATTGTGCAATAGACTTCTACTGTTCATTTTCTGCTACTGTTCATTGTCTAATCCTAACAATCAAGTTTCCCAAAGAACGATAAAACTGTCTGATAGCGTCACATGTGTATGATACAAAAAACATACGGCGCTATGATCCGTCGTGGTGTTCATTAGTATGCATGTCCGTGTTTTTTGTAAGCTCATGGGGTATTGTCAAATGAGAGATATGAAGCAACACAGTTCGGTGACTCAAAACACAATACAACTCATTAGCAGCATATTACTTATCGATGAATATGTTTTTCTGTAATTGGAGTGGGTAGTGTGCTCGTAATATGCCTCCTGGAAAAGATGTGGGCCTATGCTTTTGAAAAGTTACTTCCGTCCACCGCCACCGTCTTCAAAAGTAGGTGTGTGTTGTGCCTCCTAGAAATTTCAAGTTGCTGTGGAACATCCAAAGAAGTCAGCACCTGTTACAATACAGATAACCAGTTTTCTCCTGCGTCGGTTGTATAGACTTTCTGACGCCTCGCTTGCTTTACCCGTCTCCTTGCCTCAGGTGAATTCTGTGCAGAATGCGCGCTAAGCTGCTCCGGACTGGGAGTTAGAAGAGTTTTTTTGAAAGTGTCACTGCAAGAACTGGTGTACCGTGTAAGTATGTGATCATATTTTATGACTTTTGCTTACTAGAGGGACACTTCTGGAACCAGAAAGACACGACTTCGAGTTCTGGGTTGAACTATACCTCACGCAGATTGATGAAAGGGAAAAAGATTCTTATTCGCTCTGCTCACACTTTTTGAGGAAAATGCGTAAGAGTTCTATTGATTTCAGCAACGTCGGTGCAAACAGCTGATGTTCGAAAATACTGCTTTGCGACAAAAACTTCCGCACTTGGGGCTTATTCGGAGATCGCTGCCGGTTAAGCTCCGTTGTGTTGACCGCTGGATGGAGAGCATTGAGTAACCATTATCAAGTGAAAGACATGGTATAGATAGTAACTACTAAGGAGCAAGATTTAAAGAAAATTCATTTACCTCCACCGCCGCCACCTTCTCCTTTCCCCGGAGCCATAGCACCCTCGGCGCCCACATCTCGAAGCTTAGGCTGCCACTTCAGGGCAACTTGCTTTTCGAGATTCAGCAACTTTGGTTTGTTACAGTCAGGCTTTATTATCTCTTCCATGAACTCGCAGAGCAGAAGTCGTCGCTCGACTTTTTCATCCTCGTCTTCATCCTCCTCTGCATCCACACGAGGCCACGGCCCGCGGCCACGACGGAGATCGTATCTGATGTTCATGTTTGTTCGTACTACGTAAAATGTTGATGTTGTTGTTGAAAGGTATATTCAAATGAATCCTCAAATCCCTTCTACAGTTTGTTCCAATGAAAACGAAGTACTAAAGGTAAGTACTAAAACTACTTCTAGGAAGTACTCTGTTGGCACGACTTTGGCAAACGCGTCGCCTAATGCTGTCCAGTTGAACTCGCGATCTTTGATATAAACGCGACCTGAGGTCCCGGACGTCGTGCGCGTCATCAGTAGGCGGAGTTGGGCGCTCAAAGACGCTGCTGCCTGCTCCGACTCTACTCGTGACTCGGAGTGAGACTGGCCGCCGCACTGAAGATGGAAAACAAAGTTGTAGAATGAATGGAAGAAGAACTGTTTAAATATGTTTTTTCGATCACTTTTCGCCCCCAGGAGGCGGCCTCCTGTGGTGTGTACTCAACAAAATTTGCAGAAGAACTTGATGCTGCATTTCTACTAGATTATTTTCGAACGAATATAATTCGAAAATGATTGCCAAGAATTTGGAAAAAGTCGCCATATTCGAAAATATTCCGAACCCGTTCGAAAATAATTCGAACGCTGTAGGAATTTCTTCGAACGAAACAATTTGCGCTTTGAAGCCTTTTGTAATTTGTCCGTTCATAAACTTGATATTGCATTTCTACTAGATTATATGGTGATACCTGCCCACCCACAGGCTGCAATTCTGAGAGACGTTCCATTCCCATCCCTTTCTTGGTATTGGTATTTTGTGTAGAGGTTTCGCGATTGCACTCTTCAGAACAACATCCTTGACGTCTTTCCTATCGGAAAACAAGCCAAGGATGGAGGCAGTGAAGGATGCAGTGTGGAAACCCCTAATTTGTGCGTTGCCTTGTACGTATCCCTGTAGCGCAGATATTGGTCCCATGATGCTATTCCTTGCGCACGAGCGCGGAAATGACGGCACTAAAAACTGCTCTCTTTAGAACTGGAATCAACAAAAGTGTTGAATCTAAAAAATCTGACGATTTAGACTGTACTAGTAGACGAGGTAGCCGCTTCCCTTTTTTATAAGAGATGCATCCATCTCCCTGTACTTCTTGTTCATTCTAGAACTGATTTCGGCATGGGAGCGTAGCGTTGCATGCTGTTGTCCCTGTTGCCCTCGTTCATGATGACCGTTGAATTTCGTGAGCATTTAGTGAATCAAAATTTTGGAAGAAGCCTTAATCTCTGACTACGCTTCCTCGACAGGACGAAGACTTCTCGTTTTTCTTGTTGGGAATTAACAGTGTGCTGGGCACGTTCAGACGAAAGGATGCACGAGGCATAGAAGGGCGTGGGCCTCCTGTTACGCCGTCTCCACCACGGTCGTTAGCAGGTCCGAGCATTTGGGAGTCCCCCAAAGACATCGAGGTGCCACCTAGGCTTCCTAGCGAACTGCTCTGCACGCCGCCACGATCTCAGATTAGAAAAGATCAGGAGTTTCAACGGTTACTTTGAAGATCCCATGATGCTGTATCAAACAGTAAAATGACTAAAACCATCTTATCTATTTGATCAAATGAACCTAAAAATCTTATCAGGCTACATGAACTTCTCCATTTAGCACTGCCTGTACGTGACCTTAACTCTTCAGTCTCAAAGAGTAAATTGACTAAAGCTATCACTTAGTATCAATCTGGTGTTACCTTAACTCCAATACTACCGAGTTCCGTCCACCATTCACAGCAACGCCCAAGTTGTGTATTGAAAATCGTGGTTGTCCCGACGGCGTCGGCGTAGACATGAAACCGTTGATGCCTAGGGTTGCGACAATTAGAGCGCAAAGCAATTCATTTCTTGCCTACATTTCTGCTCGCATTTTTAAGAAGAAATAGAAAATGGGGAGAAATAACTTGTAGAATTCAAATATTTATTGACCCTTATAAAAAGGAAATGGGGAGAGATAACTTGTTTGTGGAATTCAAATATTTATTGAGCCTTAAGACAATACTACCACGATTAGACGCAACGTCCGATTCGTCTTCGGTTTCTGGTAACTGGGATTAGAGGTGGAAAGCTTGAGGTTATCATCATGTTTTCTAATATAGTTCTCCAGCTTGAGGTTTCTCAGGAGTTCGTATTTGGAGATAGATGTCCTTAAAACGAAAGTTCTGTGGCGCGTCTCGTATAGATGCGTGATTTTCGCCGGTCCCGGTTCGTCGCCATATCGCGCAAATAGCCGTCATCCTCTTGCGCTTCTACTATTTTCGTCTCGGAAATCGCACCTAAGTCGCTAATACTATTCCGCTTCTGCAAGTGCATGACGCTGGCGCGTCTCGGTTGTAGGTTCAGTGTTTGAGTCAAATTGCCTTCTACTGGGGCGGGGGCAGCTGCACTAGCGGAAGATATTGATGAATCTCCGACATGGACATTGATAGCACCAGAAGACGAAGAACTGCTATTGAGAATGGACGATGGAGGTGCGTTCGCAGAAGTAGAGGTTGAGAGCTGATCGTTAGCGCTGCCTCTAGAGTTAGCGCTGCCTCCGCCACCGCTTGCACCAGTACCTTCAGCAGCAGTACTTTTAGTTGGATTCGAGTAAATGTTCGCTAGATTATTTGGTGTCGTACTAGTTGCACTTGTACTACTGGTAGTCCCTGTAGTTCCACTTCCACTGTCTCCTCGAGGCTTGTTGTTATTTGCGTTTCCTTGTTGAGCTCCGAAAGATGATAGTACCTGACCTGTTTTATCTCCCGTAGGGCTGTTCGAGCCTAGTTGTGCCAGTTCAAGCTTGTTGTTCTGCATTCGCTTACTGCTGGGTGTTCCGTTGCTGTTCTTAGCGGGGCTTGCAAAGAAAGTGGCCCTTGAAAAAATTCAAACTTCTGATAGATAGAAGTCAATACTCACATTTCTTTTTCCATGATCGTTGACTTTCATAGCATTGGATCAGAACATAAACACGAGCTCTGCTCGGACTGTGTTATAAACTAGTAGCAGGCACTACTTGGAAGTCATCAAAATCGAAAACAACTATGTAGCCTCTGCCGTACTCGGTGACTTCCCGGCACCTGCCCTGGGTGACCCTGAGGTCGACCCTGGAGAAGAACTCTTGTGCGACCCCTGCTGTTTAGGCGAACGTCCGGCGAAGGTTTGCCCCCCTCCGGGTGATGGTACCAACGCAGTAGTGTTTCGCTTTAAACTAGCTAAGGTTTTTCCGAATAATTGGTGTTGACTGCTGGTGCCGTTTGATCCGCCGTGTTGATTGGTAGAATTAGAGGTAGAGTAGAACAAAGAGTTGTGCTACAGCTACAGAGCGCTATTCTAGATCCATGCAGAGTATTTAGTGGCGTCCGAGGAAGGTGGGGATAACGCTTGGTACTATCAGGAGCCTTAACACTATTCTTGTTCGGTGTCTGACCCCCTCCACCAGTGACTGACGCAGCCCCACCCGATCCCGACCCCGAGGTAGAAGCACCAGCATTGCTTGCGCCTAGTAGTCTGTTTACATTGTTCATGGTTAGGGGCGCAACGCCTGCCGCATTTGACTTGATACTGTGGCGATACTTGCTTTTACTGCGACCACCAGTTGAAGCCATGTAGTTCGGCCCGGACGAGGTGTGACTATTGTGCATGTGGTTGGAAGAAGAAGAGTGTGAACCACCGCCGCCTGATCCGGGTTGTCCACTGATGGTGAAATTAGAAGTATGGATACAAAAAAAAAAATCCATCTCGTAGTCCGATGTTATGACGCAATTTCTCGATAAAAACTACATATCAAACAAAAAAAGTACTTATACGCAATAATCGAAAAATTTGCTTTAGATGGCAATAATCTCTATTTGCTAACTATAGGCTACGTTAACATCTAAAGCAAATTTTTCGATTTATAAGTATAAGTACTTATTTTTGTTTGATACTAGACAGCATCTGTATTTATTAGTTACGGTATCTCTTCTTACGTGACACATCAGACGTTCATTCCCAACTAAAAATAGCTTGCTCTTGCTCTTCTTGTAAAGATCTTCTTTCACAACTATGGCTACTGATTTCATTTTTTTCTATTTTCATCATTTACTTGGAGCCTTAAGACCTCCAGTATTATTTCCACCCGAAGAAGATTGACCCCCAGTTGGCGTAGAGTTGTATGAACCGGCTGCCTGGGCGTTGAAATATGCCTCTCCAATAGTTGAAGGCGTTGCTGCCTGTGTCTGATGAAACGAGATTACTTAGAGACTGACAAACATTGCCTATTTTCTCAATTGGACTCCTGCATGGTAGTTGCTTATTTTTCCTGCGGCTCTCTATTTTTCGTTCCTGGGTGAAATTTGAAAGATGTATTACTCACCTCTCAAGAAGTTGGACTTACTCAACACTATACATGTTCATGTTATTGCTTGTACACGAGGACTTCCACCCATGCAAGCATTCTGTAGAATACCCTTAGATACTCGAGATGATTCCCTGATTCTTAAGATACCCTTTTTAGATACCTCCAGTACTAGATGATTCCATGAAGATGTCTTAACTTACGGAAGATGATGCCCCTCCTCCTCCACCGCCGCCTGGTCCTCTATTGTTCAGCTGTTCAATATGGCTTGCATTGGTAAGAGCCGCGCTTCCTAAAAAGTCACTAGCTCGGAAAGTAGTCGAGGTCACAGAGGTCCGTTCTGACGTGGTTCCTCTCGCATAGGTGAAAGAGCTCTGCGTTGACGAGCGCACTGTGTGTGTGTCGACGTCCTCGCGATCGCTGCCGGGACCGTCTTGTAACCTCCTCAAATCGCTCGCCAGCACCGCAACGTTAGATCTGGGCAATAGGGTGGCAAAAGCCGCATCCTCTAGGTCGCCGACGTGCTGTCGCCACGACGGATGCGGTTTGAAGATCATGCCACCAGCGCTGCTAGGATGTTTGGGTGTGGTCTTCTTCGTCAACGACAATCGATCCTTTCTTGGTGTTAGATGCACTCGAACGAGATGGTAATTAAGCAGATCTTCAGAGAGATAAAGTAAGAAAGACCAGAGAAGTTGCAAATAATGGACCACGACCACGACGAGACAAAATTATGAAAAACCTAAACCTTACAAACTCCATTAGTTTTACCGACTCCTCTGTGGACTACTTGCGTTCTGGCCTTGTGCGAACTTCGATTTCCGTCCCAGCACAATGCCCTTTGCAACGGCGACTATTTTGTCCACCTCATTCGGAAAGTTCTGGAGTACGCGTAGAAACAGTTCACGCTCTAATACTCGCAATGTTGCTCGTTCTGACACTACGATAGCTGTTGCTAGTCGTTTTTCTGTCAACCCAAATAACCTAAACTCTCCGAAACAGGAGTCTTGGGCCACCTCAATCTCATTGTCGTCCTCGGTCGAAATCAGACGAACGTGGCCCTGTAGGTATTGTGGAGTTGAAGATTGTTAAACGAAACGCGGAAAGACCAACTATGCTCCTCTATCTAAGGCAGTATTACAATGGTAAAAATAGGTTAGAAGTACTCTCGAACTCTCGTGCTCTAGGTCTTACTGCCCCTAGCAGCTAGACCATCATAGATATCGACCTCTAGAAGTTTTGACCCATCAGTACCGTCTCACTACACCTCTAGAAGTTTTGACCCATCAGTACCGTCACACTACACCTCTAGAAGTTTTGACCCATCAGTACCGTCACACTACACCTCTAGAAGTTTTGACCCATCAGTAGTGTCACACTACCTTCTTCAACACGTACATCGCATCATCCTCTGTATCTCCCTCTAAGAAAAGCACGCTCCCTTTTGGCACGTTCCTACAGGTCTTAAACCTCTCATTCAGAGCGTGCAAGAATGGTGCTCCCGCTTTCTCGAAGAAGGGCAAGTTTCGTAAGCGCCGGGCCTCATCAGACAGTTTTCTGGGTGGATCAAGGACGCCCCAAGCATTGTAGCGATGGTACAGTTCGGCGCCCTTGTTCTTATTCACCTTACACGGCGAGCCAGAGCCAGCACGTGTAGCAGTGAGCAAATAAGGGTCCTCCATTCTGGTTATCTTGTTTTTGACGACTGCAGCATTCTGGTCCTGGTGCGGAGATAACTTCTACACAAATATCCTCGCTGTTCTAGTACTTACTTGATAATATCGTGTTCTTGTGTTGTTTTTCTCTCCTGAAGCTTCTCTGAATAATTTCTCTTCCTACCAATAATGTCTATTCATTGCGTTCTCTCATCAAGATCGCACTTGGGCCAGGGTAGATGACGGTAACTAATAAGAAGAGACCGTGTGCAAAGACGTAGTACTGCTGATAGAATTAGTAGTATCCTGAACAAACCATGTCAAAAACGAGTTCGCCCGAAAGGGTGGGGGTGCGGCTAAGGCGCCTTGCTATAGTTCCATTAGCGTTTACCGTTTTATCATGATTCCTCTATGCGCACAGAGGTAAAACATGCTTTAAGTAACGAAATTGCGTTCTTCAGGGACTTTCTCTTGCGATATGCGTTCAATACAATGACGTGGAAAATAGAGAAGTCCACATGTTGCGTTTGCGTGTTGCTTGATAGAGGGAAAATAAAACTGTGCCGTCAATGTCAGGGTGGGGTACGTAGAACAACAAAGTATTCATTAGAAATACAACAATATTGTCATTGAAAATGAACCACAATGCATTCATGTCAGGCTTAGCTTTTTATACGGATCCTTCACATGATTATATATAAAGTAATCATATCACACAACACACGAAGAAATTGCTTTACCACAACAAACTAGTCTTCCTCTTCCATCCTCCTGCGCCATGCGATATCCTCCTCATCCTGGAAGTCGCTGGCATCAGCGTCGTCCCCCTCTGTGATCTGCGGTAATTTCTCCAACTCCGCAAAGTAATCCCCCAAATCCTGCGAGTATTCGTATTTGCGGGCTTCATACCTGAAAATGTGAGATCGCAGAGTAGAAAGACGAATATTATTGTAGAGTAGAGTAGTAATGAGTAGATTTGTGATTATAATGGAGGTGTTGCAAGAAGATGTTACACGACGGACTTTAACATTGGTGGTGACCAATGTTACAAAAAAGTAGCAGACAAGTGAACGTCTTCTAAATGTAGCAGCAACAGTACTTTTTGCTCCTTATGAAGCAGTTGAGCATCAAAATGTCCGCGAGTAGTGGAGCCAGTGCGAGCAATGCTATTCCCGTTGAAACTTTGAAAATTATTAGAGCTCTCCCCTATTCATCCCTGTGGAAATCCCTCAAGCATATGCGTCAGCATTTCCCCCGTATTGGCGCGCATATGTTTGAAAGTGGTCTAGGGCGCATAAATATGGTCTACAGGGATGGAAGTGGTCTACAGGGATGGAAGTTTGAAAGTAAGTGGTCTACTACAGGGATGGATTAGCGGAAGCCTTAATATTATGCTGCTGATGCTGAGTTCCTCTCCCGTTCCTACCGCTCGGAAATAGAACCGCACGCCACGCATCGTGTACAGCCGCCTCTCGTTTGGCACTTCTGATGACGGCGTCGCGTGTTTAAACTCGAACCCTATCTTATGCTCGTCGTGGAGTTAGAAGAAGTCATTGCTTGTCACGACGGCTTACCTCAGCAGAACCTCGCAGCAGAACTACAAGCAAGATACATTCATTCATTGGCGACGTCGGCGGCCCGATAATCAGGCTTTTTGACCGTGTCACGACGGTCGTGCCTACTCGAGTGAGGCCGAGTTCACGACCCTTCGTCGAAGATAAATATAAATATGAATATTTGCTTCACATCAACCTTCAAAAGAACCACCTCATCATCAAGTAGGGCCTTTTCCGACATCTCACTAACACTAAGCCCTTCACCATAAAAGACACTATCTATCCTTCTTGCGGTGACTTCGGGTGTGCACTCTTTCCGATTCACCGGACAGCTTTTGAACCGTATCAGTACTTCGACTGCAGCACCAAGTTCGGATATTTCCTCATATCGGACGGGAGGAGAGCATAGTAGAAGCAAATCCTCTACACTCCATGCATTGGCGAATTCGTTCGGATAGGGGATGATTTTCTCCATCTCGTTCGTGAAAATACCTGAAGAGGATGCTCTTGTATCATCATGTGAGGATTTTTTATGAGGAAGGTGGAATGTTCAAAACAAACGAAGAATGAATGCTTTCCATCTTCTAGTACATCGTAGATTACGTTCTTTGTTCAGGTTGTAGAACTGCACAAACGCCTTGACCCATAACTGCAGCTTCGCAGTTGGCGTCTTATAGGTTTCTATTGCTGGAGACTTTGGATTTATGGCGCACCAGCTGGGCTCTTGGCAGAACCCATTTTCACCACAGACAGCGTCTACCCCTTCCGCACAATCCGTGACGTCCGTACACTTGCGGGTCTCATCTTCGCAGACGCCTTAATAAATTGAGTGAGGGTGGACTGAAAGTGAAATGGTTTTGTCTTCGTAGACACCTAGGTCTAGGTGGTGATAATTGTTCGGAATATAGAAGAAAAATTAAAAATCTGATCAGTAGCATAGTATCGATCGTATTGAAGTTTATTTAAAAAGAACCTATAGGAACATGATTAATAGTAAGTAGTACCTCGTTTCTGTTGTTGTATCTCTATTTTCGTTGCCACGAACAGGTTTCCGGCTTCCAAGTTTGGGTGTGTTAGCTCCTCCACTGAAAATGACCTCGTGTTCGGCACTCCACTACTGTCCACGACCACATCGGCAACACGACTGACACTCGCTGACGCAACTCCCTTCGCATGCTCGTACTCGAGATAGCCTTCGTCATAGATGAATACGAAGAAGACGATGTACAGCAAGATAATTATCTGAAACGTCGAATTCGCAATCCCAAGCCATCGATCTTGGATGCGAACCTCCTGTTTGGTGGAGTAGGACAACAGGCGATCCACGTCCTGCTTCAGGAAGTCCATCATTTTCATCGATGAAAGATCATACAACTCCTCAAGGACAAGTCGATTGGGTGCCACTCCGCTCTGCAGGAGGGAGGGGGTTGTGTCCTCCGCTTAATATCGTCTGTGATTTCCACGTGACGCCATACCTCCCTACTCTCGGAGTGGACATGTTTTCTTGCGTAGGTAAATGTCGGGGTCAACGCCATGTGGCACATTCAATGTGAAACCTTTTTTCCGCGTTGTCGTTTTTGACCATCTCTGGACACTAAAGCTTTTCCATTTTCAGAAAACACAGAGGGCACCTTTCGTTTCCGTCTATTCATTATTTGGTTCGTCGTAGATGAGAAGGTTAGTAAAAATAGTACGTGAGAGACCACGTTGATCCATGTAAACCGATCTGGACTTTGTTTTTCATCATCGCGTTGCTCTCTCATTCCTCTGAGTCTCTCTCTCTCTCTCTCTCTCTCTCACGTTTATCGTCTTTCACTCTCGCGCCGGCTTCTATTCCTGCTGCGATACTGAACCACAAGCGAACCGATCGTGAGGTATTCATTGTACAGAGAATGCTTGCAGGTCGTATCAGCACCAGCCGTCGTTCTCCAAAAATCCGTGGTGCGAGTCCGGCTGATCGCAATTCCGCACATGTTGAACTTGAATGTTGCGAAAGTAGGTTAGAATGGAACATATATCTCCTTCCGGCAAAAAGAAAGAGGCATCGGTTCACAATGTGAATGTGTATTGGAAAGGAAAAAAGTGTGACTGAAAGTAGCTAAGCTGAAGAACGAAAAAACTGTGAGAGGTAGAGGTTGGTTCTGCTGGAGAAGTGAAAGGCTGCTCAAACTCAAACTCTGACTTCTAGAGTGGTTCTAGAATTTTGAGTTTTTCTCTCCTAGTATCCCAGGAAAGACCGGTAAAGGTTGCCAGTTCGCTGGGTGCGAAACTGCAATACGTGTCCACTTCATCGGTAGCTAGAGGCACTTCGGCAAAGAATTCATCCCCTTCTTCCTCACGACGTTGCAGCACCTGCGAGTGGCCGAGAAGTCGCAAAGCTAGGACAAACTGGTTCCAATGCACCAGTGAGACTGAAGCAGTGCTAGTAGTAGGAGTTAATACTACTGCCTTCACAGCTCTTGCGTATTTTGGCGCGACAGCAGTGCGTCCAAGCAATGCCTCAAAGCGATTCGCTTCAGTGATGACGCCATGTTCCGATGCTAAAGCGTATTGAAAAGCAGCAAGAGTAGAGGATGAACCAGAACTAGCACCTGTACAAGCACCTCCTGTAGTACTGGCACCACCTGTTGTTTCTCCGTTAGCGTTTACACCACCAATCTGTCCTCCTCCTAGCGCCCCTGCACCCGGTGAGGCTGCTGTGGTAGACAAATATTCGCTAATGTTGTACCCCAGAAGAAATTTCTTCTCAGGATCGGCAGCTTCAGCTTTCTCCTGCAATGCACTCAAAAGTTCATGCGACGCTGGTTCCGATAGTAGTGACCACAGTGCGTTGACAAAGGGCAATTCCACTGAATAAGCGTTTCCGTACTTGAGAAGCAGACGCTCACGACGGGTAGATACTAGTAGACTAGAAGTCGTAGAAGTAGAATGTAAGAGACCACTGGTGTTTGAAGAAGCACCAGTTGCTGCGCCAAACGTCGTGGAAAAGTAGTTCATAGCACCATCTACCAGGTTTTGCGCAGCGTTCTGAGCTGAGGAGGAGGATGCACTAGACGAGGCTGATGAGTTCTGTTGACGTTCTCGTTCCTCTTTTTGTCCTATGTTGCGATCGACACTTGTTGCATTATTAGTATCTTCCGGAGAAATTGCAACGCCTACATCCGTAGTTGTCCTAGACATTTTTTTCGGAGACTTGCTTGATGTTGATGTTGTTTTCGGTGATTTGTCTCTAGCATCCTCGGAAGTGTGGTTCGTCTCTTCGCCTGGTACTTTGTGACTCTTCGTACCAGGAGACATCCCAGATGTTGACCCCTTGTTTTTGCTACCACTACTTCCTCCAAATTGGTAATTCATGTTCATCGCCGTAGCGGTACTAGAGCTAGTACTCGTGCCACCTCGTTGTTGCAGTTCTCCAGTAGGCGCTGCAACGTGCTTAGGACTTGGCGTTACTGCAGGCGTCACTGCGGTCGAACTGCCATCAACTGAGCTGTTAGATTTGTCGACCATACGCTGTTCCAACACACTCACGCGGTCCTTCACAATGCCCTCAGCCACTGTTGGTTCTCCATAGTAGAAGTCTCCCAGAGCGTCTGAATCCCACTGGGAGATGGGGAGATCTCCTGTAGTCGAGAGATGTTCATGTTCGTGCGCTGAAGAGCTTCTTGAGTCCTCTCCTGCTGCAGTCTTCAACATATGCGTGCCAGCATTTCTGTCAGGGACACTGCTAGAGCTCGTCGTTTGGTGACCCCCTCTAGTACGGAAAGTACTTGAAGACGTGCAGGCGTTCCTCGCTGTCGGAGTTGTTACATCAATATCTCCACCTCTAGTTGCTCCACCAGTTACCGCAGTTTGTTGGTTCTGCTGCATTCCCACCCCTGCTCCTGACAAAGCGCCATATGTCAGAGACAACGGCGGTCGTCCGGACGTGATCATGCCTGTGACGCCTCCAGAATTATGTGCTTGATGTAGTATGCTACCTCCACTCCCCGAACCGGCATTATCCAACAGCCCTTGCACACCAGAAGTAGCGTTCATGAGCACGTTATCCAACACCGTGTTGCCCAAAGGCAAAGCACACCGCGTTTGAAAATTGTCGCTGCTCACCGTATGAGCCAAAGCTTCTAAGTTCGCCTGAATGCTCAACTTCAACTGCGGAACACGCTCTGACGCCGATAACGACCGCAACTCCGTGAACAGAGAAAACAGTTTCTTGTGGTTGCTCTTGAAACCTTCGGTATCTAAATGCTGCAACAAATTCATGTACCGCATGTCGTGCTCCCTCAGCGAAGCTGGTTCCTTCGCCAGGTCCTGCAAGGTGCTCTTTGCCTTCTTCGCCAAGAGTTCTGCTAATCGGTAGGCGTCAGTGAGCAGAAATTCCATTTCATGTAGCAAGTGCTGAATAGACGCGTAAAGAAAGCAAATCATCGGATCGCCACCGAGTAAGGAGAGTCGATTGTAGATCTGCAAGACGCTGAGAAAATAGACCAAGTTGTCGATTTTTCGGAAAAAGTCCAACAGTGCCGATCTTGACAACGTAGCTTCTGGATCTAAAGCTCGAAATTTCGGTAACAAACCTGATTCCGAGAATTCTAGATGCACATCCCATTGTCGTGTTGTGAAGCCTAGGTGGTCGGCGAAACTGCCCTTCTCAAATGTCTCCTTCTTCGGAGGAGTAAGGAAGAAATGTTCGTGTTTTTGCGTATCCCGGTTCAGTTTCTCCTGTGCGGACTCGGCGGCTCTTGGGGTAGTTATATTAGAGGCCTAGGAGCATTCATTGTGAGTAATTCATGGTGAATGCTACCTGCACGACCCTGTATAATACGATTCAAATTGAGCAACTCTCTAGAACTAGTACCTGCAATACAGTGACAGTCAATGATCATAATATTCCCATCCCCTCCTGCAGCACTACTTGTCAAGTTGTTACCTGGCAAAGTAAACACCCCAACTCCCATCCTACGCAGTTTCTCCTCTTCCTCTTCTTCCTCTTGCTGTTTACGTAAAAATTCTTCTCGTTTGCGGTCCATCTCACTGGGCTCAAAGTTGTAGCCTGGAAGATAGTCGCCATTCACATCCGCTTCGTCCACGTAGCAAGGGAATTCCTCATCTCTCATCATGTCGTGGTCACGGGCGGCGGCCGTCGCCTCTCCCCGATCTCCCAGTGTACTAGGAGTATTCTCGGTCATAATCTCGAATGCAGGTTCCATCTCGATCCCAGTACGATCTGCGCCGCCGAGTGTTAGCTGTAATAGTGATTGTTTGGGTATGTGAAATGGAGATCTTACGGTGTGTGAAGAGATCTTACGGTTTGTTACGGTATGTGAAATGGGGAAGTGTGTGAAGACGGTAGTAGTAGTTGCTGTAGTAAAAGGTTTATCGAAAGGCTGGAAAGATATCTCGAGTTACTGCTATGAAATAAAATATGCATTCTTCTGAGTGAATGGATTCAATAAAATGTGAGAGGAGGAAATTACACACAAAGCAGGTTAATGTAATTTAAAAAACCTAGACGTACCAGATTTTCTTCTCCTCTGAGTTTCGCAACTTTCGCCATTGCCGCTGCTTCCTCTGGTGTCTGGACAGGTCCTAAGCCGTCTGCCGTATCCATCAAATTGGTAAAATGCTTCGTTCTCAAAAACAGGTACAACAACTTCCCGATATGTGTGTCCCAGGCTAGAGCGTTTCTACGTCGTCTGCTCTTCATCTCTTTCGAGGCCTTTTCGGAAGAGGTAGTGCCGACATAGTCGTCCTCAACGGATGTTGTGGTGCGAGGGGCAGAAGTTGCAGTTGTATGTCCCGCACTTCCACCTGAAGGCTGTTGCGCTGAAGCACCCAGCTCGCCGCCCGTCCTCAGCATAGCTGCAGCTTTGCAATCCCGCACAAAGGCTTGGGCTAATGTGACGCTATCGAAGCAGGGCAAATCCGAGTCCCCACTTACCACACAAGACAGCGCGAAAAGAAATACCGGTAACGCTTGCTGGACGAGCTCTTTGCCTTGGGTCGGAGATTAGAGACACTCAAAGTTAAGTTGACGGTTTGGAACAGCTCTCAGAATAGGAAAGCAGCTAGGCGTTGTCAGTAGATTTACACACCAATTTCTAGTAGTCGCACATCTAATGTCATGTGTGCATCTCAGAAAAGTAGTTCTTCTCAACCAAGAACGGCAAGATGAAACAGGAGCTGCTCCTGAGGCTAGTCTAATCGAAATCTTGATGGACGATGGTTGCGGTGGTCATAAAGTATCTGTTCAATGACGTGTCCCGCATTCCGCTCCGTTGAAGACACCCGTTCGTAAAAGCGCTCCAAGTGGTCGGCGAAGTGAGCAACTGCGACTCCAAACGCATTCTCCTTCGCTGTCGTGCGAAACAGCTTTGGCCGCATCAAGATTTGTCTCGAAAATTCTAGATGCATCCGCACATCCTGGATGCTTTGCGCTGTTGCGAAGGCCCGCAGCTCGTTGCTCTTCGGCAAAGCGCTTAGCCAGGCTTTGAGGTACTCGGAGACCATAGTCAAGACATCGCCACGAGCTTCCTCTCCTTGAAACAGGTCTTGAAAGATCGTTTTCGTCCTCTTCTCTTGGAAGTGATGCAGGAAATGGTAGGCTGCCGCTACATCGGCATCGGACCCAGACTTCAGAGACCTCAGGTGTGTAGTGCGATCAGGAGCTACGGATTGAAAATCGAGACCGAACAACTTGGCGAAGAGTTCAGAGACCAATCTGCGTTGTTGCTTCTTCTTCTCGTTAGAGTCCCGGTACGCCTCCACCGCACCCCACGCGGCGCCGCCGATCACGACAGACTCGAGTACGCCAGTCATGTTGGTCTTCTACTACTTACTAGCATGGATCTAGATAGTATCAAAGGGTCAAGCATCATGGAGAAGGAGAGCTAGGCATAGGTTGCCCTTACAACTGCCTGTCTCCTAAGGAAGTACGTGACAGGCAACTAACTATCTAGAATTAAAACTTGGACTACAACCGTCTGCAGATACTGTAATTTTATTTTTAGAACTAGCAGCCATCTTCTCGACTTTTTTCCAGCGGCCTGTACGCAGTTAGTAGGAAATCATCTGCAGAGCAATTGCCTAGCATCATCAACATATTAGAATATTTACACCACTCTTGTCTGTATCCCTGCAACCGATGAAGTTGAAGGAAAAAGAAGATCGTCAACATCATAATAGCTTGGAAATTTGATTCTCATGACAAAAAGTGAATTTTTCCGACAACCTCTATAAATATGGAGTTTCCGGAGTGCAGTGCTGTCCTTTCAGTTGAGTTCGAAAAGATGAAAACATCAAATCGTTCCAGGTCCTGGCTGTCGTGACACCATCGGCATGGCATTGGTAGATAAGAAAACCAACGACATTTTCCACCATAAGGAAAAAGATTGGAGCTACATACCATTGAAAGAAAAAAATGAGCTTTCGTAGGGAGGATTTTACCTGCGGGAAAGCTCTCGCTTCCTGATAAAAGTCTTTAGCAGCCTCAAACTAAATTGATACAGAATCTTCAAATAGCAACTCAAGGAGCTGAGTTGGACAGTGTATGAGTAAAAGTACTTCTTTGTTCTTTTCCACTTAAGATTGAATGATGTCCTTGAAATGTTAATTCTCAATATTGGCCTGCCAAAAAAAGATCTTACTACGTTTTAGACAATGATGATGAGTGGGCTTCTATTTCAATTTCTACATAGGCGGAGGCTTCTAATTACAACTTAAAAATTCTCTCATGTCTCATCCTAGGCCTTGTGGCTCACCTTCGACAGGTGAAGCTTGTACGGTTCGGTCCTTCCACCACGGTTTTAAGCCTGTTTTAAGCCAGTCCGGGGGAATACACGAATGTGATCGTGGTCATAGTGATGAACTAATAACGTGATGTCCTATAATCTACTATGCACGATGAATTGAGTCATCGATTCGGGAATCGTACAAGAATAAGCCGAATGAAAAAATAGGAAAAAATAATAGGGGACACCTGTAGTACCCTCGAGCGAATACCTGCAGCCACAGAAGGTATACCGTTAGTATCGTATGTCAGCGAGATAGGATAGGAATTGACTCACCCTCCGCATGGCTGTAAGCCTGCCTCTTTTACTGAGAATTTAGATTGTAACCACGGGTCTGCAACCTCAGCCCTGCACTTCACGCGTGGGATCAATAGAAATTTTTACTATTGGATGTTGAACTATGTCTTTGACAAAATTGACTTCGTGGTCGTTGTGAAGAACTCAGATAAATAATAAAGATTATGACCCGGAGGTGGCGGACGAGAGAAGATCATCTCCGACGCCCTAGTAGCGTCAAAGCAATGACAAGGATCATAGCGTGAAAAATACAGAAGAATGTCATTCTAAATCTAAATTTTGTGGGGATCATATACTTATAATGTGAGATATATTTATATTAGATAATCAATGGTAACGGTATTCTTGGTGATGGAAAGAATGTTGATAGTAGTTATTTGTTGTGCCCTTCATAGTAGTTGCTTCATTCTAAATATATGATGAGACTCTAGATCGAAGCGAAACTAATGAAAGAATCCGCCCTGCTATGTATTGTCCTAGCTATAGGTATAAGTATCTACGTGAACAAGCCCTGCTATTGTCCTATGGGTATAACTATCTACGGGAACAAGATCGAAGGATAAGTGCTTCTCAACATTGATGACGATGTTAGTCGGTTCGGGTTGGACCTACGACCTCCCTGGATCTCCTCTGAGTTCTACGGATTTCTCTGGTAAGGAGTACTTATCCTTCGGAAAAAAAATATTTCTAAATGAGAAGCACTTTCAGCCCACAGTTACACTACAATTGCGACCCATGTAGTTCGTAACTCGAATGAAAAAATTTTGATGTAGTTAAATTGTATACATGAAAGATCTCACTCTAATTGGCAGACATATACGTGATTGAAGATTCTTCATATCACATTCTTGGCAAGAATGCTCATATTTGTTCGTATTTTTTAATGAAGTGAGTTAGAGTGAGCCATTGATTTGTACGTAAAAAAAATGTCATATTTTTAAATCTTCTAAGTGTCCCCTCTCAGAGACGACAAACAAACAACAGCATGAACAACATGTAGTTGTGCATGCGGTGTTGACACTGAGAGCGTATAAACTCAAAGTAGTACTGAAGGCCACATGTCAGTACTTATTTCCCTAGTACCCGAGGTCGTTACGCGCACCACGGGATGTCCTTTCTCGTGGTGTCGACATCAACGAGTATTGTCATATACGAAAGGTGCGTGACAAGCACTAGTAGTTGCGGCTGAGTTGCGGCGGTGACATGATAGCACTAGTTGCGGCTGAGTTGCGGCGGTGAAAAAGAAAAGGTATTCGAAAAACTGAAATAACCGAGTAAAGTACTATCCTCGAATTTACTTGCTTAGTTGTATTCTCCTTTCATCAAATGCCATCCACAGACGGACGCGATTTCAATTTCAACTAGAGGCTCAGGCAACAGCCACCGCTGCTTCCTCCTTTTTCTCCGCCTCGTTGTTAGCGCTATCCCTTGCAGTTCATCTCTGTGGAGATCCCTCAATCCTTATGGAGATCCGTCAAGACACTATCGCCTTGAAGATACGCCTCTTGAGGGGTCTCAATCATTTATAGGGATGGACTAGCGGTAGCTCATCGTCTATTTATAGAGACGGTTCTTGAAAGGTCACTACAGAAGCCCCTTGAAGATACGGCTCGTTAGGAATCAGAATTTCATCTTCCATGAGAGAATCAGAATCTCATGCTCATCTTCTTGCTATAGTTAGCGGTGGTAGCTACCTAGGTCTCTACTACCCTATTCAATAGAACAAAAAAATTTCGATTAGCAGTAGCCTTAATGTTGCATTCGGCTTCCCATCGAAGTTGGCTCACCTTTTTGTTCAACTCCAGTATCTGCGCGTCTCGGGACTGTAAGGAACACTTCGCTCGTTCCAGCTCAGCGCGAAGATTAGAGGTGCAAAGTGAAGAAAGGGCATGATAATTGTATTTGATTTTAATGGCGTGATGGAGTATCTTCTGCTAACACCATGCACTCAATAATTTTTTCTAACACCTGATGGTAGGAACTTCAGCTTTTTTTACGAGCCTGAAATCCAACGTGCCCGAAGTTTTCTTTTCCCCCGTAAGTACTGAAAGACGTTGCACTTGATTGTAGTACGTTTTATCAACTTCATTCATTCGTTCATTTACCTGTTCTGGAGGTATCTTTTATACATAGTATACTTGCTTCATTGTTCCTGGAGGTAGAAGCGTCGTGGCTATCCGTGTGACAGATTCATGTGGCTATTCGTGGTGTAATAGTTGGACACTCCCCAAGAAGTTCAAAAAAGTTGTTGGTGTCTGTGGGAGAGAAGATCGGGCTTGAAGGGACGAGGTCACGACACATGCAGAGCATAATAACCTAGAAAAGGAGGCAACCGTTGTCTCCTAGAAGACAGGGAGAGGCCATGGGACTACCTCTCTTCTTTGGCCCTTTCTTTTTTTGCTCTTGTTTAGGCGATTATTAGAGGGATTCACAGAGACAATGCATATAAAGAAGATCATGGCCATGAACAAGATGATTCATTTTCAACATTGCGATAGTGCAATGCATTCTGGTAATTAAAGCTCGTTGAGAAACAAAGCTGGAAGACAAAAAACTTCTCTGACTGAGGAAACCTGTGAAGACCAGGACCTATAAGAAGAAGAAACCTTCTCAGAAAATGAATCATCTTCATCACATGGAATAATAATTCTCATCAAGAAACTTCAAGAGAAGACATCATTCATGATATCAAGACATTTTCACATCGAATGCCATAACGGGATGGTGGAGATTCGGTCGTTTTCTTAAGAAACTCTTCCTTGGTGGCGTCAGTCGTCGGGACTACTTGCTTCCGATAGAATTCGTTCTCCGAACGAGCCTCCCTAAGTTCTGCTTTTGGTTAGAAGTAGAACCTTGTTGCTGGTACAATAAAAGTAGTTGTTAAGTACTATTTGTTCTATGACTGTTCAACTGACTAGCTAAGACTGGTCTAGTGATTAGAACAAAAAGCAGAGTAAAATTATCGTTTTAATGAATGTGCTAGCACTTAGACTTAGACGAGGAGAAGTATTCATTGACAGGGAATATGGTCCTCTACGTCCTCTCCCTCTGCATTTAAGGGTAAACAAAAAATGAAGCCATAATCTAATTTCGCGGTCTTGGAATACAAGTCGTCGTTTTCGGACTCCTTCTGTCGTAGAGATTCCTTCGCGTCAGCAGCCTCTGATTTCAACTCTCGCTCTCGTTGTGCGTGCTCGCTGTTTTGAGAGAAGAAAAGAAAGATTGCAAATTCAAAAATATTAACAAAGAAAAACTTCCTTGCGTTCCATCGGCAACAAAAGGTCCTTCACTTACAGTCGATTGCAGGGACCGACTAATCTACTACGGTAAAACTGAGGGAAACTTGAGCTTAACCGCGTATTTTTCTTTTTTGTGCTTTAACAAGCTGCGTCGCTTCACTCACAATCAAAAATCAAAACTAGAGTGACAAGTACTTCCTTTCCATTGACAGTTGCTTTGCTCTACGTTCTGCTTCTGCCCTATTTCTCTCCACTTCATCATGCAAGCGCGCGTCCTCCCTCACTCGTTTTACATCTTGGTCCTGGGTCATTCGGTTACTTAAAGCGAAAGGGCTTAAACAACTATCCGACGTGATGCTACGGTGGATCATTGATTCCCCTGCCTTTAATCTGTCCTTAAAACCCCCTTGCCTTTGGCAGAGTGGCTAGCTCCTTTTCCTTTAAGATAGCCACTGTTGTCTGAACTACGTAAACAGATTCCCTGGAAAGCTATGTTAGCTTAAGGCCAGTAGAGTTTTTATATCAGGCACCTTCTCTTCGGACGAGCAAGCTCATCTAGTTGTGGTCGCGCAAGCTCATCTCTAAATTGAGAGAACCCTACCAAAACCAAACCTGTTGAAAATCTTTGTTCTATTTCATTTACCTACTCATTTTTCCGAATTTGCCTTAAGCTATGTTCGATGGCTGCTTGCTGTTGCGAACCCTGAATACCTCTGTCTACTTGTTGCCCCCAAATTAGAAGATGTCGAAAATAAATAAATAACTCGACACTGCAACAGGGTGTCTTGTTCAACAAATGAGTGTCTTCAGTGTCTTCATCTCTTGTTGCCATGTTTGTGTCCGTATCGTGGTTCAACGTGGTGCATATTTATTACTTTTACCAGACTATAATAAATTGCCGTAAACCTCCGAACGTGGTGAAGCCGGCTCGTGATGACGTGGCGAAGGTCAGGGCTGGAGCTCCGTAGGGGACCACAGGGTACAGACCCATTCCCTGATGCTTGAAGGAGCTAGCCTGTAGTTCGGCTTCGAGGTTGAGAATTAGACGAGGAGGATGGATAATTGGAGATGAAAATTTTCTTTTATGTATCTAGTGGAGGATTGACCAAGAAGGGCATAATGCCTAGGTCTAGGAAAATAAATCTACTAGACGAGGGGTCATGTAGTTGTTGTAGTGCAGAGTAGGAAGCTCTACTACACGAGGAGTGTCAGAGCGATTTTTGTATCAGGGCGAAGAAAATAAGGAAGGTCTAGATATGTCAAGAGGACTCTTGAATCAGTAGAACCCCTAGACGAGTCAATCCACGACCTCAGAGGCTATCTACGTATATCTTTGGTCTGCAAAGTTACCTACTCTTTATCTTTGTTAAAAATGTCTATTCGTTCATTCGTTTGCCTGTTCTTGAGGTATAGTTTGACGCGAGGAGCGCAGGGGGGTCTTAATGATATCGATCTTGGGCCAAGACCATAAATTGATTTTGTCTTTCAGGGCTGAGACCTCCTTCTCCTTCGCGGTCATCTTCCTTTCCGCAGTTTCCTTCCAGAATTAGAGGAGGACCAAGAAAGTTCTGTTGAAGAACAACCTGAAGAAGATGAATGACATTGACATGCACAACAGGTAAGTCTAGGCGTTCTATTCTGTGCATCCTAAATAGGTTTGCTGCACCTACCGGCGCAAATGAGTCTACTATGATCCTGATAGTGACTCACTACATCATCATCATACGTCTCTAGTAGTGGTCATCTTGTACAACTAGCGAAGATACATCCGATGAAGAGGGATTCACATGAGCAGGAGCCTTAATCTCGTTGAACTTCTTTCGACACTTTCTTTTTGAGAACGTCCTCTTGGCTTTTAAAGCGGTCTATTTGCTTCTGAAGACTCTTGTTCACTGTCTCCAAGCGCTTGGCTTCCGTCTGCATGTTCTTTGTACGCTTCTCGAACTGGTGTAGGTGTTCGTTGTTGTTGAAAAAAAATTCAAATTGAAAGTTCTTGCTTCTGCTCAAAAATGGATCCACGACACCAGAAGCGTTTTCTTCAATCATAATGATTAATTGAAGGATAATTACGTCTAACTCCATTTTCGTTTTCTGCGTGTAGAGTTCGTCATTGTCGTTGGCCTCTATTTGCCTCTTTTCTTCCTCCAAAGCTTTTCTTTCTGCAAGCAAGGCCTGCCTTTCTGTGCTCAGATTTGCTTCAGCACTAGCTTTTTCCTCGAGCGCAGCCTGCTTTGCTGCTTCGGCAGCGGCTTTTTCCTGGATAGCTGCTGAACTTAGAAGAGATTCGCATTGGGGTGCATGTTGGGAAAAACAGTATAGTAGGTTCCAAGTAGGTTCCTCTGGATTCGTTGGAGAAGATAAAAACATACGTACAACTGCAAGTGTCAGTTATTCTACTTCGGTTATTTAGCAAAAAACTATCACAACTAAATTCTCATCAGCATATCTCTTTTGCCGCTTCTGCGTCTGCTTTCTGTTTTATTGCAGCGTCTCGCTGTGCCTCTATGGCGCGCTTCTCTGCCGAAGCGGCTTCGCGTGCTGCACTCGCTTCCTTGCGCGCCTCCGCCACAGCCTCTGCTACAGCTGCATCCTTTGCTGCTTCTGCTGCAGCCATTAGCGCTGGCTAAGCTTCTTTGTGATCCTCTAGCATCTATGACCATTTGAAAATGAGAACTCTGTGTTGATTCCAATAATCTTCACGATGATAGTGGTATCAGATAAGTACTTAGATACCTAAAACACAGCAACCATTACCATGGGAAGTAAGACAGTAATAATGCTGTCCAATGAAGTGTCGCCGTAAACTCACTGCTGCGTTGCGTGCTTCTGCTGAAGTTTTTATTGCTTCTGCCTTCAGTACCTCTACTTCAGCTTTTATCCTCTCGGCTTCTGCTTTTGCTGCTTCCGTCTCGGCTTTTGCTTCTGCCGCGTCAGATTTTGCTGTGTCCACCTGCAGTTGTGCCATTTCTGCATGCTCATTTGCTTTTTCAAGTTCGCTCGCCACCTTTGACGCACGCGCCTCTAGCTGTTCTCTCTCCTTCCGGAGATTCTGCATCTCGGAGGAATGAAAGGGACTTGGTTCAGCTATCTTGTGGGATCCTTCAAAAAGAAAATGATCAATCTTTACTGATGAAAAACCTGTTGCATTAGTATGAAACAAGAGATGTTCGACATTTTACAGTGTAAGTAACCTTCCTTACAGTTTAGCACTAGGAAGATCAAGATAATTCAACCTGTCATACGCAACAAGACTGTCGCTAGAACTGGCCGGATCTTGTGGGGTGCTGGCCAAGCGTTCGATCTGTGAGGTACTTTCAGCCAGTTTGGCTTCTAATTTTGCTACTGCTGCTTGGAGGTCATCCGCTCGTTTTCTTTCTGACGCCAGTTCTGCTTCTGCTGACTCCGCTTTTGAGTTAGCAATGGATAGTTTAGGAAGACAAAAGATGAGTGTTGTCAACATTGTAGTTGTAGCAAGCGTAGTTGTTTATTACTTCTTTAACCTCTACCACTACCTTGTGTAAATCATAAGAGACGCAGAAACGCACCAGGAACCAGAGCTGGAGCTGCTTGGAAAGGTCGTAGATGTTTGACTGGTACTTCCATTTTCAGCATCTGAAAACTTGCCAGTGCTTTGAAATGCCTGTAGCTTCGCTTCTAAATCCTTCACGATCGCCTGCAGCTTCTCCTCTGAAGCTTGCGCCTGTTGATTGGGTTGTTTCTATTGTCATTGCTCTTGATGCCTCCTCGATCATACTTGCGTCTTACTCTTAGCAGACTATTTCCAGAGCGCGACTATTTGCAGAAGCGTGGTCGTGATTCCAACGATTGCTGTGAAGTCAAGCGTGCGCAACGTATTCACGACGGCAGCAACCACGCGCAACAAAAGATAGCGCACGTCTCCGAAGTTGGACGAACTCAAGAAACCAGGCATACCATACCAGAACGCAGAGAAAGAGCACGACATAAACGCAGCCAACCAGGCATAGCTTGTAGAGCCACCTGCTTGCAGCAAATAGCTGCCGCTGCTGTCATAGTTGCGATCCAAAACGGAAGACAGACCCCGGCTTACTATCTGTAGCAGGTTACATAGAGCATGTATCCCACGCCCTTTGTGGTGGTAACACTCGTCAAATCCGGTCAAAGAGAATTGGTGGTCGCTCTTGGGCACGACCAACAAGTCACCAAGTAGCCTGGCCGCGCGGATGGCCCGCGACGGCCAAGCGCTGCCTTTGATCGCCCTGGCGCTCCTCGTCGCGGGTGGAGCGCCGCCTCAACCCTCCGAAAGTCATGGCGCTGGCCGATGCGCGTGGTTTTGCTGCCGCACACTTCTAGCCATTTGCTAAACCCCCTGACCCCGGGGCGGAGGGTCTTTCGGAGGAGCATACTGCCGGCTTCTTCGTCTTGTTGCTCTGTCTTGTTGTTCGACTTGGCCGGTCTCGCCATCTTTTGCAAAATGCAAGAGAAAGCTGCGCCAGAGACAAGAGAGGGCAAGCAAACAAACCAAGGCAGCCCGAGCAAAAGCCGGAGCCTCGACTGAACATGTTCACTCTAATCCAAATTAATGCCAGCACTCTGAAAAACAACAATCAATAATTTCCCTTGACGGAGTAAAAAGCGTAAGAGCCTTTACCTTTTCTTTGAATGCGAATAGTTCTGCGTCTTTCTCCCTAGCGATTTGTGCTATCTCCCTTTCTAGAACGTGAATTCGTTTGTTATTGCTAATTGGCGCGCGCTCATTTCCGACCTGGTGTGTTTAAATCGATTGGTTTAAGCCTCAGGCTGGGTGTTAATCAACATAGAATGTTTTTAGTTCGAAATCTTCACAGTTTGGATTAAGAGAGTATCAAAAGATCCGAAATCACATGTATTGGACGTTCTTTCATCACGATATTGACGAAGTTAGTGAGTAAATCCCATGGCCATGATGCCCATCTACTTCCTACTAAATTCGAAACGGATATTAGTATTACTACCAGTACCACATACATTATCAAATAATAAATACGTTCCCCCCACCTCCACCTTGTGCACTTGGTGTTGTCGGATATTTCCTGAACATCTTCTCGTAACTGGCACGTAGGTCGTCATTTATATCCTTCTTCGTGTCTAAGGTCATTTTATGACTCCTGCCTTTCGTTGCGGATGGGTGGTCGTTTCTTGCTGCCGTGAAGCCACCTTTTGATCGGAAGTTGGGGACTAGAGATTAGAAGAGGTACTTTGCTGTGGAACATGGGAGAACACGTTAAAATCTCATTATGACGCGATGTCATTACGAAGGCTGTTCACAGCACACAGACTGTCCATAATTGTGAGTCGAGTGCTCGCCACGTGCTCCCCCTCTATGCGATGAGCCGTCGGGGCCGCCTGCTCCTCCCGCTGCTGAGACGCTAGATGGCTTAGAGGTCAAGTCAAATATTATGTCAATGATCTCAATCTTTCTGCTTATTGATTCTTTAAACTAAAAAAATCGAACAATCATAACGTATGAAGGTAGGAGAGAGGCTCACTGCCTTGTGTTCATCATCATGTTGTCCTATCCAGTCCTAGAAATCTTCATTTAAGTGCCTATGCAGAGTCTGTTGGTCTCATAAGTGTAATAGGCTGCTGCCTTTGCATTCCAGTTGCAGAGAGAACTAGCGTCGCCATGTCTGCGGTTGACATCTTGCTATTCATGTTAGACCTTACCAATATTCATCGTGAAAGGTATCTCTGACGCCTCTTCCTTCCCTTACAGAAAAGGTAGCTGACGGAGAAGTGCTTCTCAGGCAGATGAAAAGGGGGAAACTTGTTGTGTTTCCCTCTTGAAAGAAAACACGTCAAATAATGCCTCTACTTCTTAACAGTAGATGAATTACTGCTACTTCTAAGATCATGAATCAGGGGAAGTACTAGCCTTACTCCAGTAGATGAATTAGAATTAGTTTTATAGGGGAAGCCTTAATCGTGAAAGCGCCATTAGGTTGATGTTGCGAGTGTGGCGTCGTAATCGTGCTTGTATCCAGCGCAGGTGTGGTGACGCGAGTGTCAGGCGCAGAAACCGGCGGCGGGACTCCCCCAGCCATCTGCGTGAGCAACCTCAATTGCTCAGTGTTGTTACGAAAATTAGAGGATCATGTTTCATATCTAAACCCTATGAACTCATGTAAAAATACTTTTGCTTGGTAACCCCTGACTCTGAAGATACGTTTGTGCAATAGTAGAAAAACGAGAGGGTGGTAGAAAAATCCCAAACCAAGTAGTTAGACTGTCTGATGCAGACAGGCAAGTCTGATTCAGACAGGCAAGTCTGATTCAGACAAGCAATTGCATAGGTAATTTCACTTCTATAACTGATCATGAAGAAATCGGAGTCGGACATTTCCTATCCATAACAAAAGTATTGATCGGAGTCGGACTTGCTAATGGTATTGGGTCGTTGCCTCCAACTGACGCTACATCTAGTGGTGGTGGCGGTGGTGGACTTTCGCCCGTAGAAGCTCGTTGTGCCTGTAGAGCGGTTTTGATTGTCTTGCTTGTCTTATCACTTACACTTTTCAAAGCTGCAGCATATAACTTTGTCAACCTTAGAAAGTTCAAGAAACTGTGTAACACACTAGGTATTAAGGATAGAAGAGTCTTCCCATAATTCAGTTGTACCTGAGCAGCAGATGTAAGTGATTGAAGAGCGTCCAACTCGCCAGCTGGTATAGGGTTTTGGGCTGCAATACTGAGAGCTCTGTCTGAAAAGTGATTCGCCCCACCAACTGGGCCACCTATTGGGTTACACTGATTAGAAAGATGAGGTTCAAGACGTGGCTTGTTGGGAAGATCTTCTATATCCGAAAATCATCTGCCTTTGCTTATAAGTAGAAGGGTAATATTGCGCTATGGGTACAAGCACAAGCACAATCCTGTAGAAGGACGAGCACAATCCTGGTGGTTCACCCTCATCAGTAATTCTAGAGAAAGAGACTCAGCTCTCCTGTAGATTGAAGAGTTGAGCCAGCCTAACCAGGAAAAACAAAAAAGAGCACAACTGTAATATTAAAGGAAGCAAAGGTAAAAGTTGAAAAATGTAATGGCAACTTGAAATCCATAACTCCAAACTGATTGCCCATAGGCACGCCCGCGAGTTGTGGAGGTATCCCTAGGAGGTTGTTTGCGGCTCCGCCTAGCTGACCAGGCTGCAATCCCGCGAGCTGACCAGCGAGAAATCGAGCCGCGGGATCTTGTTGTATTAGGGCTTTCAGAGGACTAGTCTAGTAAATGAGATTTTCTAGGACTGTTAGCTTTTCGTCTCGACAGCACCAGGTCCAAGTCTGACAGCTTTTCGTCTCGTAGCATCTCTGGTCCCTTACTTTAGCCTTTTCTCAAAAATCATAAAAGTCCTCCGTTGTTGTTGTTAAATCGCTGTTCATTTTCTTCGGGCAATGACCTAGACGACGCTGATGCTGAGCTCCCAGACAAAACGTTCCCTGGCAAAAATCCAAGACCGTGTTTGTTAGAGGAGAACATGAACTTTAAGCAGATTCTACTGACACAAATTCAGCAACAGCAAGAGCAACTTGAAGTCTAATCTCCTCTACTAACCTATCTGGTTAGGTCACGTTATCCTTATTTCCTCTACTAACCACCTTCCAAATTATACATAATGTTATATGCATGATCTCTGATGGCAATGACGCAAAAATCCCTGTCCTATTTCCCATCATGTCTCATAATGTTATTTCCCGGTGGCAGTGGCACGGGTGGTGGCGGCGGAGGCACAGCACCGTTGAACAGATTCGGATTTCCACCTAAAGGTATCAGTAGAGGCGAATCCCTAAGCATCTGCTGTCGTTGGAGGTCATTGGGCTGCCCCAGCTGTTGTTGAGGAGGCATCCCAGGCATGCCACCTGCTCCATTGAGGGCAATGGTTAGAAGTAGTGATTTCCAGGCAGGATAAAATGCATATAACCATGTCTTTATTGCGCAACCTGAATCAAAATTTAGAGCGTCATGATCGCGCTCGTGTGACCAAAGTAAAAATGAAACAACGAACAGTGAACAACAAACCTACAGGTGACGAGCTTCTAAAAGTTCAGTCGACGAAGTTTTCGAAGTTCAGTTGCAAATGCAATCCAGCGTCATAACATTACATGTTGATGAAGCTGTGGTTGTATATTCATTATCTGCTGATTCATCAGCGGCGCTCCCATGGGCCCGGGCATACCTCCATTTGACTGTTGCTGTTGCAGCTGCTGCAGCAGCAGCGTGAGTCCTGCATTGGTAATATGGATGTGGTTTGTTCCCTGTAGCCAGACCATCATCACTAAAAACCGGATTTTCGTTTTACCCCTAAAAACGTAAATCCTGAATAGGAGGCGCCGCAATGGTCTGTAAAATGGGAGAAAAAACAACAGCCATAAGTGGGTACAGGACCCTGCTGCCATTGTTCACCCATCCTCTAGGAGTTTCTCAAACTCAGAGACGTACACGTAAAGGAGGAATCTTCATACTCTTCACAGACGTACTCGAGAACCGCGATTGCTAAGTGTTGAGAACCGCAATTCTTGTGGCGGTGCGTGATGATTGTTGGTGTTCTCCTCTAGTCGCCTACCTCAGTCCCTACCTCTCGTCGCCGTACTAGTAACGGTGTATTCTGGAACAAGAGGAGTTTTGCTACTGGCTTTTGCTAAGGTTTGTCGCTGCCGGGTTGTCGCTGATGAAGCAGAGGTCGCCAGCAGTGATTACACTTTCACTTCTCTCCTTCAAGGCCCACTAAACCACGCTGAGGTCGAAACTTTTCGTGCCACCGCTGTAGCATGGAAGACGAAAGGGGATGGCACGCACGACGGATGGGATTTCCATGTCACTTCTCAACAAAAAAACAAGTCACCACAACATGATTTCCGCACAACTATAAAAAATTCTAATTCGTAAGAAAGAGAACGAATATGCTTACATCAAAATAAAATCCCAACGACTAGAACTTCAGTAATTCTCTCGCAACTCCTGCTCTCATGTCTTTCGCTCGTTAGCTCCGCCTCTCTCTACTCAAATGGCTACACCTCTAGTTTACTGTGGAAATCGGAACTGACAGTAGACCTGTGAATGGCAATAAATGACGCTCATTCAATTCAGAGTGACGTCTTCAACTGCAGTGGTGGGTCGACAACCCTTGTTCGTTCCTGCTGTGGTTTCTTTTTATCCTCGTCAATCGAAAGATAAGAAAGATGTGTTGTGCGTTGTGCGTTTGACATCATCGCAAATTGAGTCAAGTTTCGGATCTTGCAACAAGAATGTAGCTCCTGCGCAAGAATACAACAGTCATCATGTTGATCTCTTAAGAATACAATCTGTATTAATACATGTGGTAGATCTTCAAGGAAAGATTATCCAAATGGGGACTTCCTACTAATACATAAAAAGAAAAAGAAAGGAAGTCCCCATTTGCATCATCCCAAAAGAGTTTCCGAGAGTTGATGCTCCTGTCGTTGTTCCAAGAACGGGTGCTGCTACTGTTCCACCAATTTTAGAGCTATTGCAACATGTGAATGCTGAGAAGGTGAATCTCTAGAAGCCGCTTTACCTTCTACAGATAATAAAAATCAGGACAAGGATAAATAAGCAGAACAAGATAATCAGGACAAGAATAATTGGTTCAAAGACAAGGATGATTATGATTAATCAGGACAAGGAAAATTAATTCAAAGACAAGGTGAATCCCTACAGAATCCTCGTCCAAGGGAATCCCTACAGTCCTTAAACTCTGTAGAGGATACAAGAAGTTGTGCTGAAAAACAGGACTGACTAGAAGTACTGTCGTGTGTAGAGGATACATACAAGTGCGGTCATTAGTCTTAACAATTGTGGTTGGCAAGATGTTTTGTTGCTGTGGTTCATCGATTCACCTTTGAAAGGTATTTTGTTTCCATTGTTCGAACGACACACGGGACTCCGCCACACTAACCTGCCTAATATCACTCCCTGTCGCAGGTTCGGGTACTTAGAGCATCATGTGTGTTCGTTGTACATTCACATACTCGATCTGTACATCTCCAGAATGCATCGATCCCGATCGCACATAAGTAGAATGCACTCGAGAAACAAGCCTCAAAACACAGTTACCTCCGTGGTGACACCGCGAGCGTTTACGCTGTAACCCAGTGGAGTCAAGATCTCCCTGCAGGTAGTCAAAGCTTTCTCCTTCGCCCTCTCTTGCTGCTGAATACACAAAATGCAACTAATGATTGAGACCGAACAAGACCAAAATCGGACATTCTCTCGCACAAAAAAATATCTATGTCAATAGAGCCAGAGGACTAGCTGGTTTCCGTTCAGCTAATAGGTTTCAATATGCACAACACTGTCTGTATCGGCCCACCGGGACAACACCAGTACACGCGTCCAGGGCAGGCCGTCTAGGGCAGTGGCGCATTCCTGCCACTGGGGTTGGATCACACCGCGATTGCCAAAAGCTGGGTTAGAGCTCCCAATAATTCATCTTGGAAAGCATCTTAGGCGTGTTATCCCCTTACAAAAGGTGCTAAAGATGCCTCTCAGGATGAATCACTTAGATAGTACTGGGGGAATCCCGCTAGAAGTCATGTTCCTCCAAAAAAAAAAGTCGACTTCCAAACCCATCGGAAAAGTTAGCTACAATTGAAATAGGAATAAAAATATTCCATTGTAGGAGTACAACAAGTGGGTAGTGCAAAGAACATTCTTGCGATGTGTAGTTCACATCTATGATACGCGAATCTTTTGTTTCTGGGAAGAAAGGAAGACCAGCCACATAGACCGCCCACATCCTATGGCTTGCTGTTGCTTCTTGATAATTACAAATTAGATAGTTACCTCTCTCACATGATCACTCCATTCTTTCACGCGTAGTTGCAACTGTGGTGGCCCCCTCTGTATTCGTGGAAATCGGAACCTGCGGACTGTAAACGGATTCTGGAGGCACTACGTGTCTACACGATTACTCAGTGCCGCAGTAACTTTGGCATTGCTTTCTTCAGTTCACTTGAAATTCGAAAGAAAAATTGTTGTTGGAAAGTCCAACAGCAGCGGTGCATTGACCGCTGTGCTGCGTTTGTGTCTTGTATTCATGATTCATTATGGCAGAATTTGAGCAAATATGGGCGCGTTCTCCCTGTGTTTGTGACGCAGAACCTTACTTTGACTTCGACAGCGCTTCCCCCATGAGAAATTCTATTACGAAAAAACTGGCACACGCGGTTACATTTTGTGCTTTGGTCGACAAATGAGACATGGCTGGGTCTTACTTTCCCCCTCCAAAAAAATCTACAAATGAACCAAATGAGAGCTGTATTCTGTGCGAAACGGAATCGGTATCAAGTGAAAAATGACACGAAAAATCAGGTCTGATATCTTTTTCTGTAGTACGAACTGTGAAAAAAGACATCCCTTCATGAAGGCGCGCCTACTTGTTGCTACTAACCACGCTTGTTTGGTAGCCCATCTTTACGAGCTCAACTTCTGCAGCAAGCGCTGCGCATATCGTTGAAGCAGGTTGTCACTGTCTTGAGGTTCAGAGGAGACCAATTCTTTCGCATAGTTCTCCGCTTGCAGTTGCTTCAGTCTTTGCCGACAGACTGGATGCACTGCTAAGTTACCCAAGGAGAGGAAGTTAGAGTTGCCATGGGATTCTTTATAACTGTAGAGGAGTATAGATTCTCTATTAACTGTGCCTGTGGAACACCAGTATAGATTCTCTAGACTTAACATAACTGTAGAACATTATAGGTGGATATAGTTAGTACCTGCTAGAGCTGTAATATGATCTACTAGATTAATACAGACGAATTAGACAAATCAAATGCAAGACATTCTGCCATAAAGAGTGCTATCTTCACTGACGAGTCTGCCTTTGCTGGTCCTCCTGCTGAAGTGTCTGCTCCTGTGCCTGCAGGAGAGATGCTTATCACTTGTAGCAGAGCCTCTAAGACCTGCTTCTCCACGATTTCGCTGCAGAGTTCACTACTATTCCGTACCAGGTTCCCCAACGCGCCAGCAGCGTTTGCGCGTGTCTTTTCGTCTTCGACGTGTGACGATTAGAAGAAGGAGAGAGAGGGTCGAAGGAGAGAGAGGGTAGAAGGACAGAGAGGGTCGATGTGGAGAACGAGAAGAGTCGAAGGTAATGCTGCTAAGTACAAGAACCATCTTGTTGAAGACAGCCCAATCGTGCAAAAGATACACCATCACTTTCACGACCGCTTTTCTGTCTTACAATTCTATTCTTCGTACTTAATTCACTGTTCCTCCATAATCTTTCCTTCCACTTCGCGTCTCAGTGACTCGCAGTAGATCGCGCAAGAGGACTACACTAGGCAACAACTCCTGATATAGCGCATTCGAGTGGAAGGCACTGTTGCCTACAGCAAAAGACGCAAATTTCCTACACCCAGGATCAGGGTCGCGGCAGAGAGGGACCTAGTCGTGGTATCGTATGAATTCTGAACTTCCGCGTCGTGAGCGTACTAAACGATTGAAGCTTGTAGGAAAGTGGAATCCACGTGCAGCTTTGTTGTTGAAGTATTCTTGAGCTGTATGCTGATACTACAAAGTGGGACAAGATAGAGGACACAAGAAAGATAGAATAGCCCACAATAACTCAATCTTGGACATACTTGCGTAGTAGCAAAAGCAACCAATCAAACGGATGAAAAAAATACCAATTTCGCCAAGACACCTGTATTGCTCAGATGTGCATAGAAAAAATCGCTGTGCCGGCTCATATTGCCCACCAAATTGCTCGCTTTGGCTCTTATATTCGGATCCGAACAGCCTAAGAACGCGCATATTTCGGCATAGATGTTCAAACGGTGCAGCACTGGGTAAAACTCCTTTGACAATTGCGATTAGAAGAAGGATCCGTTGGCTGTGGACGAGCGGTTGAGGTGTGTACTTTACAGTTTATCGCTTTAGAAGACGACGAGTAGTACATTTGCATTCCACCATGTTGCTCTTGCTTTGCTGCATACACTACTCGATGCTGAAGTTTCTTCCAATAAATACATATCACATAGTTCCAATTCCTCACTCCACTTACACAATCTCAGATTCATAACTGCTGAGCTGACTCAGGATCAGTAGCAGGTCGACGACTACGTGCGGGTAGTCGGCCACGAAAAACTTCGAGAGACATCTGTGAGGTTCTACGCAGAGTTTTGTAAGACCGTTTAGCTGCACGAAGTCCTTCGCCAGAGCCGGATGGTGGAGGACGAGCGTAGAAAGCAGTTGCGTCGCCATTGAGAAGGCACCAGGGACTAACTGCTGCACCCACATGTTGCTACCTGCTGATGTTGCATTTCATGACGTTCGAGTTGGATTTGTTCCCGGATGAAGTGGCCAAATTGTATCCCAGAAGTTGTATCTATCCAAGCATGCAGTAAAACGGCATACTTCTTAAAGTAAAAATTGTTCTTTTGCTATCGATCCTCAACTTCAAGCATCTTCAGGTAAACGTGAAACAGAAACAAGAAAATGTTCTTATACCATCCACTTGCGCCACGTCGAATCTTGGAGCTGACTGGACGAAGGTAAGCGCTGAAGCTATTTTAAAACAGGCTGGATCTTGTATACTTTGAACGGCCTTAGTACTGCTTGCTTGACAGAGTGCTCGATTCAGCAGGTCATAGAGGACACGATGACTCGCGAAATACGTGCTTGGCGGCACTAAGCAGAGTGCTGAGCATTAGAGACATTTAGTTATAAGGAACTGCTTCTTTCCCCAAAGTGCTTTTCTCGAAATCTAGTAATGGTTGGATTCACTCTAGCTTAAGACGTAAGAAGACAGCACCGTCAAAATGAATGCCATTACACTAGCTACAGTCAGCAAAAAAAACAAGCCTATTTTTCGTCCCAAACAAGCCTTAAGAGGACGGATGCATGCAGCCATTTGTACTTCCACCCGTCGCATTGTGTTTTGCTTGGGTTCCCATTTTGTTTTGGGCTTTGTTCTGATCCTGCACCACCAGAGCAGACGCGTCGAAGCCGAAACACGTCGTAACGCTTTCTAGTGCTCGCAGAAGAAAGCGAAATTTGTTCTGGTTTAAGCTTTCCTTTGATGTAATTGGACCGGTATTGTCGCCGGGAGGTGCAGGGGTGCTATTCATCAAAATTTCCTCTAGTTGACTGCGAAAAGCGAACATGAGCTCGACCGCAGCTGTAAGTCCCCACGTCCCTAGCATGCTGAAAATGGTGTCTAAGGGTGTCGAAAGTAAGACCCTGGACACAAAATTGCGAAAAATCCATTCTTCTTTGCCGCATAAAGCGATGCGCAGACTGAGACACTGAGCGACTGCATCAAGCACTCCCGTCTCGCCAAATCCACGCAAGAGACCCTCACTTGCTGCATAACCAAGTTGGGGATCACAAAAGTTGGTCTTTGACATGATTCCGGGTGTTGTTGCTCCGAGTGCGGTTGGAATTAGAGACGACCGTGATCGTGATCATCTGCATCCATGCTATGTAGTTGACATCTTTAATCCGGTCGTTCATTTATTGACTTATATCATGATACACACTACTTCAAGCCTCTCGTTATTTGAAAAACCGAAAATGGTACAAGACTGTCTAGAACATGTGTACAACAATCAAGAATGTGTATCTAAGTAGTCTCATAAAATTTGACTGACGAAGAACGCGGTCAAGGCTTCAATCACAATGTGTAGTCTCATAACATTTGACTGACGAAGAACGCGGTCAAGGCTTCAAGCCAAGGATCCACTATTTCGGAGAGTGCTGCGCGCATCTTCTCGCTGGCTGCAGAGGTGCTAGCAGCTGAGGAGGCGGTTGAACCTTGAGAGTGGGACAGACTGTCAGAGATCAACAGGTCACCCGCTGCGGCAAGGTGGACGTGGGCTAGGCGGCAAATGTACAGCAATATGCGTGATACAAGGAAAGCGCCAGGCAGTGCGTGGTCCTTGTCAGGGGTCGGCGATGAGGGAGAGGAGGAAGTTGGATTAGAAGGCAAAGAAAAGGAGTAACGCTTTCAGGGCCTAGTAAAAGTAAGAACTCGTGTATTTCTATTTCAACTCTTTTGAGTGCCAAAGGTCTTTGTCGCTTTTCGCACTTTCACATCGTCAAACATTGTTAGAACAATCCATCGTCCAAGAATATTCCTTTCATTCCCATAAAAGAATTCGTGTTAACCGCTCGCACAGTGTCTAGCAACTGCTTCGCAGGCGCACCTGGGCGGGGATGTAATAGTGCAAACATTTCCTGCATTCTATCCCAGGCCTCATGTCTGGCTGTTTGCTCTTGCTCTAAATCTGCGGACAAAGTTTGTGCGTCGATGTCTTTGGTCGCCAAGTAGTACCCACTCCAAGACCCAGGCAACGTTTCTCCAAGAAGGCGCAATAACAAACTTGCATAGACTAAGACAGGAACAGAAGGAGTTGCTGTTGTCCTGCTTTCCGCAGATGATGCTGATGTGTTGATGGTGTTGTTCTGTTGAAAGGCAACAGCAAGTAACTTGTACGCGTGTTGCGGTGACTTCCGGAAGGCGCTCTGATGTTGACGAAAAGCACGCTTATTCGCGTTATCTGAAGTAACGAGCGCCAGCAAAATCTGCAAGGCAAAAGTTGCAGATTGTAGTTGCTGTGATGTCGACGCTGATTCTGCTCCTGCTACACTAGGATCTGAGACCGAGTCACCAGTACCAGACGTGCTAGTACTCGAACCACCATTTCCTCCACTAAGTAGAACTTCTGCACTTACATTGTGCAATCCTTCTGCCAGCAAAAGGCGAAATAGCTGTCTGGTGTCGGCTGCAGCGAAGGTCTGCCGCAAAGCTTGTAGAACCGCGCGTGGGGTCGCTGACGGTGGCTCAGGTTGTTGTCCTCCACTAGATGCACCAGGTGCCGAATCTTTTGGCCATGGTAGGGGCCGACCACTAAAATCGGTCATTTCCGGATGCACCAAACGCGCTAGTGCTCTTAGCAACAGCGCACTAGTATTAGAGCTCGTAATGTTGATTCATTTTCTGAGTTCGGAACGCAACATAGAGCTCGTAATGATTCATTTCTGTATGGTTCTGGTATTTGGTAACCTGAGTTTGATCCTAAGAGTTCTCTTCTTGTTTTCCCTTATGATCAAATTCAGGCTATACCAAAAATACCGGAACCATTCAATTTCCTGAGCAGTTCATTTCATCCGCAACAATACAAGCCCAGGTAGAATTGAAAAAACCGGTAGTTGTGATGAAAGTGAAATATAAAATGTGAGCCTTAATACTAGACCCTCTGGATGCAGCGCTCGTTCTGAGTTCATCCCATAGATGCGGTAATACTCGGCGAAGATGAGCAGCGAACTCAGAACTATGCTCACGAGATCCCCACAAATGCCAACTGCGATTGCTGGACATCAAACCGTACACAGTACCTAAACACCTGTACACCGCTTCGCGTTTGCCCTCGGAAGCCTCGCCATCTCTCGCGTCCTCCTCCAACAACGGAACTGGCACCAGGGAAAGGAACTCTGTCACTTAGAGGTGTTGCTTGCAGCAATTTTGATTTTTCATGTCACTTAGTTCGCCTGCCAACCATACTAATAAAAAAATTTTAATTTGACACGTTTCTATCTCTCCACCTTGAATGTAATGTGTCAAATACAAATAGAGCGTCCAAATATGAAAATGAAATGCTTCAAGACCGACGACCTCGTCTTAATTCACTATGGCGGTGACATTTTGAAGATCTGCATTCTCTATCGCTGTCTGATCCTTTCCTTGTTGTCTTGGGTCTGGTGAGGCAGCGGTTGTACCATTCGCGCCTGACTTAGCTCCCGAGGATGGCGGAAAAATAATACCTGCCCAAGACGAAGATCGCGAAGATGATGAGATTATCCCTCCAGCTCCACCTCCCCCGTTGTTGCAACTCAAAGAAGAATTCGAATTACACGCCACTTTGCCTGGCAACCACGCTTCGAAAGTATGTAGTGCTTCGGTGACCAAAAAAGGCGACAGTCTTTGGTGCAGGAGAGTTCGCAACAAGGATAAAACCGCTTTGGGCGCCAACTCGTGCAAAAATTGCGATAAAGCTGGCGTAAGTGGTACACGCTGCTGCTGTTGTTGTTGTTGTTGTTCGGCAGGATTATTATTTTTCGTTGATGTCGTGCTTGAAGAAGAAGTAGTGGTTTTCATGACAATGTTAGGTCCGAATTGCTCTTTGGCTTCGTGGAAGAGTTCCCTGACGGAGCCTAAAATCGCGAAGGCAGATGGCAGGAGAGTGCTAGCACCACTATCGGAGAGGTTACCTCGATTATTAGAAGATAGATGTCATCGTCATCTGCAGAAGCTTTTTTGTAAGTGCATTCAGCAAGGAAGTGTTTTTTATTCCTTTGACGATGATGTCAACAGGTGCCCTTTTTCCTCACAAGGTAGATGACTTCGATTCTCGTGTCTACTCATAACATTGGTATTCTGCTGTTCCTGAGGAGCCGGTCCTAGACCGCTGGCTGCAAGTCGCACGTCAATCAACACGTTGTTGCCTGTCACACCGTAGACATGTGTGCAAGTGTCGGATGTCAAATTCGCCTCACTTTAGAGTCTGCCTTTATTCATCTCGACCCCCTCACTTCGAGCCCTTCTTTTCTCGTGACAAGAATACAAGGGAAGCAAAACGGTAGCGAGATGCTCAGAAAGATGGATAAAAGCTGACCTTAATCACTGTAGCGCTGTAGCAATAGGATCAACATCTTTAAGTACTTCTCGTCCCCCAACAGAGAGGACCATCCGATGCTGCCACGACCGCTCCCCTTATTCTGGTCGGCTCCGATCATGCCATTACTGCCTGTACTGGTGGCTCTACCACCAGACTTCACTGAAGGCGAAAAACACGTCCATAGTTTGCTGAATTAGAGCTCGACCTTCTTGTAGCTAGCACATTCCTCTGTAGTAGACATGACAGAGACAGAGCCAGTGTATTTCAATAGTAACCTCCTACATCTTAACTATATTTTCCATGAACCGCACTAGCCAAGAGTTCGCTTTGTTGCTGGCTCTGCTGCTGTGGTATCAAACTTGCGCCATTGCCATGGCTTCCGGCGTTCCCCGCCTCAGCACTTCCATCCCTAACACTGTCCGTGTCCCGCTCTACACCGGAGGAGAGGGAGAGTAGAGAGTTGTTACGATTAGAAGGGCCGTGGAGGTGCACTACTTCGATGCTTGGAGGTGCAGGTGCTAGGCACTATACGGTGGTTTAAAGTTAAGTCCCCACTGCAAACATCATAAGCATCATTTGATTTCTACCATTGTTGAACTTTGTCGCTATCTATAGTGACTGTAGTTGTAGATTCTCTGCAACCTCCAAAGAGCTCTTCTGTCTCTTGTACGTACTACCGAAGAAAGCACAAGACCTGCAACCTTAACAAGATGATCCGCGACAAAGGAGTGTTTCAGCAAGCCTGGCCACGCTAGACGCTGCTGTGGATCTTTTTTCAGCAGTCCTTGCAAAAAGTCACGAAATGTCGCGCCCATCGTTGCTGGATACTGGACAGAATCCTTGACGATCAGATGGATCAAGGACTGCTTAGAATAGAAGTGAAGATACGGGAAGCACGTTTTCAGCACAATATTAATATGATAAGCCCGCAGTACTTCAGATGAACGGATCGACGAGGTGATAGTGATACCCGTCGGTACTTCTTGAAGATGAAATTCCCTTACGTACCAGCGTCTGAAACTCAAGGGGATCACTCCACCTCTCAGGAGAAAGCGGAGGTCTTCCGCAAGATATCCACATGATTGATTACTCCACCTCTCAGGAGAAAGCGGAGGTCTTCCGCAAGATATCCACATGATTGATTCACGAAATTTGAAAACCTGGCCATAAAATACAGACTGTTGGCATAGAACGGCGGGGTACCCACGTAGAGTTCAAAGAGAATGACTCCAACGCTCCATAGATCGGCCGTGTGGTTGTATGGCAGCTCCTGGACCAATTCTGGTGCCATGTACAGCGGCGTACCCTTGATGCTGGTGAGCACTACCGTGTTGCAACTCATAGCCCGTGCGAAACCGAAGTCGCATAGGGTCTTAGACGTTTACTAGATGTTGTTATTAAGGTTGTGTACTAGCAGGAAAAAGGAATAATGAGGCTTAGAAGTCTACTAGATGTTGATGTTGTTGTTAAGGTTGTGTACTAGCAGGAAAAAGGAATAATGAGTCTTAGAAGTCTACTAGATGTTGATGTTGTTGTTAAGGTTGTGTACCTGCAGGAAAAAGGAATACATTCAGATTCACATGTACCATTCATCTAAGTAACCTTGTTACCTAAGTTACAAGTCTTTCATTCAACTACCCATCTTATAAACAGTGCAAGAAGGTTCACCACATAGTTTCATAAACTTGATTTTCTCGTTCGGCCCCACTAGCACGTTCTGTGGCTTCATGTCCCGGTGTATGATGCGGTGCGCATGCAAGTAGTGCAGTGCCTGAACAAGTTGGACTGCTATACCTTGTACCTCAGCTTCCGGCAGGTTTTTGTCATCCTGAAAGACGTCAAAAAGCTCCCCATGAGCGAACTCCGTGACCAGACAAAAATCGGTAGACGTCTCGAAACTGTTGGTAATGAAGGAGGACGAGGAAGATAAGGAGAAGGAGGAAGAGGAGGAGGAGAGGAAGATCAGTAGGAAGAGGAGGAGGAGGAGGAGGAGGAAGAGGAGAGGACGATAAGGAGGACATGACCAAAGGAGAATCAAGCAGTTCTGTTGGGCGATCTGTTGTCGACGTTTCAAAACTATCCTCCAGACTGCAGAGACTTCTACAGGAGAGGTGTCAATACGAAAGAATGCAGATCGGAATGCTTGAAAAGCTCTCAGCTTTGCTTGAATAACTCTAAGGAATGCCTGAATAACTCTAAGCTTATTTGCTTGAATAACTCTAAGGAATGCTTAATAAACATCAACTCTGTAGACGAACCTTCCTCATAACAAAAAGACATATGATATTCGGATGTTCTAGGCGCTTTAGAATGCTGATTTCGGACCGCAGGTTTCGCAAGTCCTTATCGCTTTTTCCTCGTTTTCTTAGAGTTCGTTTCCGTTTTTGCTGCTTCGGAGGGTGTGATCTCTTCTATATTTCGATACAATCTCCTGGTTCCTGCTCCTGGTAGTCTCTTCAATTCGATACAAGATCAAGTCAGCCACTTAAATCTAAGTACCTTTTCCGAAGACGGGGGTCGCTCTGTGGTCAAAAAACTAACTGTAATTATGTTAGTAGTGTCATGTAATGAAGTGCAACACGCTCCGACTGTATCAAAGACCTCCATCTAATTGAGATTAGTGTCATTAAGACTAACAAGGACATCATCTTTTTCTTTTATTCACATTTGAATTGTTTTTCATGTTAGTGTCATCAAGAAGCACAAAGAACAACATCATGATCATTGTTAGAGCCATCAAGACAAGCCTAACAAACACAAAGAACTACATCAAAATCATTGACTGTGTCAAAGACCTCTATCATAATTTTGAGATGAATTTCAACCCGACGATCTTGCCAGAGTACTTCCGCCTGCCCTTGAAAACTTTGCCGAAGCAGCCCTCCCCAACCAAATGCAACACGTGATAGCGCTCCATTTTGAAGTGCTCTGCCTCTGTTCTGGTATTTTGTTATCGTGGTATAAATCTGATGTGCTCTGTTGTGGTCCGTCTGGAGAAGCAAACACGCGGCAACTTCCTCTGCAACACGTAGGTCCTTCTTCAGAAGCGCTTCTTCTGCAACACGTGGCTGTAGCGTTCCATTCCTATAGGTCCCTCTTCAGAAGCGCAGGTTCTTCCGCAGACCAATCTTCAGTGACGCAGGAAGTCTTCCTTCCCCTGACAGACGGGATGAAATTATCGATCTTCCCAGTCCTCTGCAGGCCAACAGAGTGAAAGAATCAATCTGCTGCGACACTATCAAGTTGGCCAACACGCGTCAGTCGCCTCAGCGAACTACGTCTTGCGTTAGGCATGAGGCATCATGGTTTTTTCATTTTGTTTGTGCACGCTTTCTTTCCATTCATTAATCTAATCTTCATGTGTTGATGTCAACATTATTCCTAGGCATCAACATATCGATATCTTCAACTTCCTCTGATCTAGTACATCGACATCAATTTGACGGTTTTGTTTACAATTTTCATGAACTTCATGTTTGTGCTTTCGGAGGACACGGTATAAAGTTTCCATCTAAAACAATCAAGTTGTGCTAATTCATCTTTAGCACTTGCATCCAGATATGAAGCACATCACAGGCCGCACTAAGTTCTCTCCTTCCAAGTATCAACTACAAGAACACGGATTCAAATCTATAGGCAGGCAGAATCCGCGAGCACTGACACAGTCGAGATTCGTCCGCAAGCAACGTGCTGAAGGCAATGTAGTTTCATCTATTTGGTAGTAAGTACATTCGTTTTGTTGATTCGTAACGCCTAGCAACTTGAGTTTTGTTTTGGTCTACCTCTACTCAATCACAGATGAAGCGCTTCGCTTCCAGCCTATTTCAACAAAGCCACCACTCAGGGATTCCCAAACCTAGAAGGTTTCAGCCCATGCACTTGGCCCATTCATGCACTTACTGGCACAGCATCCATTTCCTCCTCAGACCTGAGACGACACTACTGCGCATTAATGTTGTAACTAATCCCTTGCTTTTCATACTGGTTCCGTTTTGGTTGTCAAATCCAGGCTGAGCGATTGCGTGATGCTGTTCAAGATGATGATGATTTTGTTCCCATTCACATTCCTTAACGATCAATGCCTTATTTCGTAATCCTATAAATACTTACTTCCCTGTTTGCGTACTGGTTTTGATTTCATACCTATCTAAGCTAACTATGCCCGGCAGGACGACTCAACTCAAGAAGGGGTTACGATTTATCTGAGTATTTCCGAGTTTTTTTTGTTGTAACCCCTTGCAAGCGCGTTCGCCTTTCAACTGCCGGAAAGAAGGAAGTGTAGATCGAAGGCCGCAGGTTTACAAACAAGCCTACGAGTTAGACGAAGTTCTTACGTACTTACTTAACAGCCCACTTTTTCTTGTGCACATGAAACAAGAATGCTCGTAGATGATAGGCGACATGTAGCTATCCAAGTTCCTCGAGGACCTGGCGGCTTTGGTTTCTCTACTGTGCAACTATACCCAGCGCTGTGGCGTGAGCTTCGTCGCATATGTAAGTAGAAGTTTTAGTTTATATGTCGCCTAAACGCCCATCCATGATTCGAGTACTATGCATACGACACAGCTCCTCTATGTGAAGAGACAGCGTCTACTTCCCCAAGAAACAAAGAAACGAGTACTGAGTGGCTTCAACGGACAAGAGTGTATTTTTTGTAAGCAAGGATGTATTTTGTTTTTGTTGTAAGTGAGTGAATCAATTAATAAGCCGTTGTCGACTTCTTTGAAATTTGGACAAATTGGAAAGTGCTTAACTCTATTCTTGTTCGGCTATCTTAGTAGGATGGTTAGGTGTCTGACAGTACTTCGTCAGGCAGGTCCACTAGATGCGCGCCAGCGAGTTAATTTCCAGCTTACTACTGGGAATTTAGTAACTAAACTGTGTGCCATCTATATTTCGTTGTTGTTTCACGTAATCCAGAATCAATCCTGTGGATAATGCGTGGGAGATCTTGTAATTCGACATTTGTCAGGTGCTGTGTGAATGTTGTAAATTTTCAATACCTGCATGTATACAGATACTAGAGTACCTCACTCCATTTCATGAAACGATTGTACATGAGGAGCTTATAGATTTCTTTCTTGCAAAGTAAATGCCTTCTTAATGCATGTGTTGCTAACAAACTCTTTGATGTTTTGCATGTGTAGCATTGACGTGTGCCTTTTGTATCCCCTCTACGCTACTCAGAGATGAAAAGCCTACTTGTATATCTGTAATTACAAACGCTAGATCTATCATTTCACGAACATGAATTGTGCATCTAATAAGGATACTCTCCGTCTTTTAGATCGTATCAGATACCTATGAGTCTTGCCTACTTGTATAAATACAAGCGTCAGAAGATGAAGCCCCTGCTTGATTCTCGCTCCCCTCCGACTCCCCTCCACCAAAAAAGCCCACCCCAACCCGCTTCTCCTCCCGTAGACTCCCCACCACCTCACTTTTCTACTCCGACTAAAGTGCCTAGAAGGATGAGCGTAGAGCGCCGTACTCCTCCACGCCCTTGTCTGCCACCGCCTGGCGCTGCTGCGTCGGACCAGCTTGTTAGAGACAAAACAATTACGATAGAGTCATGGGAGGGAATAGAGGTCAATTTCTTACATTTGGGAAGCGACTGAATATCACTTGCTAAAGCTAAAGCAAATATTTGCATAAAGTTCGACTCTCTGTCAAAGAGAAAAACTATGTATAGTGAGTTGTCAAGTATGACCCGCCCTTAATTTCCCTCCGCATCCGCGGCACAACGCTGGGCTCGGCACGAGTTTCGCACGCGGCGGCCAAGTAAAAACAGCAACATCAAAACGGCTGAACAGACGACAAAAATGCCTGCAGTGCTCATGTGGGGCAGCAGTGGCACATGCTCAGCCACTGCTGCTTTTGAGGATGCATCGCTCTGCTTCGAAGCCATCGCAGCCATTTCTGCTGCATCCGTGATAGTTTCGGGATCCAGATCACCGCCAAAAGCAGTCGCAACTTCCTGCAGGAGAGATGCTTCAGTACCGGTGGAAGATGAAGGTTGTTGCTGGGCGGGAGACACATCGTCCGCCACATTAAGAGCACCAGCGCCATCATCCGAAGCTCCAGAACCCACGTCAACGCCATGTAACGGCAACGCGGTTTCCTGCGCAAAAGATGCTGCGGCACCCGTGGGAACAGTTTCCTGCGGAAAAGACGCTGCCGCCGCTTTGGCGTCCGGACCTGTATCCGAAGAAAAGGTGCGTGTTGTATTGAAATTTCAGATCTACTCCCCAGTGTAAATCGTTGCTAGATGAGTGGATCATAGTCATTTTTGTGTAGCTTTTGGTCTTGTGAAAAGTACTTTGGAAAACAAAGGAGAGAAGATACTTAGATGCTAGTTGGACTAAGAAGTACCTTCGATTGCTCTTTCCCTCCGATCTCCTTTCTTTGTACTCTTCACGTACAAACGGCCCTGAGTCCCATTTCCTTTCTTGCAAACCAATTTCAATTCCGGATCTCCAGTATCGACTTCCCGCCAACGTGGTCCCGACGGTTCCGAGTGCTTACCATGAGAGTATTTTATGGCGAACGGATGCAGCGTTACTTCTCTTTCTGTTTCTGCAACGACTTCGTCAGAACACAGCTGTGCAGATTTCACCTGCACCCTCGCGACGATGCCTCTGAACTTTGGCCACGTTAGCACAGGCCACCAGGAGTCCACACAAGTTACCATGCCTCTGGACTCGGGTCCTCAACATGAGAGAAAACGAAAAAAATGTAAGATTAATCACTTTGATACGGAAAAGCCCCCTTATCAAAACGACTTCAATACTTTTATTATCCGTGGAACCCTCGTCATCTTATAATCTTGGTACGTCAGGTGTCCCATGTGTGATCTACCAAGTTACGGGTGGGGCTCGACCCCAGAGGACGATCTCGAAAGAGTCCAAATCTAATGATCAACATATGTATCATGTCGTACAGTACTCAGAATATATTACAACCGTATATTTTACTTATGCGTGCGCTACACCTTCATAAGAGACCGGTCTTTCCCATGTTGAAATCCTTCCATACTCGTCCACTTTGAAAATTTATCGGCTTCAAGTCTTCGTGTTGTGCCACTTTCACCAACCATGTGTCCAGAAAATGACTATTGGACGGACCAGGAGAGAGGATCCCGTCCCGAAGAGGTTTTGTGCAATACGAGAAGAGATTCCCCATCTTTCTTAGACTGTGTCTCAGCAACCGGTCTTAGAAATCGTTGTCAGGTCACAATGCTGCAGAAAATTGCTCTCTATCCTATTGTGCTCGAACTCTAAATGGTAAGTTTCAATTTGAAGACCAATGGAAGAAAACGAGGTATGAACATTTTTACTCTATTTGACTCAGCCCGCCAATCATAGTATCTCGTATAAGCTATATCGAGTTACGCGCTTCGAATGATTCTGCACTCTCTGCCCGAGAGTCTGGCTTTTTTTGAGCATGAAGACGGACTAAAGACGGACTAAAGGCGATGGCTTTTCTATGCTTGAGACTATGAGAGAGGCAAAGGAGCTAGACAAAGAACCAAGACAGCGAAGCGAGCCGATGCATTTTATTGCCGTCTTCTTTCTAACTTTCTATTTGTTTTCGGTCCGTCGGCACTTCGTCTACAACTGGCCTCCTTTCTGCTTTTTTAAGCGTTACGGCTGAGGCGTAGAGCGACGCAAGACAATTAGTTTGCTGATGGTCTAGTATGCGCATGCACCTGCTTACGGCGTTACATTCTACCGCCTCTTTTCATAAGAAACAAAAAAAAAAATTTCCGCTATCTTATCAAAAAACTAAAGTCAGCGCTCTCGTTCGTTTTCGTCTACGCCCTGCGCTTCTGCGTCGCGTTTCTCTCTCGAAGCGCTTCCAGCTTCCACGGTCCAGCCCTCTAAGCCTCTCCGCCTTTCAGGTCTACGATCTGCTGGCGCAGTTCGTTGGTAGCCGCAGTACCCGCCAAGGAGTGCGCGACGTCGGCCACCAGCCACAAGGCGACGCCTCTGCGCTGAAACTCATGCGCAGTATGGGCGGAAATAAGTCGCGCGTCAGTATGGATTTGCCCACGGTGCCGAACGTTCTCCATCGCAATTCTTTGGAGAAGTATGAAACAAGGCGAAAAGCTTGGCGCTGCGGCGTACCAACCACCCCAAGCCCCTACGCCGCAACTAATGGGTTTGACTACTTCCGACCCCTCTGCGTCTTCTTCGTCAAAGCTCCCAGCTCAGGCGGCTGCTGCTGTTAAGTGTCCAACTCCTTGCGTAAGAAGCTACCCCATACATAAGCGAAAAGCCTGGAAGCAATTCGTCGCATTTCCATTCCCAGCAGGTTCTTCTTCCGATACCAACATCGACGCGGAAGCACTCAAGCAAGGAACAAGAACGAACCGCCTTCGCGATCAGCGAATCGCGCAAGGCTACCACGACGATGGAAGGCGCTAGCACGAGCAAAGCCATGAAGGCTAAAGGCGTTGGGAAAAAGCCTGCCCCTATGAAGAAAATGGCGAAAGTGAGCAACCCAATGAAAAAAAACACAAAGCAACCGAAAGCAGCGGCGAAGGCTGCCAAAGTAGTACCGGAGAAGGCTGCAAAAACACCGGGGAAGGCTGTCAAAAAATGCTGATGGCCATGGCAGCGAAGTAGTTGGCTATATAACTTCCCCACAGGGGCTCGCATCGCTTTCGAAAGTCAACGATCGGCGCACTCTCATCAGTTTCCGACTTTAGTACGCAAGGCATCACGCCACTAAAAAGCACATCGAGCAAGTTTGAGAATCAAAGCGCAGCAACAGGGTGCATGGCTCTCATTGTCCACCCATGCAGGTAGGGGCTTTTTGGCAATATAGAAAAGGCACGCAGGTAATACGTCCGGGAAAAGTAAGCGGGTACTTCGCTCGGTGATATATTAGAAAAAGCGTCAGCAAGTCTAGTCAGTGCGTGCGTTATCCTTTACGAATTGCGTGGAGAGTCTTCAAAACCGGAATGGCACCACAGTAACGAACTTCGCACACGGTTAAGGATCAAGGCCAACACGAATGCCACAACAAAGCCACAGCATACCGGTGGGCCAGCTATCAGCTCAACCAGTCCACAGAATGCCCTACGCATGCCATACGCATAAAAATGCCAGAGGCATCCAAAGAAATGACACGACGCCAAAGAAATAGGGCCACCCAATCAAAGGCGAAGCCTTCTCACATCAGCGCGCGGCACTATCTGGCCAACGCGTCTAGCATTGCGCGCGTGTTCTCCTGAATTTTTTCCAAGCGACGCCATCGGCGTCGACAATTCAGCCGATGCACTGCGCGCGACATGAGAGCGAGGAGCCAAACCAGACAAAAAAGCAAAAGGCCACGGAGTGCGTCCGAGTTGCGTGATTCATTGCTATGCCATCGAGGTCAGCTTGGTCTTTCTTTTGCTCTCTATGCATAGAATTCAAACGCCCCGTGCCTTCTTCTGCTTTCTTGTCATGTCTTTGCTGCAAGTCATGCCATCAGCGTGCGTCCCCGGGGCAGAAGATGTCGCACATGTGCCGGCGCCAGCTGAACGGAAACGACGACGGAGACACTTGCGGCAAGTTTCTTTTTGAAATTGGAAACCAAAGAAAACACCACGCCAGCAATGCGGCCGGGATAATCTTCACGAGCGCGAGCACTGTCCACGCATGAGCATGAAGCACGGGAGCGCTATGGAATCTGCGCACTACTGTGCTACCATCAACCACAACGCGCCAAGGCTTTTGCTGCTTCGTCAGTGTTGGCGTGTAACTAAGACTCTAGCCGCATCGATCTACTTCTAACTCGCGAGCCAGCGAAGCCGTGCCTCTTAAACACTCGAAGCGCCTTCTTGGCTGTTTCGCTGATAGCAACCATAAAACCAGCGGGGCCAACCAGTACCAAGTCGCTCGCTTTGAACTCTGCCACTGCTTTAGCCGCTGCGGGATTCAATCAGCCACGAGCTCAAAGCGATCAGCGCAGTGCTTGTTTTACGGTAGAAGGCAGAAGCCTTGCAGCAGTGCAGCACTTCGCCCCCTTCAGGCTACCCCGCTGCGCGGTTTTTGTGTCGTGGAGAAGCATGGAAAGACAAGCTCCCCCGCAAGACACGCCCCGCGACAGTTTCGCCCTCGCGCCTTCGTTTCGTCAATATCTGAAACAGCGCAGCCCGCTACTTTCTCAATTCGTTTCGCGCAAGCCGGCCAAACTGCCAGCTTATCGAAGCCAGGCAGTCCATACGTGCTACAAGTTTCCTCTCCATCCATCCCTCAGGTGTTCCCTCTGTGTGAGACGCTTTAGAAAGTTCTCCCTCCTGGGGTGGTCGCTGTTTTTGTTTTTCTGATTCGCTCTGCTTCCAAGGTTGTTCCAGTTCTTGCCGCCGGCAGATTCTTCAAGGCTTTCACTGCATTGGACAGGCAACACAGTGGCAAGGGCTAGGCTGGGCTCCTCGCGTATACTGGTCAAAATTTTCGAGCAAGTGCGCTGCCTCGATCTGGTGTGATTTATCTGGCGCGCAAGAGTTTGCAACTTCTTCAAAAATGTCGCACGCAGCAACTGTCTGCAGCAGCACAGGACTCGCCTGGTTCTGAACGTAGTGGCCCTTCATCTGCGGAGTAGCAGTCTTCAGCTTTTTCAGCAGTATACTGCTGAGGCTTCAGCCATTGCGTGGATACTGTATAACTGACCGAAGACGCGGCGCATATCTCTCACGCGCGTCGCCTGGGTTCTTTTCAGTTGATTCATGCGAAGGCCCCCAGCTCTGGCGCGCGCAGTCCTTTGGCGATACTTTCACGCGCGACGCCTGTCACCAAAGCAGCGCATTCCTGTAAGTATTTTCTTCAGTTCGGGCCCACGTTCTTGCTGCCAATCGTTGGCCGCTAGCTTCAAGAACGTAGAGGGTAAGTCTGTCCCCTCTTGTCTCTGCAGTATTTCCCTCCTCCCTCTTCTTCCCTTTCTTCCTTAAAGTCGTGCACTTTGCCAGTATGTCAGAGCCTAGCTGGTTGGTTTTCTAAGTCTAGCCCTTATACTTACACGAGACAACCCGGAGAGACTTAATATACTTAACAGCAGCGCAGGGATGACCACCCCTGCGCTAGCCTGTGATAAAAATACTACTTTTACTCTATTTAATTCAGTAAGCGTTCTTTCATGCGGTTGTTTCTAGTGAAGGGAACTGTCTCAGCTGAAATCTGCATAAAAATTACAGGAGTCAATAATCTAGCGAATGGACTGCAGGGGTCTGAGGAGTTTGTTAGGGGTCGAGAATTTTTAGTCTGTTGAAAACGACCAATAACTTCTTCAGCCCTTTGATGTGACACAGACAATGCTTGTTTGCACTCGAGAACGACCAAGGCCTGCTTCATACTCAGCCTGGATGTCGTGACAGGGCACATAACCGATGCTTACTCGATTCTCTAAAAATAAGCAAGAACTTTGTGCGCAAGATTTGAGCCAGATTTATAAGACTTTCCAGCTTTTTGAAAATGCCGATTCTTGCGTCTTCAGTGCATCGATATCTAAAAATCCAGATGAAAAGAACGATCGTCTTACCCAACAGAACAACACTGTTCGAAAGCATTATCTTCAGAGTACGGCGACCCCTTGATAGGGCTTCATGATGCTGCGTTGTCTTTAACTCTTGGGCTGTGACTCATGCTTCTCCTCGATCAGTCATAACGTAGTTTCAAGGTGTCTTCAGTTGGTACCCAAAATTTCTTAGTCACTATCTTAATGATCCTTCATTAGCTTGCCATCACGCTTCAACGCATACACGAATCCTATAATCGATTTTGTGACGACCCTTTCCCTTTTTCTGGCAGAAATCATCATCATCATCATCATCTGATCACCAATTCTGTCTCTAAATATGATTATGCGTCATCGTCGGTGAAGCGATACTATAAGCGATACCTTGATGATATGACTGTGAATCACCCAACGCAACTTTATTGATTACAAAATGAACGACATCACCCAACACAACTTTATTGTGCTACGATACTCTAAATTTAGGACAAAAAGTATGGAATAGATAGTCAATCTCCACAATCTCAAAATCTCTGACTTCTTTAGATATAGATGAAAGGTCAAATTATAATTTTAGTACTAGAAAATCTGAGGGACTCAATTCGGGAGTCATCACAGCATTCCGCTTCCTCTCTAGCTATGGCCACCACCTCTCCTGTCGCTTCCCGCTTTATTAGATGCTATGCACTGTTGCAGATCTTAATACGGTTATATCTTTACAAAGGAAAGAAACACTGCCATTAAAATTCAAATTGTCCTTCATAAAAGCAGAGACTTGTCGTGAAGATGTATGCTCTTCCCCTTGATTCGCTCCGGAGCTGTTGCTTTTTCGTTTATTGCGGTTCCTACCCTGACGTTTAGGACGTCCAGGCTTTCCATCTTCCTGCGCCTCCGCAACACTACTAGGGACTCTACGATCTCCAGATGTTGACGACGCAGACTGCTGCTCTATCTTCGAGGTTGCCATAGTGGTCTGCTGATCTCCAGACGTCGATGACATACTCTGCTGTAAAGCGTTCTGCCCATCCTCTCGTTTACGTGGACCCGGGGCTCCAAGTTCGCCACCTTCCTCGCTGTGTCCCATCGAAGCGCCCGAGTTAGAGGTTAAAGCCATTCACTTCTTGGGTTCATTTCTGCGGAATACCCAGGAGGAAATAACAGAGGAAAACGAGTGTGGGAGATGAATTGTTTTGACCCTTAACAGAAGCGGGTCCAGCTGCATAATTCGGAATTGTAGTTGTGGCTGTCACAATGGCCAATTGCTGAAACTGTTGCTCAAGACCGTCTGCGCTATTCTGGTAGAACGTATGAAACAGAGGGAGTGGATGAGTGCCGACTGTTCTAGTAGAAGGAACGTAAAGGAAAAAAATATAGAAAAAGATATCATCGGGGTTCATATAGGATTTTTTATTTGGATCGCTGGTTCAATTATCGGTACACTTCTCAAGAACAATCGAGTGCGACAGGCGTGAGGACACACTGAAGAGAACTAATCACATGCAAGAAGAACATCAAAATGATATCGAAACCATCTTCTTCTACTTGGCACATGCGGTCTTCTTCTTCATAAATCTTCGCCACTTCAGTGTACTCGTCTGTGATATGATGATGTGAATCTATTTGGCAGTCTGCCTAAGATTTCACACTGGTCTATCATATAACTTCCGCTAAGACGTATTTTCCTTGTCATAAATCGTCGCCACTTCAGGTTGGTGAACTGGTCTGTTATACTCAGGTCCAAAGACTGGTTGGTCGCCACTAACACCCACTGTTCCGGCTGATGCGCCACTCCCACGCCCTTGCGCGTTGCGGCCTGCAGATGTTAGAGCTACCGCGGTAACGTCTTCCCTGAGAGCATGCACGCTGGTGTCTCTGTTCCCATCGTTCATGATGGCCGTAGAGGCATGGTCTGACAGTATTTCGATGGCTTCTATTTCAAGTACAAAAAGAGCAAGGGATGGTCCTGAGGATCCTAAGAGGCAGCCTTACTGACACAGCATCACATTCCCCAACGTCTCAATCTTAAACATATCTAAGCTAACTACGCCCGGCAGGACGACTCAACTCAAGAAGGTGCTACTATTTATCTGAGTATTTCCGAGCTTTTTTGTTGTAACCCCTTGCAAGCGCGTTCGCCTTTCAACTGCCGGAAAGAAAGTAGTGTAGATCGAGGAAAGAGCAGGGGATGGTGCTGGGGATCCTAAGAGGCAGCCTTAAAGATGAGTCTTCTGACGAAGAGAGGTCACCTCTGATTTCGCTGGTGCCTGCAGTGTCTCGATTGATTGCGGGAATTATACCGAGAAGAGGATGCTCAGGTACTTGATGTAGTGGCTCAGCTTCGTCCTCTGCTTCAGCTAATGGCTCAGCTTGTTGAGGTGGTGCTTCTGCTTCAGCTAATGGCTGAGCATTCTCAGCCTCAGCATTCTCAGCCTCATCTACTAGCGCAGCTTCCTCAGCTACTAGCTCAGCTTCCTCAGCTACTAGCGCAGCTTCCTCAGCTACTAGCCCAGCTCCTACCACAGCTTCCTCTGCTGATGGTGTTCTTGGTCCTTTTTCAGCCTGGTGGTGAAATCGTCCTTCTGCAGCTAGGCGTGGTGCAGCAATCTCTGGACGGACAACCGGTACTTCTTCCACGTGCTGGTCTTGATCGCCCATCGGCATTCCAGCTGCGAGAGGTTCATCTATCTGAGCCTCGTCAACGGCCATGTGATCTGTACTACAATCCACGCGGTCGTCTATAACGGGGTCTACAACGGGTGGCATCATATCATCGACACGCGCTGTGCGAACGCCGTAGTCATCAGCACCGTCTTCTTCTAGCGGTCTATCCTCCGCTACTCCTTCTAATGGTCCATTCTCTACTTCTATTTCGGCTACCAATTCCTGATCTTCTGCTTCGCGTTCGGCGAGGTAATGTTCTGCCAGGACGGGCACGCCACTTCCGAGCTTTGAAGAAGGACTAGGATTAGACAAAGACGCTTGTCCTTCCTGTTCTTTCTTCCCTACTTCCTGGCGCTGCTCTCGGTTCTTTTTATCCCCCGTTCTTGCTCGTTCGTGCCCTTGTTCTTGTTTCTCCTCCCTGGTAGCTGTTGATACGAAACTTGTTGGCCTTGTTGGCTGACTAGTATTAGCGGTAGGCTGTTTGTGTTCGTCTATCCCGTTCGTCATGTCTTTCCCCCTTCAGAAAGGCAAAACGAACACTAGTAAGAGACACACCTTTATTAACCCATCCTTAATACTGCCATTGTTCAAGACGACCTCCGTAGAGACGTCAGCCATGGAACCTTGACTCGGATACTCCTCTACTGACGCACTCGGTACCGGTGACGCAGTCAACGATGAGTCTGCCCCATCATTGCTCGATGCTGCAGCTCTCTTAGAAGCTCGCTCTTCAACTTCAGTAGAAACTAACTCAACAAAACGCCAGATGATGATGAATGCCCTTGTACGAATATAATATGAACACTTTTGAATGATCCTCGAATGCGAACTCACATGAAAATGAAGATTTTCCTATAATTACTGATCTCTGTGGTCTCAAAATCCACAGTAGAATAAAAGTCATAACTTTCCCATCTGCATGTGGTGACTGAATCAACCTTGCTTCAAAGACAAGACCGGATGGGGCCGTAAATATTACTTCTTCAGCGATCACGTCTCGGACTTGCTCGCCTTCAGCTCCATGTTGAGAAGAAGATGAGTCTCCAACTACAGCAGGACTGTGACAAGAAGAAGAGGAGTTACCTCCACCTGCAGGGTGACGGTGAGAAAAAGATGAGTCTCCAACTACGGCAGCTTGTTCCGACGATAAACCTTGCGGAGAGGGAGTAAGAGGTACATCCGAACCACCTTCTCCAGCTCCATAGCAACAGGCACTACCAGTCGCACGTCGAGCATCGAGTTCATCAACCCCCGTGGCGCCGACTCCAGTGTCAGTGCTGTTCTCGACGTCGAATGCGGCGTTGTCAGCAGGATCATCATCCCAAAAAATAGTCCTCGAACTCACTAGCGGTAAATGCGCACGAAGTTTTGCACTACTGGTCATTTCTGTACTTGTTGCTGCATCCTCAAATGACTCTTCATCTCTTGAGGGTGGAAGCGTCTCAAAACCCTCGCCATCTTCGCTTGAGGGTGGAAGCGTCTCTAGCACACCACCATCTACATCATCTAGCGTCGTAACCTCTGGAGGAAAGTCAGACGCATAATTATCAGGCGTCGTCACTTCCGGAGGGACCACGTTAGGCGCCGTAGTTCCTCTTGGTAATTGTCCAAGGCCTGCGCCTGCACTAGAAACAGCGCCTCCAGCTGCAGATCGAACCGGTGCACCAGAACGCCACCTACCAATCGGGAGTTCGTCTGCGGGATCATCTATCTGAATATTCTCAATCTCTTGAGTATCGTCGGAGCTAGTATTAGAAGAACGTAGTCAAATAAGGACAGAGAACGACGTGTTGAATCAACTCACGTACAGTGTAGTTAGAGAGATTGCTATGATTCAGGTTCCGATCTGTACCATCAGTCGAAAAAGATAGAAGAATCAATCAAAACTAGCATCATGTTGATAGAAACCGATTATAATGATGTAGATCTGAATGTGGTCTCAACGCTGACTCATCCTCACATCCATGTTATCTAAAACTAAATACAGAAGACCACTCTACTAATTCTCTCTTCATTAATATCTCTTCAACATGCATTGGCTCAATTGACTCATCCTTTCATAATTTCCACTGCTCCCGTGAGAAAAACTTGACGCGCAGGCCGTCCTCTGGCATACTGGTCTGGACAGCAATAGGCCAAAAATCTCTGACATGGCTGACACGGGTTTCCAGAGGTCAATGCAGACACTCTAAGGACACCTGATCCATCGAGTCCTAGGAGGACGAGGAACAGCAGAGTTCTCTTTGACGCAGTGATCGAAAGCGGATGCTTCATCCTGTTCGTTATTTTCATCACAGTCTGTCGCTATGTCTTAGCTTGATGTTTTCAATTCAGAAGGTACAAAAATGCAACTTAATAAAGATCAATTTAAAGTGCAAATAAGTAGGTGGTTGTTCTATTATTTACCAAATATAGAAACATTTCGCAGTGTCCTCCTAAGAAATATTTATAGAAACAAATTGGAAGGAACTACTACTCTAAAGAAAAAGTGTGGAGCTCTAAAGATAAATCCAAATCCTATGAAGTACAATGTGTAGTTTCAGTTGTTTGTTGCAAGAAACAAGCATATCGTCCACAGCGTCATAAAAGGACGTCCTCATAATAGGATGTCTGTACAGGAGCCATTATGTTAAGGCCGCCTAATGGTTGGCCAAAAATCCTGATGGACTCAGGCCGTTCGGTTGGATCATCATCATCATCATCATAATCATCCAAAAGCTAGCGAAAGCTGAGTCCTCCGAACACAGACACTAGTGCAGCTTTTGGCACTGATACATGCAAGCCACGACAGGATGTAACATGAGAGAAAACTGACGAGGGTTTCTTTGATGGTGTGTGAATAAGTAATGTTTGAACGAAAATAGCATGGAGTAGTTTCGAGTGCGAAAGTGTATCCGAGAAACACAACATCATCGGTAAGAAACACCAGGCTACGATTTTGAATTCTCAGAAAATCCTTGATCTACTTCATGGTCATACGAATTTCCGACGTGAAAATGAAAGTAGAATGCTACCACTGACTGAAAATAGAAGATCGATCGATGATTCGTTAAAGTTAAATCTCTTCTGCTTGTTATACTTCTACTTGATGATTTGAATCTATTCGGCGAGCTGCCTAAGATTTCCCAGACGCTAACTTAATCAATAGAATTGACAACTATAAATATATAAAGTACACACGACGTCGGGTGTAACAACATTTCATCCTGGTCTTCGTGCTACGCTTGAGGTTTCTTCGGCTAGTAGTTTAGGTTTAGCTGATAGCCTAGCTTTCTTCGGTTAGTTTAGGCTTAGCTTATAGCCTAGGCTTAGGTGAGGTTTGGGTTACGTTCATCCAGACACACGACTCGACTCCGGGAATGAAAATGATGGGCGATTTGAGGAACAAGATGTAGTTCTACATCATATTACCGCAGACACAACCGCTCCTAGCGAAGATGCTCCAGTGTGCAGCGGCCTTAATTAAGTTCGATCCTGATTGAATGACCCGAAAAACGAAGCCGTGAAGACTCTTGAGTAAGTATTTGCATATTGCGGCGCAACTTAGCTGACACTAAATGCGGTTTCACATGGGCGAAGCAACTAGGTGGCTCTGAACTAGAAAATTTATATGGTCCTAGAATCTGACTCTTTTTAGCTGGGCAGCAAGGCTTAGGCGTACTTTAGTCTTCCTGCTAAGCCTCAGTATTCTTTTACCTTTTGAACCATCCTGATTGATAAAGCCCACAGGTCACTGAGCCTCTTTTCCTTTTAAAGAAGGTACTAAATGTTCCAAGCAAAGAGCCTTCAAGCAGACAGAATACTGCTCGAAAACAACCCTGTTACTGTTTTGTGTGATCAATGTGAAAAGGGACTACAACGACCAAGAACTACATCAACATAACCATCTTCTGTTTTGTGACCATATCAATTTGATTCAAAGACCATGTTGATTAGCATCCGTGTTAGAGATGCTAACCAACTCGTAGCCCGTCTACAGATGCCGACCAAGAAAACCATCCTAGAAGCGGTCACCTTTTTTCAGCGGACGAGGGAATTACTCGCCTACATCTTACCCCTAATGCCTCATACAGCTGATAAATACATCTTCCTCGTACGTCTCCGCCGTCTTATCACATCATATCGATCGATGGAGCTGCCCAAATTCGAAGCACAATCTTTTTCCACCTAGTAAACGTTTTACTATTGCGTTCACGAATACGAATTTTCTACTACGTTCAATACGTTTTCAACTTAGTACTACGCTCAACAGCACAATAATATTCTTACTGCCTATCCCTGCTACGCAAGATAGAAACATAAGTACTGCTCTACCCTAACTAGTGCGTCCTCTACAGTAAGAAAACCAATCCTATCACGTCCCTCCTCCTGGAGGAGCAGGCTGCCCACCAGTCCCTCCAACTGGAGAGTCAGGTCGCCCGCTTGGTCCTAGCGTTTGCAATACTTGTGAAGGAGTAACTGAAATTCACAAGAATACAACTACGGATTGTAATCGTTGTGAAGGAACAACTGCGACGTAGTCGCTCAATCTCAAATAACCTTGTTAACCTTAGAAAGTCAAAAAACCTACTTCACAGACGAGATGAAAAAACTTCACTCAATCTCAAATGACTTGTTTGGTATGAAGTAATAACAATTTTTCGGATCCCTCTGTAGAGCCCTTGGATGCGGCAATTGCCTCGAACCGCTGCACGGAACCGAGTTTTTACGTCTTTTACTGGAAGAACTTTGATGAGAGGTATGCAGTACGTATGCTGTGCGTTGTCCCTGCAGGTGCCATCCTTCGCGAAGGCCGTAAAGACGTGGCCTGACAGTGTTTCAAAGATACAGGCAGCTCATGACAGACCTTGAGGACCAGTTGTCAACAAAAAAAGACATTCGTATGATTGTGGTGGAGCCCGCCGACCTCACTAGAAAAAAGAGAGACCAGAGGAAGATACGAAAGGGAAAAAAGACATTCGTATACTAATAATCAAGCAAGTAGATCAACACCATAACCATTGGACGAGACTCGTCGCCTATACTTGGAAGTGCGTCTACAGTCACAGCAGCTCCGTGCCTTCGCTGATTTCCTTCATGATTTCCGCTTTTCATACTTTTTTTTTTTTGGGTAGTATCCAACTGTAGTTTATTCGTCTCTACCCTTGTATTTCTTCTACTAGAAGATCATGGTGCGCCAGCACTAGTAGTCGTTGTACATTGCTGCTGCTCCTCTCTAAGAGCAGTGCCGCAGCGGACCAGCCGCAATTGGTGGGCAGTAGGGTTACAACTTCTCCTGCTGCTCTTTTGCTCCTTTTGCTCCTGCTGTTCTCGTTCTCGTCGTTTTCACAACTCCTACTTGGTAGAAGTACTAGAACAAGGGGTATTCTTATTTATTACGTCTTGCTCTGAATCCATCAGGCGTTGACGATTCCGCAGACTCGCAATCGGCTTCGCCTTCCTCATCATCAGCATCACCCGCAGCGCCATAGCTTTTCCTTCCCTCCCGCGAAGTCGCGGTCGAACAAGGTGGATGAAAGTCTGTATCTCCTGACGCGGCCGGAGAAATTAGAAGAAAAATAGTAAGATCTTCACTAAAAAGATGCTTATTGATTTTGATGAGGATATAATGGTAAGTAGAAGGTACTTAACATCACAATTGCTTGTCTCGAGGTAAAACTTAATCGAGACTCGTGTTGACTTGTATTACCCTCCTCATTTTTCTTTTTTTTTCTCTCTCGTGATAGGCTTCGGTATTACAATAGCCAGATCTTAACATCGCAACCGCTGCTGTCGAGGTGGAACACGCATCCGAAGAACCTGCCGCAGGAGATGAACAAGGAGCAAGTCTTAGGTTAGAGCTCATCCAAATCCCCAATCCTTTATGGCGCACTCATCTTGGAGCTGCGTACAACTCCCTCTACTTATAGGCCAGCTGGCTCCAAGATGGACATCTCTCATCTGAATAAATGAAATAGTGCATTGATTTTTAGGAAACGAATGCCTTAATCAACCCTATCCTGTTTGCTTTATTGACCGAACGACTACGACGTCTTGGTGGAGCAGTGCGAGGTCTTGATTTTCGACGTGGCGTTTCTTCGTCGACGTCTCCATCTGCATCATCTTCGCCATCTGCCTCAAGTAGGTTACACTTCTTCTCCAACGCGGTAGCTAAAAGATACTCTTCTCGAGTCGTGGTCGAGCGCTTGTCTTTATCTTCACTGTAGAAAATAAAAGAGCTACAGGTAGTAGATGTAGATGCTCTACGTGAAACAAAAGAAGAGTGCTTTACGTTTACGAAGAAAGCCTTAATAAGAGTGGGAAGTGCGCTTTCCGTTAACACAGGTAACGTGCCCTCAGGCCTCAGCGAAGGCAGTGTGCTTCCCGTCTTCAACACAGGAGGTAGTGCGGGAAAATCTGTATCGCCTTTGCTCTCAGATATTACAGGGACGTCAATAGAAGTAGGGCTGATTCCTGTCCCGCCAAGTGGTTTTGTCTGCTGTGGGTGTATAAGCTTTGCTGCAGCAGTTGTTGCTGGAACTGCAGACGTAGAAGGAGGCTTTGAATGTTCAGGAGGACATGACGATGCGGTTTTCGAAGAAAGAGGCTGTTCAGCAACTCCTGCTGCATCTCTATTTGAAGCACCAGCAAGGGGTGGAATTGATGTAGCTACTGCAACCCCTGTTGAACTCGCAGAACTAGATGGCTGCTGCTTGGTGGAAGAACTAGATGGCTGCTGCTCAGGCTCATGCTGTATTATCTTTGTTGATTCTCCTGGTACTGGTGATGGAGTTGATATCTGCGATAGCCTCTGTGGTACTGGTGAAGGAGTTGATTTCTGTGAAAGTCGCGGGGGTACTGGTGATGGAGTTGATATCTGTGATTGTCGTTGTGGTGTAGGTGACGGACTTGGCAGGCCAGCGCACTTATTGTGAAGACTTGATGCAGGAGAAGCCGCTCCGGCTCTCCTCTGATTAATAAGATCCACTTCTCGGTCGCAGGGATGTTGTTTACTTCCTTTCCGTCTCCTAGGCGAGGACGCACGTGATGGACACGGCATAACAGGTAGCGAAGGCGGTCCTCCTTGACCACTCTGAGATGTCCGACTCTGAGGTGTCTGACTCTGAGGTGTCTGACTCTGAATTGTCTGACTCTGAGGTGTCTGCCTCTGAGGTGTTTGACTCTGAGGCGAGTTTTTTCCGCCATGATCCCTAATCCTGTGGTAGTTTCTGCTTCCTGTTGCATCAATAAAACTACCTCTTGAAGGCGGATGTATCTGACGGCTTCCTCCCCTTTCCTCCCTTTCAATCCTAGGGTCACCCTCACCTTGCTGCCTGGCGGAACAAATGATCCCACTAGTGCCAGATCTAGTAGCTCTGTCAGCATCGCTATTAAAGCGTGAAAGTGCTGGTGCCTTATATGATCGTGGCAAACGGTTTCCTCCTATGCCCTGTAAGCGATTTACCGAGTCTCCAAACGAGCAGTCAGCCCGTCCATTTTCAGCTGCGCTCGCTTCGACAGCCCAGAAGGTGTAGTTGTTCTTTGAAGGTAATATTGTGGTGTTAACGATGGCGCTAGAAGTGGCTAGAAACCACAGTGACGCGGAAGAAGTCCTCCGACAGCAAGAAGAGAAGCAGAAAAACATCATCTTCTACTTGTTCAACTACTCATTCTCTATTTTACTAGTTAAAGTTTTGTCAATCATGATTTCATACCATCTTTCTACTTGATACACAACATGAAACGACACACTAAAAAACCTAGGTAGACTCCTAAAAACAAGTCTCAACCTAAAACGTAGATAAAGTGCAGGGCGGTCCTAAGGCTTTCAAATCAAATCCATGAAGCCATCCACAAAAGATCCACCGTATCGTTTAACTCGCTCTTTTTGTGTACCCCTCTGCGACTGCGTCACCACCTACATATTTGCGGCAAAAAGAACTGCTCAAGAGCGCCCCTGAACAGCGACGACTACACTGAAGATTTTTGAGAACAAGAAAGGGTAGCCGCGTAAGCGAAGATGATGTTCAAAGAAAATTTTAAACAATCACAGTTCATGAGTCTTTTGCGAGTAAGCACTTGCATGGATGATTTGCTTGCGTCTAAATCTACATCCCCACGGCTACAACCCAGTCATCTCCCTCCGCAGGAAGGCGCGCAGATTATGCGATTTCACTCCTTCGAATGTCCACGCGTAGTTATCCTCATTACCCTCAATTACGTACACTTCTGCTGCATGAAGCACATTAGTGGTTGCGCTATTGCATTCCTCAGAACATCCTTGACCTCTTTCCTATCGGGAAACACGTCAAGAATGGTAGCGCAGGATGCAATGTAAAAGCCCTTAAATCCAGGAGCAGGGTGGACTCGGAGCTCAAAGTCTCTTTGTTCGAAAAGGTTGGAGGTCTCGGCTGGACGAAAGCGGAGGGAGGATTAGAGGAGGACTCGTCAATGAGTTATTGTAACTTGACGACACCAAATTCATACTCAATTCCTCATATCTAAACGCATTTTCGAATGAATTACCAAGCTCGTTCATATTATGTTGTTTGCAATCACTCACTATATTCATAACGAGTCATTGACAGGGAGAATGAGAAATCAATGAGTGATTGAAAGAAGACTGACTGAATGAGGATGAACAACTGGGTCAGTCTTGAATAAGGAATCAATTAGAAGAATTAGGTTTGATCATATCAGCATCCATAAAAAATATGTCCTCCTTCCGGTGTCATTCCCACCTCCTCCAGCGCAAATTGGACAGTTATTACGCCTCCTCCACTAGTCGCGGAACCGCCAGTTAGTCTCTGTCGCAAAAACCACAAGGGCGAAGTTTTTGTCCCCATTTCTGGTAGTTGCAAATGTGCTTCCAAAAGATGCGGGTAAAAGACTCTGAGTATTCGCTCAGATCGTCTCGATTGTAGTTTTGAAGCTGTTGTGACAGGTATATACTCTCTACTTAGAGCAGCTGCCTGTAGCATTTTTACGTTTTTCAGAATATCCTTTTCATATTTTTTTCGATTTGAAAAAGGGCAAGGATGTTACAGTACAGGACGTAAACAATCTGGTAAATAACCTTAATTTAAGTTCCCCTCCCATGCCAATTTCCTCGTCCTCGTCAAAGACAACATGATCCCGACCTTGTCTTAGTAACTTCAGGCTTTCCTTCAAAGGCAAAAGTCCTAATTGGTCCAGTGTAAGTCGGCTCGATTGCGAGTCGCGGGATTCGCCTCCACTATCCTCACGCATGCGACTTTGAAATGGAGGATCGGTGGTGTACACTTCTACATTACCATTATTCTTATTGTAGTCTGATGTCCCAAGTACCTTCTTCAGACTAAATTTCAACAAAGACGGTCCCTCCAGTGCTACTGCTGCTGCGTGACGAGTGAACTGCACATTCACCAAAGGTTTTGCTTGCGAAGTGCGTTCTTTGTGAACGTCTTTAGGACTTTTCGTAGTAGGAGTCTTGACTTCATCCACCTCTTCGAAAAAAGATTGCTCGTCTTCACCCGCAATAGCCAGAGTTGTACCCCGACTTCCTGTTTCTTGAGAGAGAACTAAGTGTTCTGTGCCTCTTTTTGCTGAAGAAGCTTCTTCTTGGACATAGCTGCCACCGCTACTGTACAGTATCAAGGATCGATCGTGAAGGGCAAGAGCAGCATCAAACGCAGCTTCAAAAGTTGCTGCATGAGGTGTGCCACGACGTCTCTGTTTTAATGTTCTTGTGCTATTGATGCTCCTCTTGCGCTTATTGATATCCACGGATTCATCATCATGATCGCCCTCTAGTTCTAGGTCCACCACAGCACCTCCTAGAACTCGACAAATCACGGCCTCATACCCAAATCGTTGACTCGCATCAGGATCTATGTGCTCTGGAATACGCAAGCGCCTGTAGAGTTCTCGTTGCAGTAGAAAACTCTCTCGCACTACGCAATGGTCGTCTGGCGACGCACCTACGGGCCATCGACAATCTAGAGTGCCAGGTTTATACTCGTCCATGAAGTCTTTCAAAGCTAATCTCACATCCGCATGGTCCATATCGTCTAAGACCAGATACTTCACGCCAGGAAAAATCCTCAAAAGATTGGTCAAATCGCTCAACACTTCACGATACGTGTGCGCCGCGTCTATAATCGCTACGTCAAATTCGTCTCCCGCAGTCGTTCCGGTGAAAGCCGCCTCCCAACTTTCGGAATACAGGTCTAGTTGTGTGAAGGTCACACGGCTCTGGAGCACACTGGCGCTTGTTACGGTCGATCCAAGTTTTTGCGCTAAGGTTTGTATGCTCAACCTCGCATGATCGAAGGCCCATTTCTGCAAATCAACCGCGCGGACACTTGCGAAGGTTGCATTAGTTAGATCTGATGGTAAAGCTTCTCACCCCTCCGCCCCTGGATGACCATAAAAGAACTCATATTCGAAAAACTGAAATAAGCGAGTAACTACTGAAAATGAGCGAGATACTAAACAAGGAAGAACAAAGCTACCTCCCATATTTCAGTCAGTAACACGGTTATTTTCAGTTTTCGAGTAGACGTAGACGATAGACAGGAGACCAATATTTTTTCAGTAGATCATTACCTCTGCCTAAGGCTGAAGAAGACTACTTCAACCCCAACAACCTATTCCTTAACGCCAAAAAAGCCGTTGTCGAACCATGCAATATCCCGAGTTCCAGGAAGCGTGTCGTAGGTGGAAAGAACGTGGCCAAATCATAGAAGAGTTGTCGACTCAGTTGCGCACCGAACCCTAGGCATGGATCCCATCTGTGGTGGGAAGCCAGGAGGCCAATATTAGAGGATCCCTCGTCACCTCTGTTTGTGGTACTATCATCTGCTTCATCTGCTATATGCTCCAACGCTTCTAGGTGCACATTCCATTTTTGGGCGACCTCAGCATTTTCCGTTACTGCCAATTTTTCATCGTCAAAATCGTATTGGCGATATCCTTGTCGCAGAGGGCGCAAGGCCTCTATCACACGGTGGATATAGGAGCTGCGGTCATGGCTCTCTTTTGTTTTTACAGGAGGACCTGATGATCTCCCTTCGTTGTAGGCTGTATAATTCAGGTCAAGTATCTTCCGTCTCTGAGGATCTTCGTAGGTGCCTGCGCGTAATGCTGCTGCCAATTTCCGTGGATTCTTCAAAGGTGGCCTGCCTTTCTTGACCTCCACGTCCTGTACCTCCTGTATGGCATAGGAATAGGAGGCCGTGGACTGCAGAGGTCTTGCAATCGGGCTCCATGTCCAGGGAGCTGGTGTGAACGGAAGAAGACCCTTCTCCCCTACGCCGCTCGCGAAACCACCACATCGTAACAAGAGAGGAGCTACGAGGACTAAGCAACATGTTGTTGATAGTTGTGAAAGTCGTGTAGATAAGGGTCGTGACCGTCTTTGAGGGCGTGTGCAAGAACTACTGATTCTTGTTCTGGTCATCATGACTTGGTGGAATTGGAAATCAGTCTGCTGACTCTCCATCTAGTAAAGCGAGGGTTGCATTTTTCAGATGTAGTTCACTTCCTTCAAAGCACTCAAGCCCGATTGTCTTTCCCACTCCTCTTTAAATCCACTGAACTCTCTTTTTTTGCTTTTACCATTTTTTGGTTCGCTGCGGTCATTGATCCTGGACATCGAGGCTTCGTCAGGCGCTGAGTTTCATCTCTAATATACATCGATACTGTTGAAGATGGATCAATCAGAATCATCAAAAATGTCAGAATTGCAAGTAGTGATTACAACCAAAGCGGCTACAATAGTCAGCGCGCCCGCTCATCACTACTGTATTGATCTGCCTGGATCGTGACGTTCTTGAAACTACTACAAGTGGACGATGGCGAAAAGTTTACTAGAATATTTCTCAACTTGACAATAGACGCTTTGCGACTTTCAGGACACGAAAGGTCGAGGAAGAAATTGCCATTCTCAAACTCTACTCTTTGACGATGCCTCGCGCAAGCTTTCCTAGCACCGGATCCAGGCGGATACACATAAATCTCCCACGGCAGAGCCCCACCGCCAATAGCCTGCAAGTACGAATACGGTAACATATACGCACCAACCAACTCTCGAATATTCGGTGTCTGTCCACTGTCAACTGGTGAGCTCTCGGCACGAACAAGCGCACATACAAAGTCAGGCTTTGGCTTCTCTAAGGAAGGAACTGGCGCATGCTGGCCTACACTTTCGTTCTCGCCGTCATTTTTGAAAGCCGTTGTTGTACTAGAAGGAGATGAAGATGCCACTGGAAGCATCCTGCTATGGCGCGGACGAAAGTAGAGATCAACGCGACGCGCAAGCCGATTTCTTCTGCGGTTCATACACACCCGTGCCATGCAGAGAAAGTTCTCAAGCGTGAATTGTGCGTTCACATACGCATGCTCCCTGCTGCTGACGCTGAGAGCGCAGTCATTCACCAGGAACGCCCGCAACTTCGTGGTGAGAAGGTGGCAAACGACATCGGTAGCACGAGTTGAAAATCTCGTGTAGAGACCTTTCTCGTCGTACAACTCGGACGCCGCCAGATGCTCCAACAGACACCGTGCTAAGCCATCTGCGTCGCCAACCCTGTGCTTCCGTGCTTCTTCCCGTGCAACATACAATGGACTGGTCCGGGACAGATGTCGTAGTTCTTTTCGACGGGCACCCTCCTCAAGCAGTTCGTGGGGAAAAAAAAAGAACTCGCCATCGCGCATGTTCGCATACACGAGGCCAAGTCCCGTGCGCTCGCGCGCCGGATGGCAGGGGAACTTCCGTCTATTCAGCGACGCTTCCCTAACGCCACGCACCGCAAGTGGGCACCACCGAGTATCCGCGGCGCCCTGCACACGGAACATCAAGGTCGCGGAGCAGCGTAGAGGCAGTGCGAGGAAATCGAACTTGACCGAGGAGGTTTCGAGATGCGCCAACACTGCGTCTACAACGCGTCTGTGGGTGTAAAGCACCCTCCTCAGCTTCCCGACTGCACTTTCCCGTAGCTCTGTCTCGCAGCCCAGCCGATCGGAAAACCCCGACCATCCCGCATGCGCGTACACTGCGTGTGGTCGCGAGGGAATGCAAGGAGGCCGATGCCCGTCTCTGCACCAGCGGATCCAATCGCTGCTCGACTTCAAACCAAACCTCTTCATGTACGTTTGCGACGCCTCATACGAAAGAAAATGCGCGCGCCGTGATGGACGAGGAGCGTAAGGCCGGAGCGCAGCAGAGAAAGCCCGTTTCTCTCTTCGCGGGTGAGGTAATGACCAGCGTCCCACTCGCGCAAGCGAACTCAGCATCTTCATACTACCATACTGGCCGCAACAAGTTCAACCCGCAGAGTATTTAGGCTCAGCGACCGTGCGGCATCCATGTTTTGAGACCGCGAAACCATGGAGACTATGAACAGGAGGCATCATCCTGGTGATTCTTATTGCGGCGAAAGGAAGATTGAAGATAATAATGTTGGTGGCAGGAAGGTCATTTGCAAATTAGGATATCATCATCAAAAAAAGGAGACCATGCCAGTCAGAAAATCATTGAATAACCAAACTTCTTCGAACAAGGCATGAACATCTTCTATCAACAATCAACAAGAAGACATTGTCAACAAGAAGACACTATCAACAAGAAAATTTGTTGTCGTACAGGCTAAGAACATCTGCCTAGCTTTTGAAGAGGCCAAGAAGAAGATAGCCAGAGAACTTCTTCTCGTCTCCCACGGCCATCTGGTCCCAACGAGGCGTAGTTCTTTCTTTCTGTACATCGAAGGGAGCTCCTTGTCTTCAGTGGTCATGCAACAAGGGGTCTTGGAAGGTCAAAATGGTGGCAATTAGACATATACATGATGGGGTCTTGGGTGTAGCTGCGGGGGATGATCGAATTACAATCTTAGCTTCAATATAGTTCTTGAGTCTTGGGACAAGGGGAAGAAAGCGTAGGTGGAAAACAATAACATCATGGGATCATACTGCTTTTCAGGATAGCTTATCATAAATTTGAGAGAGAGCAACCTTGAACGGGTTGTCTGCTAGACACTTCTCTGATCATATCTAGACTTCTTGAACATAATATTGTTGAATGATTATTAGAATCTGATAGTAATCTGAAGTAAATAATTCCCTTTCACTTCGGCGACAAGACATGCAAGATTTTGGACTGTGCAAGAGATAGAAACACCTTCGCACTAGATCACAGTAGCAAATGACAAGACTACAAGAACATCAAGATGAATCTTCAAGCACCACGCAACTCATTTAGTCTCCTATACATTTGATTCATTTGATTTTCATAGTTAGTAGAAGTTGTCATACGACTGCGTGATGCTTGTACTATTGTATTAAGTGCAGAGAACAATACTTGAATCGAAAATCTAACTTTTTTTCAACGTCGGAAACATTTTAGTTTCCTCGCCGTGGCCGTAGCTGTGATTCTCAATACTGTAAAATTTGTGCCCTTGAACTTCCTCGTTCATTAATCCGTCGAGCCCACTCGCCTTCTTTTAAGTAAGTGCCCGACAGACTCGTCTAATCAGTCTTCCATCTTACTCGACAACTTACAAGTAAACCTATTGATATCCTCCATTCCTTTCTTATTTGGTGAATAGATACTTACACTTAGACAACACAACGAACTGGCAAAAAATAGATCATACAAGACATGGCAAGCATAGCGAATTTTTTCAGAATAGTTTCAGTTAGTACTACTAGGTTCAGGTTAATCTTAGTTATCTATTGCGATCAAGCATCAACACAACGTTATTACCAAGTTAAGAAAAGCTACAACGATTTTTAATGCATCTAAAAAGAAATTTCTTTATCTTCTCAGAATCTTAGACCCCAGAAACTCTTCTCCATCTGGGCCAGTAGATTCTACTTTCAAAGAATTTCTATTTCCATCATTTTCTAGACTACAGATACTCTTCTCAATCTGCGTCCTAGTCAGATAGAATCTAAATCTATCATTCATTCTAGACGAATCTAAAATTCGCCATCCAATCTTCAGAAGAACAGCCAAAAGCTGGTGAACAGCGAGAAGCTGAGCAGCATGACCGGCAATGCCGCAGGCTTAAACGCAGCACCGGTAGCTTCTTCCTCGCTGGATAATGAGGCCAGCAGCGGAGCCTCCCCATTTCCGGGTGACATCTGCCCATGCACGAACCCAGGTACTGGGAAACTCAGCTTGACACTGGAGTCGAAGGCGGAAATGCAGCCACCACTACCCTCACACAAGGAAACGCGCCACACCTGTGGATGAGGTTTCACGTTTGGTAACTGATTGATTCAAGTCAAACGTTCCCGTTGTTGGATTTGGTTTGGATTAAGAAGATTGGACTTGGTTTCGACAATGAAGTAAGCTTGCTACTTGATAAAAAAGGAAATGATGACTTTTGTGTGCCGATCATGAAAGAATAGTTATAAGCTGTTCCCCTTGACGTACGAGTGTTGACTACTTTTGACTATTCAATTTCAAGCCACTATCTGCCCATCATGAAAGATGAAGATAAACAGTACGTTATATGGTGGTATTTGTGCTGGCACGGCCACTGAGAAGGTGAATGCGTAGGATCCCTGTCCTTCCAGCCCAGACGGCGAAACGTCTTTGCCTGTCATCAGATTAATCCGCAAGCGGTCTGGCTGAGTGTAATCGAGCCACCTAGGCACATCTTCCTCGTCCATCACTAGTGGCATGCCACCAGCATCTCCGTTGCGGAAAACTTTGACTTCCGAAAAACTCACGATCGTGTGGAAAAAGCCTTCCGGGAAGTTGATCAGCACCTCACCAAGGTCACGCAGTGAGCGGGCACCGAAAGAAGTGGTACTCTCGAAGACAGTAAAGGAGACCATTATCTGACTCTTCTTGTTTGCGTCAGCACGGTTCCAGGTGAGAGCGTCGACTGAAGATTTTTATTTGAAGTCTACAGTTACGAGGAGTGTTGTTCGTGGTACTTGATGTGCTTGATCTTGATTTCAAATTATGGTCGTGCTAGGACGAGCTTTGATGGTAGTCATAACTTGTGGTTGATTGCAGTGGAGTCTGTAGCTGTACGTAGTCCAGTAATCAAAATTAGTAAAAAATGAAGGAGATAGTTTGTTGCACGGGATAAGCCTAATATTGTCGAGGTGAAAACTAACCGGTAGTAGTTGCAAGAATAGGCAAAAATCTCAGTACATCGTATATCGATTCCCGACAATATCTGAATTCCCGGCATGTCCATCGCTGCATCCTTCACCTCTTTCTCGAGGTCGTAGAGGAGCAAGGAAAAGACGTTTTCTATAGGCGTCGTCGGTGGAACCATCGTTCGCATACTAAAGGCATATCTCGCTGCCGGAAGTGTCGCTGACAATTTCAACCGCACTTGGCTGTTCCCTGAAGTATCGCAAACAGGTGGATTCCTTGGATCTACCAAGAGAGAAATGGGCTTCAACTTTCCTTCGTCACACTCCACCTCGAACGCTTGCGGCACTAGAATCTGATGTTGTAGTGGAAGGTCAAAATCTTTTGTCCACGCAAAAGTTTTTACACTCAAAACTGACTTATAGGAGAAATAAATCCACCATGCATTATTGATGTAAGACAAAAAAAACCACCTCCTCATCCTGATAAGCATAAGGAACAAGCACTAGTGCTTTGTTTATTATTATTTCAGATATATGAGTGAACCTGATAAGTATTTAAGTAAATTAAAAAGCAAGTTTGTTAGTAGAAAAATACCAGAATCTCGCCTCCTCCTTCCAGCGTGACACTAGAGAAGAAGCCGAAAGTGATTTCAGACTCTACACCTGGCACTGCTGCATACAGGACTGTCGCTTCAGCCATTTGTTGGATAGGATAACCCACGGAATCTTCACCCCAACTCTGGATAGCACCGGTTTGAAAATCTTCCCCAATGACGAACCACGCAGTTGGATCGGGCGTTTTCTGGTTTTTGTAGGCAGTTTTGATTTCGAAAAAGATAAAGTCACAGTTTCTTAGTAGCAGCGACAATGAATGATCATGATGAGTAGTAACAGTGGTACTGATGCGTTTTTCTGTCTACGTAGACTTTTCAGAATTTCCTCAATGTCGTTTGTTTCAAAACCACCTCGTTGTCTATGATGAACAAATCACAGAGGAAAAGTACCCTAGGCGGGACCATGAGCAAGTCAATGGACACTTCGGACTGCAAACCGTCTTGCCGACAGGTACACAGCGCCACATTTCTTCCTGCCATTGCTGGTGAGAATCTACGACAATCCAACACGTCCAACGATGATGTCAAGAGACTGTTACCCGCAGTGAAGTTGAACCTTGGTGGCGCAACGATCTTTAGCCTATTCGGCGTCGACGCTCCTGGGTCTATGCGGATTCTGGTCACTAATTTGGCAAGTGGCGGAGAACCGGCTGGCGCAGAGGCGGTGACAGAGATCCTACCGACTAGATGGAAGCCGCCTTGTGCACCATCGTTCGTGTTGGAGGGCAGACACTGCACGTCAGTCGGAATCCCCACACTAGGATCCAGCATCTTGGGCTGACACTCTGGAACCTGTGATATATGGTATTTTTTCCTATGTTGGGATGTAATAGTGCTAACAACGTGGCAAGAAGAGCAACTCTAGAATCAGTGGTAATAATGGAGCTAAGAGTGGCAAGAAGAGCAACTCTAGAATCCGTGGTAACAATGGAGCTAGGAAATGATCACTGCAAGTCTTTCCGCCTACCAGAGGTGGTGGAGCCAAATAGAGGAACAAAATGATAAAAGTAAATGGAGAGCTCGCTGCTTTAAATTCTACCTGCAAGTCTTTCCATGTTCTGGTTTCGATTCTCCAGCTTTCACCTGGCACGACTGGTGTTGTTGCAAAGATCGTTACCACGTACTTCACTTCCTTCAACAATGGTTCTTGCAGCAACACGTCGATCATGCCATTGTTCGCAAAATTGACTGCGAATGACTTTGCTGTTCCCGCTTTTTTGTGCTTGGTATCCACTGCCAGATTGTCTTCGTCGTACTCGTGAATAGCGAAATGCTGGCTGGAAATGTCGTAGGGCGGTCCGGTGACACGCAAGTAGCTCCCGGCTTCGGCAGTGGCGGATTAGAAGAAGGAGGAAACGAAGAAGAACATTCATCGGAATCATCTACTTGTTGAAATGTTGAAAGATGTTGAGTCAACATTTTCAGTACAATAGATACACGCAGATCTAGTTAAGCTTTAAGAATGAAGAAACTATGTCGATCAAGAACATCCTCATAAGTTGTAAGCTGAATGTAGAAGTCGGCGAATGCGGGACTAGCCATGCGCATTGGAAGCTGTTCCTTTACTGGATAGACCTTAGGATGCATGGAGAACTCACTATAGAGTCTCTGTTCCATGCCTGCTGGGTCAGCAAAAGCGGTGATGCCACCAGGCAAGTGGAACCCGTGGACGAAACTCAGTTTTTCGTCTTTCGTCACGGAATTCATTAACCTGTGAGGGTATTCGGGTGGTCGTGGGACTTGGCATTAATTCCATGTTCTTGGGCTCTTGGGCTTGGGGAGGAGGAACAAGTTCAAGTATACAAAGAAGGCTTATGTTGATGTTCATCTTGTTCCATCGTCGCACTGCCTCTGCCCTGCAGCTATGATGTAGCTATCATCAAGAATAATAAATAATCTCAAGGTAACTAAGATATCAGGTGAAAAGCAATGGAAAGAGTACGTCGTGATCGAGAAAACTGTTGGCGCTCCCACCGCTCCTAGTTTCACTTCTTGCAAGTGGATAATCGTTTCCGACTGGACTGCAGGATCGATGTTTACCCGAATCGAGATCGTTGGACCATCCACGCTCTTGATCTCTTGCCCTGTTACTAACTGTGCCAAGGTGAAATCGAATCCGGCTGGTGAGTCTGCGGTAAAACGTGCCTCGTTAGCGACCGAAACAGCAATAAAGCGGAATTCGAGGTCGGAGCGTGAGCCTGCAGCACGATTGGCGTTGGGGAGCAAACCCAATTTCACCTGTACGCCCATTAGCTGTGGCAAAATCTGCCACGACTCGTAGACGTCGGAGACCTGGTGGAGTTATCGTTGTTTGATGCATGGAATTTCCTTTTCTTTTGAAAACATCTGTTTCTTCTAAGTAGGTGGAGGTGAAGTTGTTGTGCGTAGTGGAGCGGAAGAAATGTGGGATAACATCAAGCGAAAACTCATTGTGCTGAATGACAAACGATAACGAATACCAATAAAAATACACAAATATTAAACAACAAGTATGCTAGTGAAGTTCTACCACAAGCTGCTGTTTCCCCTGTGCGTTCCTCAAGTACGACAAGGGGTCCAGGGTTGCCAGAGTCGCTGGTATCCGTGTATCTACACTGCCGCTGCTGTATCTCGTCTCGTTCCCGAAGACATTGTGGTTGAAATGATAGATCCTCCAAAAGTTGTCGAATTCTTCTGGTGTGGCTGGCGGATTCACAGTATCAATGCGGAACTTCACGGCGGTGTCCTTTGGAACTGTGAAATCAATCACGTTCATGATGATCATGTTCTCAAAACAGAAGACAGTGCTTCTCGGACCCAGGTAAAATTGGTCCACTGGATCGAACCGGAAGTTGTTGCACTTCGTATTCGTCAATGCTTGCGTAGGCTTGGAGGCATCGTAAGGACGGCGGCGAGGGTTAGAACTAGTAGACTTGAATGTTTGGGAATCCATTAGGGAAGCACCAAAAAGTCACTTTTTAGGGTTCAGTATTCGAGAACAAAAACCACGTTGATACGTCATGATATTTATAGTCGAAACTAGTTCGCACATCTCCGTAACATTGACATCAAACTCCGGCAGTGGTTCCACCAATTTGAACGTTCGTGGCGCGATGTACACGATCTGATGGCCTGAGTCCATTCTCACCGGTGACTCGAAATGCACAAAGAGTCCTGGAATCGCCGTCAAACCGTTCCTTATCGGCTCTTGGAATTCGTTCTCATTTCGCAAGAAGTACCGCTCCATCACGTGGATGACCTCGTATCCAGGGATACTGCCTTCATCCAATTCACTGCCCGTTCGCATGTCTTCGTAGCCGTAGGAAACGAAGAAGAACTCGTACACCAGGTTCTCTACATGCAATAGTGGGTTCTGGACGTCCAGTTGTATGGTGTAGTCACGATGCGCCATGAAGGATTTGTCACTGTTGAGGTAGAGAAGGGTGACGCGGTCAGAGCCAGAAACGCCGTCTCTAGTGGCATCACCTGCTTCGACAACGCAGCGGATCTCGTTCATGCTCCAGATCTCAGCAGGGTAAGTGACGTCCTCTTTGTCCACTGTGACTGTGAATTCGTCGCCTTGAATCATGATTCTATTGCAGACGCCATTCGTTTGTGAAAACTGGAAGTCTTGAGGCGCCACGATTTTCAGTACACCTCCAGAATTGGCAACGGGCAAATCGGGACTGATGTCGTTCCACATGCGCAGCTTAAATCGTACGGGGACATGCCGAATCTCATTGTTGCCGGGACTACGGGCGATCGACCTGGTGAGGAAAAGGTGGAGGTGGGCCGTCTATTGGTCTTTCTTCACAAAGACGTCTTATGAAAGGTCTTAACCCCGATACAACTGATTATTTACCTCTGTACTTGAACTACGTGCAAGTACATAGCTTCGCTTGCTGAATAAAAAAATCTGACCAAAAATAGTACCGTGGCGTCACCTGCGTGTGTGTAAATGTCCACAGCGTGAAACCTGGCATCAGATCTGTGTTCGCAGACTCTCCGTTAAACTCCAAAGCGAAAAAGTTGCGCGTCGGCGTGTACCTTGGGTTGCTCTTGATGCCGATGCGGAAGACGTAGAGCATGCCAGCAGTGAGGAAAACTTTATCTTTCGGCACAATCGTAAAATGCGCCTCCCGTCCGTAGCCACGACATCTAGTAATTCCGATCTCCGTGCTCCATTCCTTGTACTCACTAGTAAACGGCTGTCCGCCGAAAACCGTGGTACTGCGGACCTCCAGAACAGCCAAGCAGTCGTCGTAGAACACGAACCCGTCCGGCGCGCGTACCAGCATGTCCTGCGTCGTCTTCGCGTCGTTGTTCAGCTTGAAACTGAAGACTAAAGAGTTGGGACGCAAGGGCCGATCGTCGCGACCAGTGGCTAGGCGCGTGGCCACGTGGTTCGGCTGATCGAAGAGCAATAAGCGGGATTCCATCATGCGCAAATTCACTGGGAAGCTCGTAACTGCAATCGGCATGTCCTGCGAGTTCGCCGCACTAGCCAAAGACGTCGCCACACCCGTGTCCTGGGCAGAGGAAAAATCCCAACACAAAGTGCTTCCACACGAACTGGTGAACGACGAAGCTTGGGTAACCGCGTCAGACGGGTTCTTCGTGGAAAGCACAAAGGCGTACCGCTTGGCAGGCATCAATCCGCTCACTGAAGTGAGCCGCAACTCAGCACGTGTAGTGGTGGCAGTCAATTGCCGTTTTGATGATCCAGAGGACGACACAGATAGAGAACCAGATGATGATGATGATCCAATTCCCATAAAACCACTGCCCACTTGTTCCCCTCCACTACTTTCATCCACGACTTCGTCTACTTTTTGACCGTCGTGCTCTAGTCTTCTTGACGTCGCACTCCAGACACCGCAAGTCGTGCCACTAGGCAAGTCAGAAAAGCCTTCTGGCAATGGCACCATTGGCTCTAATCCGCAATTTGGTTTCGGAAACGTAAATTTGTCTGGCGCGATAATGACCAAGCCCCCACCTTGAGGTAGCTCCGTGACCGTCTCGATCGTCAGTTCTAATCGAGTTTCCTTGCTCCTCACATTGTTCGAATAGTCGATCGTAGCTCCAGTCAGAGCACGGATCTTCGGTGCCTCGATCACTCCAGCGTAAGGCCGATGTGCCAAAGTGGTACCATCATACCCGAATTCGGCTGTGAAATTGCCGAAACTGCCATGGGGCATGTAATTGGGCACCTCAACGGCCACGATGAAACCGTAGTGCTTGTTCGCCACACTGAAGTCGTACGTCGCTGACTGAAACGCGAGAACATGATCCGGGTTGGCCACTGGCGCCGTCGCTTGCGGGAAGTCTGAGGACGCGGAAGTGGAATAGAGGGTAGCGGACGGACCGCTATTCCGGTACGACCACTTCGTAGACGGTCGCCATTTGTAACCGAACGGAGCGATCACCCTGTGATTGATTAGAGGGATTCAGTAGGTAAGAATTGAAGTTGATGTCCAAAGTACGTGGTGAAGTAGAGACGCTAAGGAAGATTCATGATTACAAGATAAAGCTTTCTAAGATTAAGTTCATACATAGTATACACTGTTTCGGAGTGAGTTTAATGCCTCAGCTTCACATTCGACAAGCTTTCTAAGTTCAAGTTCATGCATGCTTGCACAACTACTACTCCTAGTATACACAGTTTCGGAGTGAGTTTAATACCTCAGCTTCACGTTCGACAATGTCGTCGGCAAGTTTCGGACGAAAAACGTCAATTCCGACACCGTAGAACTAGCACTGAACGGCTTCAAATCGCTCTGAGGGATCGAAATCGCACATCGGATCTCTTGTGGCGTATTCAAATCGTTCTGGTAGAGACCAAACGATAACCCACTCAAATCCGAAATATTTGCCGTTCCAATGCCCTCTGTGAGCGGAATCGTTCCCTGTCCAGAATCAAAGACCCCGTCAAAACTGCCATCGACGAAACGCGCCTGTGAGTCTTGCGTGAACATCTTCCAATTTGTCAGTTGTGACATGTCGAACTTGTAGGGGTTCTCAATCCTTAGAGTGAAGCCGTATTTCGCGTTCGATTGCACAATGCCGTGAACTTGCACTCTAGCGCGGTTTTGCGCACCACGTTCGTACACACAGGACTTGATGCCTCCTGGAAGCCTGTGAGTCATTTCGCCTGGCCGAAACGCGTAGTACTCATGCGGCAAATCCGAAGCGTCGCAGTTCGGATAGTCGTAGGCGAAAGCGATGGAGTTCTGCGCAGCGACCGTACCAGAGCCGACTGGATTCGTTGGGGCATCGACTAAAACATAGCCTAAAATGCCAGGAGTTTGTTCCGTCTTGAAGAAGATGTAGAGCACTGGATTAGAGGTTACGGAATTACATTCCTCAGAACGTCCCTGGCTCCTCTTCTACTAGGAAAAGAGCTAGGCGGGATGGTATAATTGAGGAATGCAATTTGGAAACCCTTAACTGGACGCACGACACGGTTGCTCATCATGGCACCCATCATATCGGAAGGATGCAGAATGGTGTCCCGCAAATACCCTAGAACGGCGACGTTGCTACTGTAATTCGCCTCAATTGTGGCCTTGAAAATGACCGGCGTTGTCGTCTTCGGTAGGGTGTAGTAACCTGGTAGAAAATTTGAGTGCAGGAGAAGAAAAGTGGGAAGTCAGAGGTGGACACGTAAACTGAAACGGAACAACTTGCATACACATATGTGTGCCAAACCACATAACAAACTCCCGAACTAACATGAAACATTTACCTTCACAATAGATGCATAACCTTCGTCGTCTAACTAAAATACGTCGAAACGAAATACCTTTCGACGTTTGACTGACCGTCCACGCGTTGGTATTTTCCCGTTGCGTGAGTGCCGTCGTAGGATTTACCACTGTAAATTTGACGATGATCGAACTGCCAGCAGGGATGAAGCCAAACTGCTTTAGAGCGAAATTGCACAACCGCGTATTGCTAGAACTCACAGACCAACCATGTGAGGTAGTGCCTGTGGCAGATGATGGAGAGATGTTGTGGACGATGGTAGCGATGGTGTGAAGGATGTTGAGAAGATGGTGTGCGGAAGGGTCTTCATCTTCATGTGTGAACAAGTCACTATCTCTACTTCTATGTCTATTTCTACAACAAATTCATTGGCTGCAGATAGTCTCTCCTCTTCGTCAAGAAGAAGATCATTTAGTATATAATCGCAATACTAGTAATATTTACACCGCTAGTAATATTTATACCTGCCACATATTCCCCTGTTGTCGGCGCTCCACGACCTTGTGGAATCAGATGGTCGTAGAGGTTTAGATCCATAGGCGCAGCCCAAGGGTTATATTCGGTGGCCAATTTGCCTAGTTGGTCTGGGATAGTACATGCATACCCCGGAGGCAAATTCACTGAGAAACCGGCGTCGCCATCCAAGTTCACAGCAAATAGACTAGCCGCAAATTGAATCTTCACGTACAGAATATTCCCAGTTTGGCCCTTGAAGGGCTTTTGGTTGCCTGTCGTGGGAAAGGTAGGTTGTTGATGTTGAGTGATTTTTTGTAATCAAGCCAGGACACATTACGAGAAAAGGAATCAAGATCAACTGAACTCTATAAACATCAACTCAGTTGCAGTTCAAAAAAAAAGTACCATCTCCCAAGCTGGTGACGATCTTAGCGATCGTCGTTCCTGCATCAGGCTCCTTCCACAAATAGTCACCAGCAGACAGAATATACGACGGCCTAGAATCCGTGCTATCCGTGACTTGAGCCCCTATTCTGGAACTGAACCAACCCTCATCCGGTAGCTGCAGTTGATGCAAGCGCAGTTGCATTTTGATTGAGCCCTGAATGTTCGTCATCTCCAGAGGCATGGTCACTTTCACGACGTTGTTGTTGCTGTTCAGGACTGTGGGGACACCTTGGCAGTTTTGGACGGCACCGCAGGGGTAGTTAGCGTGTGCTAGATTGCATCTCGGCCCCCTCATCTTGGCCCCTTTTACCTTGTATTTCATGAGAATACAAGGGAAAAGGGTACCGAGATGCCGAGAAAGATGGACACTAAATGTTGACCTTAATGTAGGCCACCGTGTCGTAGGGGATGCACTCAGCGTTGCAACTCGATGCGACGTTCCACGTAGTAAGCGGGAAGAGGTAAAATCGAATTACTGCAGCTGCCTTGATCTGGTACTCCGGATCTCCCGCCAATTCCATGTGAATGGTGTCTCCCTTGTTCAGCGTAACCACGTTATCCACACCGTTCAAGATGCGCACACCTCCTGGGTTCAGCCATCTCGGTGAGGTGGACGAAGTCGCTGTCCTCTCCGGACTCTTGCTCAAGCTTGCCTCACCTCGTTCAATGGCCAAGTACGGGTTCACGCTGACATCATCCATAGTGAACACTTCTAGATACTTTCCTCCAGCGGTCGCTGCACCATGGACTGAACCGTGCATCACAAGTTGATAGCTAAAGCCAGGCCTTAGGCCGTTCTTGGCCTCGAACAGAACGAAGATCTCACGCGTGAAGCCGTACTTCTTGTAGTAGCAACCCTTCGGTAGGGGGAAACCGAAGTCCTGTGGAAATCAAATTTGTTCCTAAGACGAGATAAAAGTAGGAAGTAAGAGAGAACCAAAATCACACCGGTCAGGAACATCTAGACAATAATACCTTATCCGTTGACCACATCTCTCGAAACAGTCTTCCGCAAATGTACTGACGGGCTTCAGTGATTTCATCCTCAGACGCGTTAGACTCGATGTTGCTTGCGATGTCATCCGAATAATAAACCTCAAACGTTGCCGTGTCAGTCAGCACAAACTTCAGCTGGGTCTCGCCCGTGGCCTGCGAATATCGCGCTCCGGTAGTGGCAGAGGCGGTGTTTCTTAGAGGGGGCCGACACAGCTTGAACTCGCTGTCATTTCAGGGTATGAATCAGTAATGGTTACACCAAATTCTCAACCATTCACTCGGAGACAGCAAAGTTGTAAGATCGATCAAAAGCGCGAGTTCTGACTGAACTACAGATGACAGCATCAGCATCTATTATGAAAACGCAAGAACAAAGGAAAATTCCTTTCCTGTCATGGTACCTCGCGTCTATATATGAGGCCATTCAGTATAGAGGTACCTCCTTAGGAGAGCCCTTGCCATAACTTAAACGAGATCACCACTGGTGCCTTCGCATCTAGCAGCGTCGTCGTCAGGGAGAGTCGAACATCTTCCATGGGGTTAGCACCGATCAAAGTCAAAAAGCCAACTTCCTCCACGAAATTGTTCGGGTTGGTACCACCATAATGGTAGCAAACTCGCAGATTCGAACGGTCACGCACACCTTTGATTTCCCACTTGGTCACAGCTCGGTTGCGTCGCGCCCATTGCCCGCGCATTTGGTCCGGATTAGAAGAGAGAGACATCAATTGAAGATTCTTGCATGTCGTCGTCTCTACTGAAGTGGCGTAGTCAACGTCTGCTACATTGATGTTAAGAGAGCAAACGCTGCTCTTTCAAATTTTCATGACCTCCAACAAACCTCACCTAGCACACTTGTACTTCCACTTCTGAAATTCTGATAACTTTTCTTATATGCCATAATTGTGGCGGAGCCGACCTAACTAGAAAAAAGAAAGACCAGAGGGAGATAGAAAAGAGAAAAGGGTAACTATCGTCAAGTGTCCACCTATCTACTTTTCTTATATGCCATAATCAAAAAGACGGTCTGAAAAAGCGGATAGCCGTTCTCCCCAGTTGCGCAGACGTTATTCGGTGGCGGGTTCCCTGTCCCATAGCAGTCTGGTTGCCACCCCACTTGCAACAACCATTGCAGAGGATTCGCGGTTGGTTTGATTTTGTGGCCCACCATGTAGGAATCGGCAGCGCTCACGTCATTCCCCCCACTATCCGCGTAGGTGAAGACGCCCTTCAGTTCCATCAGTTTTTCTGGTGTGCATTGGTAGGAGTTGGGATCACAGATAATGTTGTCACCAAGAGTGATCACATCGGACCCGTCTTGCTCGAAGAGGGGGTCAAGCTCAAACTCCAGGAGCGTTTCGGTTGGCGAAATAACCTCCACTTTTCGGATGTCGTTACGAAGAATTAGAACTTTGCCAGGATGAACCAGTACCAGGAATTTGAAAGACGAGTACGTAATACCATTTCTACAGAAATTAGGTCCTTCTTCTAGAAGAAAACCGAATAGGTTCTATTCAAAAACTTTTCTCTAGAATCAAACAGACTATATTCTATTCAAAAACATTATTGACTATGACTAGCTAAGGAATGAAATCCACACAGACATTTGCCACCATAACTGACAATTATCGAACTTGTTGTCGCAGTTGAAGCTGCTGGACGTGCTAATTTGCGTCATCAAGTCTCCATTCACCTCGTCTGTGATGCTGCCCACATTCGTAGCCGCTTCTGGCGCCTGCACTTGTAGATAGGTGAACGGATAGCTACCCTTATCGGGATTACGGTTGTTGTCGGAGCACTTACCGTCACCTGGTTTCGTTTTGATTGTATGTTGTGTGAGTAAATCACAGTCGGGGCTATCTTCAGACTGACTGCGTGTGCAACTTACTTGTAAACAAAAAAAGAATTGAAATCATGATTACAAATATCCACCTCCATATGCAAGGCTCATGAGTGGTGCAACTACAATCGTGCGAATCGCCAAAATCAAATTCCCATTATGTACCACTGATAATTCGCAGTTTGTTCTCGCTCGACAGCCCGTAACCGAAGTATTCCAGCCGAAACACCACCTGTGTCGAAAAGGCCCAATTGTGGTTGTTGCTTGGTCCTTTGATAGTCATCCTGGCAGCCATCATCCAGTAGTCCTGCAGCAGACACCCACCAGCGTCGGCGAATTGGCAGTAGCAAATGGCAACCACCCCAGCTTTCTTCACTGTGATCTTGTTGCTGGCGGAATTGCCACCATTGAATGCCTGGTGGTATTAGGTGAGTCAATGGTTTAGTCACGAATTGGTAAGAAATCTAACTGCGTTAATAGGATCGTGCTGCATCGAGGAATGAAAGAGTGACACCCAGAAGATGCAAGACAATAAAGCATGGCATCTAATAAATGTGCAAATAAGAGCGTATCTATCATGTCCAAAGCCAATCAAATCAAGTCTACAATTAGAGGTAGGTTTTTGGTGCTCGCTTACCTCGCTTGTTATGCCTTTCTCCCTTAGGAGAGGCATAAAAAGCGGTAAGAAAAGCACCTTTAACCTACCCTTAATGCAAGTCGCTCGTAAAGAATACCAATCGATCAGTTCCACTCGCTGTTCCCTTGTAGTTTGTGAAGGCACTGGCAGACGACAAACCCCCCACTGGTTCCACCAGATTTGCATCGTGGGTGTTGTGCGACGAGCGACAGCTGTCGTCGTTCTTGTTCAAATCGTTGTCCTGGATGACCTTGATCACACCACCCTCCGCCAGGCCCATCACTTCATGGTCTGCCACTGCCCGCTGAAACACGATCTGTCCAGACTCGAGCACGTACTGCAAACTTTAGAGATAGTTGTATCTTTGGAAGTCTGTTGTAATCGTTGGAAGTCTGTTGTAATCGTTGGAAGTCTGTTCTGTAATCTTTGTGTTTGGCATGCTATTATAGCCGTCTAAAGAAAGGACAAAATAAGTCTAAGACTAAGAAGATGCTTCCCAACGAACAGCAAGATTCAATCATCAAGCCATAAAAACTCTGTTGTGCTGGTTGCGTTGCTGTAGGAGTGACGCTGGATAGCAAGCGGATACCGGTAAAGCGCATCTGGCCAACCTTGAACCAGTTGGCTCCGCCTGAAGCCGTACAGGCGCCATCGCAATAGCAGATGTCGAGGCCAACAGAACTATGGAAATTCACACGCTCGTAGTGGTGCTCGGCTGTGTGGTGAATTTTTTTAAGATATAAGAGAACATCTTCGAAGAAGATGTTGAAGAAAAAACTAGGTTCCCCTTATAAATCTGTAAGTTAGTAACTCCCGAATGATGCCGTGTATGTACGAAAATAAACTACAAGAGAAAAAGCAAGAAAGGAAGTCTCTTCAATCTCGTTTGTTACAACTCAACTTCTCTTCAAAAGTCAAAAGTAGATGAATCAATACAGTACCTTGATTGAATTTGAACCCTGTATTGTAGGGTATGGTGACCAGTGGGTCGTCCTGCGTGTATGGCGGGTATTCTTTCACTTGTGGGTCGTTGGCTATCCTCACCGTACCATTCATGTTGCATTCCAACACCCCTGAACAAACGCCTGATCCCGGTGGCAACACCACCCCTGTAGGCAATGGCGTCGTAGCCATAATCTCACGCCCTTTGAAATTTCGGCCGTGCATCTGCGATCGGAATTAGAGGGAGTGTGGAAGGAAGGTGTGTGGAAGGAAGGTGGAAGTTGGGAAAAGGGGAGAGGAGAGAGAAGGCGGTATGGGTGAAGATGGCTTTTGTGACAATTACGCTACCAGACTCCTGTGATGTATACTTATGGTAGAGCCCTAACTAAAACCGCCTTCTCATGTGTAATTAATACCCTATTTCTTCTCAAATCGACGACAAAAAAGTTTTTCACAAAGTCTAAGTCAATTATCACAGTGAATCTTCAAGTGGAAAAAGAAAATGGATTCGGAAAATAAAAATTCGGAAAATGGATTCGTCATAACTGCATATATTTCTCGAGTCGAACGCTGGATAATCGTAGGTCGCACTGGCAGTCGGGTCTCTGGCGATGATTTTGAAGCGGTTATTCATTGCATCCGCACAAGCTCCTTTCGGACAACTAATGCGAATCTTAAAATGCTTCTGCGACACTGTCCCAACGTAATCCGTTGCGCACGATTTGTCGTCCGCACGACATACCTTGCTGGTGTAGTAGTGCACTGTACCGATCATCTGCGCATATTGCGCATACCGAGAAGGGATGCAGGCGAGGGAAGCCGAGCACCAGCAGGCGGCGGTCGAGAAGGGCACGAACTTGTCGCCGTCTGCCACCGACCCTGAACCCGCTAATGTGTTCTTCGCACTGGGCAGGTGAAAACGGCCGTAACCCTGAACGCGAGGCGTGGCCAAACGGACACGCGCTCCGGCGTCCGTCTCATTAGAGCTGACCCTTATCGTCCATCTTGAGCGGGGGCATCCTGGAGCGGCCCCCTTTTCCCCTTGAGTTCAAGCCTCTGCTCTCCTAGGGTAACTCGTCTCCACCAGCGTGGATAATGATAAGGGTACAGGTCAACGCCTAAACCACTACTCGTCTCAACTAACATGGATAACAATAACCAGCACTAAGCCAACTCCTGCAACAAAAAAATATTAATCAATGAGAGTATGGATGAAAACAATATTTGTGGTGGAGCCAAGAACCTACCTAGGAAAGATAGAAAAAAGAGTAACCAGGCGGTGGAGCCAACCTACCTAGGAAAGATAGAAAAAAGAGTAACCAGGCGGTGGAGCCAACCTACCTAGGAAAGATAGAAAAAAGAGTAACCAGGCAAAGGCGTAAGTAACCTAGGAAAGTAAAAAAAAGCCAGTACTACCAGGTTTAGCCTTAATCTCACCAGGCGTGCTGCAGTCTGGGCCGTTCATGCACACCTGCGTCGCATAAGTGGGCTGTCCGCACAAGTCCGTCGTTCCTGGAGTGGCACTGTCGAACGCAGGCCCCCAACTACCTTTGAACTGATTCTCTCCGGTGCCAACCCAACCTTGAGTCGCCTGGAAACCGGTTCCGGCAGCCCGCAGAGTAGGATCAATCACGTTATCATCAAAAGCGATCGCACAATGCGAACTCTCGGAAACGTACATGTTCGCTGGATTGTTGTAGCTATTCCGCAGAATGTAGCAGTGGTATCAGGATTAGAGCGGGAATTGGCGAAGAGCGCAGCAACCGCGACCGTGAAGCTAAAACTAAAGGAGTCGGAAGCTAGCTATGATGGCTTGAATCTATTCGGCAAGATGCCTACGATTTCCCTGACGAGTTCTATATCTGAATCCAAAACAGTGAATCCAAAACCGTGGGAACCATAATTCTTCTTTACCCGAAAATAGTCCACGTCTGATGCAGCGTAGTTGTGGTCGTAGACGCCAAAGACCTCTGTCTCAACAGGCCAAACATCAACATTCCCCGTCATATAACTGCCATCACCGGAGAGGCCTTAGAGCAGCGCACTATCGATATCGTCACAGGTTCAAGAAGTATGTATCTATAATGATCGTTATTTTGGAAGGTTATTGAAACCGAAGTGAATTCATCTTTATTACATACCATACTTGCAGCTAAAATAGTTACGTCTACTCGGTCAAGTTTTCCAATACTCCTTTGGAGCAAGAATTTGATGCAGTGGATCATGCCCATAAACACAGATTCGGAAATAGCCTCCCATCATCCATGTCAACGCTGTGCTCGTCGCTTCACCTGGAGGGCCGAACTGTAACCAACCGTTTTGCAAGTTATCTGCTCCACCAGCCGAAAAAGTAGGGTTGCCTTTGCCTCTGAGATTAGAGAGATGGATTCCTCATCATCATACATCTCTGATGCTCATTCTCTCCCATCGGGGATAAGAAAACATGCTCATACAGCGTGTACCTACAAATACAAGGAATAATTAACAGTGGTTCCCCAGATGTAAGAGTATTATGGCTATTAGTTAAATACAAACTAACTACTTATTAGTTAAATACAAACTTACTACGAGTTATATTACAGTTACATACAAATCGTGTAAGTCACTACAAGTACAACAACTACAAAGAAATGCAAATCTTAACACTCTGACACCATGCTTGCGAGAGAACAGAGCAACCAGGCACTGAATCCTGTCCGTCTTGGCATTTTTGATTGAGAGAGGCGGTTGTCTTCGTTACATCGTTATTGACGAAGCGAACTTTGAGAGTGGCGCGCAATCCGGACAGCCACGTGTGCGCACTTGGCTCACTAAACCGCCAACAATGAAGAAAGAAGGGGAAGGGAAAACAGGAGGAATAATCAAGCCTCTGGTCAGCACTCGACTGCAGAAGTTGTCAGTTCAACGATTCAGATTAACTGATATAATTCTAGAGGACATGATCTATCTTACAGAATTTTTAAGACATGTATCTTACGGAACTGCACGATAGAAGTGATGTGCTGCAGTGATGTGCTACAGAACCAAAAAGCATAAAGATGCAACGCTGAGTATTCCTCTGCCGACTCCATGATGTGATAGGACGATGTAAAATCACCTGCGGTGACGGCAGCGGTTGTATCGAGCGCGCTCTTATCCGAGGATGAAGGCAAGGTGTACAGCGACATTGAGTCGCGCGCTATATTCGCGTTGCCTGTCCAGTAAACCCCGCCGTTTGGTACAACTTCTAGTCGCCTGCGTTTCCAATCTATTCTTTTGCTGTACCCTTTCGGCGCAGGCGCACGAGGATCTAAAGGTGTTGTACCAGAGAACTTAGCACGACTACTGCTGGAAGCACTACTGCTCGTCACTCCACCTCCAGAACCAGCAGAAGATCCGTCTTTACTGTCCTTACTGCTACTCCTATCATCGCTGAATAATGAGCGCCGTATCGCGTCAAATTGAGCGGCTAATCGGGATGCGAAAGATGGCTGCGCTGATTGCTCTGGAGGGTTTTTCGCTTCTCTCCTTAGTTCTTCTTCCCCTGGACGATACCGCAAATTTCGTTTAGTGCCACCATCTTCTCTCTGAGGAACAGGAGCTTCTGCACTTGTTCTAGTAGGTGTACTACTGCTACTTGAGGACGAAGAAGAAGCTTGACTACGAGTACTAGTCTGTGCCTGTTTCTGCTCTTGTCTATTTTCTTGTCCACTCGAAGATGTTCCAGAGGAAGTTGATGTGGGAGCACTATTGTTCGCTAAAACAACATTTGCGCCACTCGCGAATACTCCGACCGCTGTGAGGAACGAACGGCCACATCTCTGTTGCCTTCTTGCCTGTAGTTTCTTGCTCGTGAAACTAGAGCTGATGCCACCTCCCTCCGCACTAGGTCTGTGCCGGCACGTCCGTGAAGCATGAGATCCGTCTCGACAGGCAAAATCACTTGACGCAGACGCTGTGTCACTTCTACAAGTGCCAGCATCATCGTAGTTTGTACATCTAGTAGAGTCGCTGTGTAAAGTAGCAGCATCCTCGTCAGCTTCTAGAGTTACTCCTTCAGCGGGTATTGCAGCCGCAGGGTCAGGAGATGAAAATGATGCTTCATTTGACCTGCTTTTCCTTCGTCTCCTCGTACCCCGACGACGGCCGAGCAGGCTGTACTCCTCACGTATCCCACTTATCCCTGTGTCTTCATAGCCGTCCGCAACTACTACATCGTCACCAGCGTGTTGCACCGCATCTATCGCAGATGAAGAAGTTACGTCAGACGTTGTTGTACTACTGCTAAATGTACTACTTGTACTCCTAGTACAAACGTCTAGCCGTCTTATCCTATTAGGAGCCCTGCGCGACTTGCCTGTTCTTCTGTGAAGAATCTTACAAGGTTGATTCTTCCTCGACGACATATTACAACAAGCTTCATCAACTGGTGCTCTTTTTCTGGCAGATAGCGCTGCTTTCCTATGGTCTGCGGTCCCTCGTGCTGCTTTTCTCTTTCGGCTCCTAGGCATCCTTGCTAGACATCCTCGCTGAGGTAATGATTGTCTCGAACATGCGAGATCTTCTTCTAGTTGTTGCTCTTCATCGACACTTCCCGGAGGCGAGGTAGAAGAAGAACATCTACTTGGTTGTACGAGGACTAGTTTGTGTCCTGCTTCAACGTCTCTTGTTGAAGATGTTCCTGTACTATTAAAACTAGAACTAGAAGTGGCTTCAACAAGTACATTCACCTCGCGTAGATGAAGATGCTGTTCCTGCCCTGGAGGAGGCGCACTTGGCGCATTTTCGAACGGCTGTCCTCTAGATTCATGCTCCGAGATTTCTAGATTTCTCCATATTGAGGAGGCTCCCGAGGAGGCCGCGGGGGAGCTTCCTGCCCGCACGCCCTCTACCTCCGCCATCCTACCTCCGAGAGGAAAGAACCAGCCTCTACCTCCGCCACAAGGAGCCAACTGGTGCTGTCATTCGACTCATTCTACTATCTTCACAGGATAGCAGATGATACAACTTCAACTACTTCTCTCTGTGAGAACTTGACTCTAATAGTTGTCTGTCTAAAATATGCGGGCTTTGTGGGTGGATGTCAGTAACGATGCGAGTGACTGTCAATACTGCAGAGAAGTCAAAAGAATCTATCCTATCATCTGATTCAGAATCTACCTTTGAAGCACCACGAAATATTCATCGGACGAGGAGGGCACAGACACAGAGAAGGGGGGAGTGTTTTTTGAGTTCAAGCAGCCTGTAATGTAACGAAACAAATGATTCGAACTTTCGACATTATAACTTGTGCTTAGCGGTAGTTTCTGCAGTACTTCTAAAACGACAACGACGAGGACAGTTTGTGGTATGTAAAATTGCTCTACTAGAAGCTAGCTTCTTGTAAAAATCATAAGCAAGCAAACGAGTGTCGATCTCGAGGTGAACGACTTACACTTTTGTAGTGCTCTCAACATGACCTCACTTGAACACCATACTCGTTCTTTTTTCAGCCTTCGCGTTTTTTCAACCCTCAGTCCTCCTCTCATCGAAAACTGTTCTTCTCTCCTTAATACCACGACATTCTCACTTCCCTCACAAAGCTGTCTGTCAATTTTTTTATCGTGATCACTCGCAGTAGAATGTGATAGGCTTTCTCCCGACGACATGTTTTTTCTCTCCCGACACTATTTTTGGCTTCGACATCAATAGTTGCTCTACCGAGTATTCGTCTGCTTTCTTGTAGAGAAGGGTGGAAAACAAACCCTTGTAAAGGTTCATAGAGTCGGTGAGTCCTTAGTTTTCTTGCTCTAAAATGTTGTTTTTGTTAGCTTCAGGCCTCAGAAACGTGGCCAGCATCATTCACAGTATCCATAGTACTAACGCTCGCTCATCCCCTCCTATCTATCAAAGGACACAACAATATTCAACGATCATTCACAATCTGAGAAACTTTCGGACGATGGTTCTGATGGCATCAATTTTCCATTTCTTTGTCCAATCGTCGGGTAAAGCCCCGCCATATGATTGCTCTGTGTGGTCGCATACTTCTAGTGTTTGTAAATACTTTCTTAAGAAGCCACATTACTTAATATGACCACACTAAGAACTTGCACTAACAAGAAACTTAGTACTACAAATCAGTTTTAGACCAAGGGCCTCGATTTCGATTATTATGCGGGAAAGGTACTCTAGATCTTAGATGATCAAACGAGTTTTAAACCGAGTACGCTTGATGCGCTAATGCTTCTGGTATCGTGCCTTATCTGCCTGCATAGCAGTTTTCTATTTAAAAGGAAAAGTTGTTTTTGTACTCCTTAATCGACAAGACCAAAAAAATGAAAAAACATAAGGGAAAAAGTTTCTAGAGGAACACACATAGAGGTAATTTGACCTCTATGCGGGTAGACTCAGCAAATATATGACAACTGGATACCTTTTTCGGCAGCCTAGGAAGATCGCCGAACATTCACGTCGCATTTTATAGCAAGATCCCTTTTCTTCTTTTTAGGTTTTTCATCTTTTGACTATCAACATCAAACTTCATTTTTCATGTTCATATTTGCAAGGGGATAAAAAAAAATGGAAATACTTTTGGATACTTAATAATGTGACAGGCTATCTACTTAGACTACTGCCACGATCGAGAAAAGTGGGAACCTTGATCGTCTTTCTCACGCAAATAACAACATCCCTGAATACTTAGTGTTTACTCGTTCTCATCTGCTGGTGATCATGGTCCGCATAAGCTATCGAGTATTCCAAAACGCAGCCACACCAGAGCCCTCGGCACCGCCATCACTGCGTCTCTAAAAACAGTTTTACTTAAGGAACCGTCCTCCACCAGTCGTACTTAAGGAACCGTCCTCGAATAATTCTACCTAACTATCCTTTAACGGTTGTACTTAACTCCTGTCCTCTAACGGTTGCACCTAACTGTCCTCTAACAGTTCTACCTGAAAACTGTAATACTTCTACTTTAGTGCCCTCGAGGCGAGGCTTTCGAGAATAGGAGTTGCTCCACCCTCCGCAAGGTAAACCTGCATCCTCCGCGGTGACTGCACACAGCAGCCTCAGAAGGTAGGACTTCTACTCTCGAGGAGACGAGTACTGCTCAAACACAAGAGAGCTCCTGCACAGATGAAGGAGTGCTACTCTGTTAAGTACTGCCATGGTCATGGTCATGCACTTCAAGGTCGACCCTTACTGGCCGTTTACGAAGCAATGCTCCATCTCGACAATGCATCGCACTTCCTCTATACCCCTTCCTAATGCATGCACGTCTCGTCATAGAAATGCATACTTATTCTTGATTCGTCTCTACTGATCTTCATCACCGCCCCACGTCAAGCTAACAAATCAGCAAGGCACAGAAAATATAAGGAGAGAGAGTTGTCCAGTCGTAGTCCCTGATCTTCGGTGTGGAAGAGAAAGTGCAGGGGCCTCCACGAGAGTTGCCGGGGACCGGACTCGCGCCTGCAGTGTCTGCACCACCACGGAAAAAGAAAACGAATGAAGATAGAGTCAAGCAAGGACATTTCAAGGAATCATTTTCATCTTCTGCCAACAACTAGGCGCCACGAAATCAATATCGATTTGCTTCATCGAAAATTATGCACCTTCGAGGACTGCGTCTTCATTTAAACATACATTCTGCAGCAAATATCTTTCTCAATGGGTACTTCCAGCAAAACCCTTACATATAAAGATCAACAAACGTAATCAACTATAATGCTTCCACCAGTGGAGCCCTCTCTAGGTCAATCCTGTAACTACTTGTACTTCTAGAAGGAGCCCTCTAGAGTATAGCTGCAGAGAACTACAACAGATAGTGATTTTCAAACTCCTGCGCTTTCAAACGTTCTAAGGTTCTGGTTCCCTCGTAGGTTCTGCCTCTCCTCGCTTAGATTCTCCCTTCGGTGGACTGCGTTCTGGACTGCGTTCTGGTGTGCGTTCTTCAGTTGTGTTTCTAGCGCCGCGAAGCATTGCCCAAAACAAAGGAGCAAGTGCAAAGGAGGAGTTTCCACTGACGCAGGCTCCCACTGACGCAAGTGCAGACGAGGCGTTTCGGAAGGTTTCCACTGATGACGGAACATTACCAGGTTCCGCCTGAAGGCACTGTCGGCTACTTACTTCTAGTGGTGAGGTTCCCGCAGCCTCCTGTTCTTCTCGCCCTCTAAGTCTTATATCCTCGCACATATCTTCCTGCCCATCTAACTCTCTCTCCCCCGCTCCTGCTTCAAAAGTACTATCTTTATCAATATTTGTTTCATTACCTTCGTGCGGCACCTCAAGCAACCGAGCGAAACAGGCTTCCCAAGACTCTTCGCGAATGAGTAGAGAGGGTTCCCAAGCCTCCTGTTCTCCTAGTTTCCAATGCTGAGGACATGATAAGGAAGCTTGTTGTTCTTTCAAAGCGGGAGTTCCCAGCAATGGTATCATGACCCGAGGACTCGGAACTGCTTCTCTAGAGGAAGACGACGAACTACTTCGAGCGCAAGTGAGCAAAGCTGACTGAACTCCATCCGCTGTCCAAACCTTTCCTGCAAAGGCACAGCCATGGACGGGAGCAACGCCTTGAGGAAGACCCTCTTGGCCAGCGGAAGCACCTCCTTGCTCAAGTAGAACAGGTGGGCATGACGAAGCTTGTTGTTCTTGCCAAGCAGGTGCCAAATATTCTATCGAGGCACCAGCGGAAAACGAACTACTTTCAGCACAAGTAAGTAAAGCTGGGCGAACTTCTCCTCCTTCTGTCCAAACCATTCCTGCAAAAGCACAGCCTTTAACGGAAGCAACGCCTTGAGCAAGACTTTCTTGGCCAGGGGAAGCACCTCCTTGAAAGAGCACAAGAGGAAGAGAAGAAAGGCCAACATCTTTCGGAGTGGAGGAAGAAGAACGATTTCCAGCAGCAGGCAGGACCGGAGCTTTGTTCACAGTCTCTCTTCCTGCTTCACAAACGTCGCCTACTCCTGCAGGTAAAGGATTGTCTTGTACGAAAGTCTTGTCTTGCACAGTCGAATTTCCAGCAGCACTCCGTGGTTGGGCAAGAACAGGTCTAGTGCAAGTGCGGACAGATTGTTAAAACTCTCTTACTGCTACTGCTTTCTTATCCAGCTCTGCTACTGCACCAGGAATCAAAGGATCGCCTTGGACGGAATCGCTTGGTCGGACCCACTTTTCCTGGCCAAGAACAGAAGGAAATGACGCAGAGGAAGAAGATGACCCAGAAGAAATGATCGAGGCAGCATCTCCAGAGGAAGAAGATGAACTCTCCACAACTCTATCTACTACTGTTTTCCAAACCTCTGCCATTACTGTTTTCCAATACTCACCTACTGCACGACCAGAAATGAAAGCATCGTCTTTGCCGGAGGCATCTCCTTGACAAAGAGCAAGAGGAAGAGAAGAGAGGCCAACATCTTTCGGAGTGGAGGAAGAAGAACGATTTCCAGCAGCAGGCAGGTCCGGAGCTTTGTTCACAGTCTCTCTTCCTGCTTCACAAACGTCGCCTACTCCTGCAGGTAAAGGATTGTCTTGTACGAAAGTCTTGTCTTGCACAGTCGAATTTCCAGCAGCACTCCGTGGTTGGGCAAGAACAGGTCTAGTGCAAGTGCGGACAGATTGTTAAAACTCTCTTACTGCTACTGCTTTCTTATCCAGCTCTGCTACTGCACCAGGAATCAAAGGATCGCCTTGGACGGAATCGCTTGGTCGGACCCACTTTTCCTGGCCAAGAACAGAAGGAAATGACGCAGAGGAAGAAGATGACCCAGAAGAAATGATCGAGGCAGCATCTCCAGAGGAAGAAGATGAACTCTCCACAACTCTATCTACTACTGTTTTCCAAACCTCTGCCATTACTGTTTTCCAATACTCACCTACTGCACGACCAGAAATGAAAGCATCGTCTTTGCCGGAGGCATCTCCTTGACAAAGAGCAAGAGGAAGTGCGGAGGCTTCCTCTTCTTCTTTCAAGGCACCGCCAGACGACGACCTACCTGCAGCCGCGCGAATGATCCACGCTTTCCAGGCCTCTTTTCCCGCCGTCCAAACGGCCTCTTCTAGTTCTACTGCAAATAAAGCATCGCAATCATGACAGCTTCCTTCAGGGCCATTTTTTTGTTTTTTTCCAGCAACTCGCAAGTTTGGTAGAAGTTCCTTACCGCGGAAATCCGTGAGTCCTCCAGAAGATTCGTGGTGTAAAGCGATGGCTTGTTCGGCAAGGTACAAATGCAGCATTCCCGTAAAAATGATAGTCGTCCACACCACCAGAGAACGGTGCGCGATATCTTTACACTTGCTCCTATCCGAATTATCCGTCTTCTTGCACATTTCGATTTTTCCCAATTCTTCTTCCAATTCTTCCAATATAAATTGCTTCTGTTTATTAATATTTTCTGTTTCCACGTCGACGTCATGGCCGCTTGACTTGAGCGTCTCATCTCCTGGCTCCAGCATCTTCCCTTGACGCGTCGGGTCTTGCTTGAGACATTTCATCCTGCTGGCCTGCAGATTCCTCAAAAACTCCTTTTCTTAGAGCTAGGATATGTTAAGAGTCAGACAGGAATCTTCGTAAGTTTGCTGATTGCAATCGTTCTAGGTGCAAATAAAAAGATAAAGTCGGATGATTGAGCAGACTTGGTAGTTTTTGTAATGTAAGTGGAATAAACGTTTTGTTTGTTTGTTTTGGTGCGCTCCGGGCGACGCGTACGATCCCGCCGGTCTGGAATAAACGTTAGAAGTGATGTCGTGCTTAACTTGTAGAAAATTGCTGCTGCTGCAGGTTTTGGAAGGTACGAAATGCAGTTTTCAACATCTCCTCGAAGGCTGCGCGATCGAGTCCTAGACTAGTTGCGCCTAATAAATCTGCGTCACCCCGAAGACCTTCCGCAACTACCGTATAAGACTGCTGCAGCATTGCAATCAGTGTATCGGTAACTACTAAGCAATGTGGCTTTTCTTTAGTAGCATCGACGCTGGCTTTTGCGGGTAGCAGTTGAAGCAAGCAGGCATCATGGGTACGATCGCAGGCATGGACACCGTCCTCTACTAGGGAAGGCAAGCTGGTCTCGGTCGCGGCTGTGCTTTCCTTTAGCTTTAACACAGTAGACCACATTTTTGCTCCTACCTCGGTTAAGATTTTGCGCAATTTATATCGATCACAGGTCCTCGACGTCGCCTTGTCACTTGCTTGTTGCGTCTCGTTTTTCGGATTCCTGAGAAAAGTTCTCCCTGAAGAATGGTGTCGCTCAGGAGAACCGGCCGTGCGACTCGCAGCCAGGACAGTACCAAATGAGCCATTATCGATTGTAGTTGATGCTTTCTCACTCAGGGACTCTTTCGGATCGCTGGGACTTTGAGGCAGAATCGATTCATTTTCCCCTTCAGTAAACTGGCGACGATTTTTGTCTTCATCCTTGGGCTTGGGTGCTCCCTCCTGGTGTTCGGATTTCACTCCCTCCTGGTCATCGGAAGTTGGTCCCTGCTCCTTGGGATCGTGTGCTCCCTGCTCGTCCATCGGCTGTCCTCCCTGCTGGGCCTTGGATTGTCCTCCATCAGCTGTAGATTGCGATCCCTGACTCTGATCACGATGTGGTCCCCGGGTCTTCCGTTTGAAGATTGAGAATAATCCTCCAAAACATGCATTCGATACCTTCCCTTTTTGTACATGCGGAGGCTCGACTCCAGCAGTGTTATTTAAATTGCTATGCTCAGCTTTTTTGACAACGCCACCAACTGGATCAGAGGACATGGTGGTAGGCGCTTTTTTGTCCAAATCTTCAGGCACTTTTTTGTCCAAATCTTCAGGCACTTTTTTGTCCAAATCTTCAGGCACTTTTTTGTCCAAATCTTCAGGCACTT